CCTAGCGAAACTCACGGATCTCCAACGTCGCCCGACTCGGCGCACTCTGGCGTCAGAGGGTCAGCCGTCAACAAAGCGCCACTGCCTGATGCAGGCGGCGACTACTTGAAGCCAGAGGCCGCTGCAACATTGTCCAAGTCGCCGACATGGACAGGCCACGACTCCCAAAGGACAGTCGACAGCGCGGTCTTGACAGATGACGACGATGGCCACGAGACTGTGACGTTCATGCTTGATCAGTCCTCCATGCCGCAGGGTCAGCATGATCAAGCTCTGAGCCAGGACGAGCGCAGCAGAGTGCCCTGGCACCGTCGCGTTGGCGACGAGTGTCCGACCTTCTCTGATAGGAAGAGCACGGGTCAGACACGCATCGTGACACCGCCGCCGCCGCTGTTGCTCGACCAGCCCATGAGGCCCCGCAGACATCCAGCGCCAGACCCAGTGCAGCTTGAGAGCCCCCGAGAGGCACTCGACCAAATCCAGCAGCAGCTTCGGAAGCTGGAGGACCTTGATGGACAGTCAGGTGCGAATGAACAGCAGCGCCTGAGTCTTCTGGCGAACCTCGAACAGGAAATGGGCATGCAAGAAAGCCGGTGGCAGCAAATGCGAGATGACTTGACTCGAATTTCTGTCTCGACTGCAATCTCGTCTCCGAGCACCCCCGGCACCAACTCGCGAAACATTAGCCTCGATGTATCACCAATGGTCAGAGTTGTTGAGTCAAATATCCCGGATAGTAGAACTTTGGGGCCGGTGGTGTTTGAGGATCGCGATCTCTTCACTCCGGACTTTGCTACCACGGCTATCGCAGACCAGGTGCACATTACTCGGCCTGAGTTGCCACCCCAAGCTGTGCCACTGCACGAGTCTAAGGACAGCTTACCGGATGCCAATACCGACTCCGCTTCCGTCAGGCGCCGAACAGAAGCACAACCCGACAGCGCGGGTAGTCCACGTTCTAGTGCGTCGAGGGACGAGAACAACGAGGACTTGGAATTTGATGACACCCGCAAAGAGCGATACCCAGAGTTTGTCATGTGCGTTCCAAGTTCGTCATCGGGTAACATGGAAGTCAGGACGCCCAAGCAGTCCTTGAGTCCAAGGTCGCCAGCACCTCTTCTCGGACCCCAGCCGGAGCCCGAGCGCCCGGTGACGAGGAGATCCCCTGTGGATTCGAGTCTCGAAGGATCTCGCACTGCAAACAGCGAACCCAAAAATGACAGGTCCGCTCCAGCAGCAGCATCATCTCCTACCATGTCGCAGCGGCGGCCTCAGCAAAAGGCCACACGGCCACAGACAATGCGACCACCACGCCGACCCAAAAGAATATCAACCCTCCCCGATATTGTAGAGGACCCGCAACCCTTGAAAGGGAAACGCGACACACTGGGTCTCTTCCAGTTCCCATGGGGGGAGAGATCAGACGTTCCCAGCATCCCCCTCACCTTCTCGATGCCCCCGGGAGCTGCGCCATCCGCAGTCATACCTCGCACGGCTCCAATGTATCCGACGCTTGAGTCTCAAATCCGCACCCTTCAGTCGCAAAAGTACTCCGCGTCGTTCTTCGAGGACTACGACGAAAACGACGAGGGCGATGAAGATAGTCTGGACAGCAGCGACGACGACTTCGACGAGGCAACTCTGTGGGAGATTGCAAGCCTGCTCAAATCCGACAACGTACCGTCGCGGGAGAGTCTTTTCCCCGGCCAAGAGGAGGAACAACTCGCGTCTGCATCCATCGTTGACGACTACCTCGACGGCGAGGCGTTTCTAGATGACGAGGCGTCAAACTATGAACCAACGTCCACGACTCTAGTCAGGGAGGCCCCGTCTCCCACCCTTCCAGGGACATCGATGCTTTGGGCAGACAAGCGCAACTATACTCCAGACGCTAAAGCCCACGGACTTCCACAACCTAAACTCACGGCCTGGGAAGGTTATGTGGCGGCTGCGGGAGACGGACGCGTCGCTTCCCGCAAGGCTGATCTGTCCAACACAAATACCGCCGGGGACCGCTCGAGAGCTCAGTCCACTCTGACAAATACTCCTTCATCCTCCTTGCCAGCACTTTGGACTTTGCAGCTTGCTTCCGCTTCACCGTCTACCGCCTTGTTTGAGGCGATTATTTCGTCCAAAGAAGTGACGAACTCGGACTTCCGAGACGACGGGTCGCTTACTGGCCCTTGCGACTCCAGATCATTGTGGTCACCGCCGAAACCTGCCATAAATGGAACAGGAGCCCGCCAAAGGATGCCTTCTTCACCATCTGTCCTTAAGTCGATGCGTACAACAGTCGATGCCATGCATCCCCAACCACACGCAGCCCTCTCTGACATCGACCTTATGTCGCTTCAAGACACTCCTCTACCAAGGCTTTGGTCTGCGCCAAAACCCCTCGAGCCTGTTGAACAAGGTCTCCCGCAGCCAGACAGCAAAGCGTGGGAGGAATATCTTGTTCCCGACTGCGTAAATCGCAGAATGAGAAAACCAGAGCCGCTTCAGAGTCTCGAAAGCGCGTCCCTGTGGGCTCCGGGTGACAAGAAGTCGGCTATAGGGCAGCCGCCTACGGCAGCCGTCACACGTACTGTCTCGCCAGGCGTGGAGTCCTTTGAGCGCGACTCGAGTGAGAGCCAGGGCCGCTCGTCCGCAGATAGCGACAAATCCTCGAGTGGCCTGGCCGAGCTGAACACTGGGCTGTGGCTCCCTTCTCCAGCAAAGCTCACCGAGGAGCCTCATGGCCTGTTCCAAACCGGCAACCCAATCGTGTACGACAGAAACGCCAAGCCCGCCGCTCAGGACACACGACCTAATCGGAGGACTGAGCAAAAGCCGCTGGCGACGATCCAGTCAGGGGGCCTTTGGGCCAGCCCCTCGAGACATTCGTTCACTCAAGACTGGGTCTCGCTGTCGTCCATCAGGCCCAACACCCCCGGGGGGACATCGTCCTACTCGGGCAGCGAGACGCCGCGCAGCGATGATTCCTCCGCATACTCTAGCGTCACGGGCATGTCTACGGTCAACAGCGTCTTCGCCGTCTGCCCTGAAGCCGGCTCGGGGGATGCCGCAGCGAGTGGGAACAGTCGGCCAGCAGAGAGTAAGAGGGTGCTGTCCCTCGTGCCCGAATTCGTCTCCGAGGCGCAGTGGCAGTCAGACAACGCCGCAACAGGCACGAACAAGCCTGACGGCGGCTTCACGGCGGTGCCTCTCCTCGGAGAATTCGTCTCGGGTACACAATGGCAAGCCACGCTAGAAGACGCCGTCCAGGCCCGCGAGCTGGACGCTTCCGCGGCCGAGGAGGTGCTCGTCAGAAAAGCTCACGACCCGGCAACGCCCGCGGCATGGGCGACGGCCCTCCGTGATGCGCTCGAGGCGAGCGCCCTCATGGAGGCCACGGCTCCCCCGCCGGAGCCATCACCCGTTCGTTCTATTGTGCCAGCAGCCTCGGGGTTCGACGTCGCCAGGCACCACCCCGTCTTCGCCGTCTCGGTCCTCGACACCAGCTCTGGGGAGATCCACCCCGCGGCGTCGGGATACCTTACTACGTCGGTGAATGGCGACCCGGACAACATGGGCAGATAACCAGCGGCGGAGAGTGGTTATCATCGAGAAGGGAAGGGAAGGGATAGGATTTGGGGGGAGAAACCAAAGTGGAGGAGTTGGGGGGCTAGAATGGTTACACGCACATGTGCACCCTCGCCGGATATACCCGTCCATTTTTCACTTGTTCATCGTTGAATCTACGGCCACGACGTTCAGACGACTCCCATGTACAATACTTTGCCCCCAGCGTAATGCGAATCTACGAATCTGTTGTTCATGACAGTTCAAGAGCGAAAGTGCACGCAGTAGCCAGAGGATACAAAGCGCCAAGTGGTCATCAGCCCCGCGGCAGGGGGGGCTCTATCCATGCATTTCATCAAGTACTCAACAAAACGACTACTCAAGCAACAGTAATGTGTCACCAAAAAGGCGAGCAGAGCTCGGGGGCTCGCCACGCCTTCGCCAAAGTTGCGCGTCGTTGCGCGCATCACTTTTGGCCTGCTCTCTCTCTCTTCTCTTCTCTCCCTTCGTCCTCACTTCTGGTCCGCGTCTTTGCGCCACCCCCAACTCATTACCCGCTTTCTCCCAGGGCTTTTCCTTCCTGGGTTTGCTCCTCCCGCCCCGGTATCCTGTAGTACTCCGGCGTGTGCATATGTGTCAAATCGTCTCTCTTCCCTTTGCAGGTTCTCCAATGTTTTGGTTTTTCTTCGCTCCGCGCGCGTGTCAAAATGCATCATACGAGTATTTTGTCAACGTTTTTGTTCCATGTTTGGTTTCGGTTTGTCGGGTGTTGGGTATGTGTGTGATGGATAGGTGAAGGTAGGTGGATCGGTGGATGGGTGATGTTGTTTGGCTCGAGGGCTTCGTGCATGTGCTGTGGGAAGAGGCCAGTGTTCGTTGAGCCGTCGCCCTTTGCGCCAGATGGGCGATGGTCGAGGCTCAGACACGCCAGCTACTCCTGGATCTCATTATAGTCTCCATGGACGTGTCGGAGGCGTCGCGATGTTCCACAAAAGGAAAGCGTGAGTGACAAAGTAAAACTCGGCGGTTGCCCGCCCAGGTACCATGCAGCGTAACGACAGAACATATCGATGTCGACTCGGCTGAGCGTGGTATATATCGACGCCAGCGGCTGTCGTGGCTTCGTCTCGTGGGACGCACGACAGGCCATAGCGTAGCAACCAGCCGATGGCTGGTATGGGTGTGCTCGACTTCAACGCCGCGGGTGGCGCCGGCTCGCAGACCAAGCTGTCCCTCTGCCCCTGGGCGCATCGAGCAGATGCAGTGGCCGACCGGGGCTGAGACATGGCGTATGTATCCGAAATATGCCGGGCTCCGCGGCCATTGATATTCACAAAAGTTCATACAAGCTTGATTCGTACAGAGCTCATGCAGCGAGTCAGGGATATAGCAGGCCGTTAATGCAGGTAAAACGTAACGCAGAAAGGTCAGCGAGCCGCCTAGCTCACGGTCATCATCGGAACACGCCGGCCCATGCCGGAGGATGGCGACTTTTCCGGGGTTTGACTCTCCATGATGGAGGCTGTAGTGCGGTTCTTGAGGGCGCTGCGCCGAGGTGGACTGGAGCCCGGGTCGTCAAAGACCCGGGTAAAGGCAGGGCTAGACTCCAGACGACGCTCGTGTCGCGGTGTTCTCGCAGGGCTCTGGGTGATTTGGTCTTCTCTGCGGATGCTGTCTGATAATATGTCGCGCAATTCGCCGGCTCGCTTGACCAGTGCCTTCAGACTATTGGTGTCAAAGTGCACACGGGAGTTGCCATTGCTCCGGGGCGAAGGCATCGGTTCCGGAGGCGGACGATGGTTCTGAACGGATTCCATGACCGATCGGACCATGCCGGTGACGTCGTTGGGCTTGGGCGGTCGGTTATCTGGCGTCCGTGGCCGACTGGGTCGGTTGGAGTGCGGGTCGCCATCGGGCAGCGGCAGGCTGCCCCCGAAGATGTCGTCCTCTGGAGAGAAGACGGACCGGCGCCGAGGAGATTGCCGCTCTCGCACAACGGCCGTCCTCGACATGGCCGGCTCTTGGCTGTCAATGGCGGCGTCGAGGCGGTCGAGCGAGGCGGCGTCGTAGCCATCTTCGACGAGACGCTCGTTGATATCAAAGCCGTCCGTGTTGGTGGCGGACGCGATGGATTGGTGGTCTTCGTTGACGTCGTCCTCATCCGGAGAGGCGAGAGCGATGATGCCTTCGGCCTCCTTCCACAGTCCTCGTTGGTCTCCGCTGAGCATGTTCAGTTCGCGCCCGTGGCGGCAGAGGCGCTTCAGGTCATTGACCAGGAGCGACAGCTCGCGGATCTGGCCCGAATGCGCCCTGACGCTCGGCTGCGTCGCACGGATCGACTCGGGAACGGCAAACACCTCGCCGGCGCCTTTGCCGTCGTGGTCGCTGTTGGCCCCGCCAAACTCAAAGTCCTCGTCCCAGTCCTCAGAGACGGTCTTGGTGCCCATGCCCCAGGTGCCGTACTTGGCACCCATGGGCTTCGACTCGTCATTGAAGTCGTGGACGACGGGGACGCTCTGGCTTCGAACGTGCAGCGGCGCGGGAACCTTTCGCGTGGCGGAACGGCCGCCTCTCAAGTCTGCTTCGGGCATGGCGTACGACGTCTTGGGGCGCAAGCCAGTCCCGTTACTGTCCTGCTTGTCGTGCGCGGGCGGCTCACTCCAATCAAACAGGTTGCTCAGCGGGCGCTCGTTGCGGTAGGCGTCGCCTCTCAGCCGCGGCGCGGCGTCGCCTTCGATACTGGCCAGGGCGAGACGCACGTTGGGGTTCATGCCCCTGGCAGTGAGCGAGTTGCCGTTGCCCTGTGACGGGGGTGAGAGGGCGTTAAATGGGCCGTCGTCGTCTCTGGTCCAATCCTCGTCAAAGTCGTCGTCAATCGAAAAGCGACCCAGGTCCCTGGCCGGTTGTGAAACAGCATTGTGCGACGACTCTAGGCTGAAACGGGGCTCGTCCGCGCGGGCGTCGAGAGGGAAGCTAGTCCCCGCGTGTTTGGTGGCACGGACCGGCGTCGACGAGGTCTCGTCCTCTTCCTCCATGATCTTGATGCCGCCATCCCAGCCGCGACCGCCGAGCATCTCGTGGATGGAGAGGCGCTTGGTCCTGCCGTTGCCGGCCGTGCTCGGCGGCGACTCGTCGTACACGGATTCGAGCGGCGTCTCCACCGCCCTCACGCGGCCGGAGGAGAGGGTCCGCAGCGAATCGAAAACGGTGTCGCTCTTGAAGTCAGTGTCGTCCTCGTCACCCGACGTGAAGCCGCGGCCGTCGCCGTCTGAGCTTTCCAAGACGGAGCATCGCTCGTAGTGCGATCCTCTCAGCTGCGACATGGCAGCGGAACTGGTTGAGCTGCCGGACGGCTGGTTAGGCCGACCGTGACGAGCCCCGCCGGAACGCGATAAATCGTCATGGAATCCAGCGGCAGAACTCGAGATGGAAAGCGGGGGCAGTGGGGAGGATGTGTTTCTTTTATGGGATGGTTGCTGGACAGAGGCAGCTGAGCCAAGTGTCGACCCCTGCGCGGTTGGGGCGATCGGGGCGCTTGCTGATTTCTCGGGCGTATTGCTCCCTTGGTGGTGGTAGTGCTGTTGCTGGTGCTGCACCACGGCTGGCGGCGAGCCGCTACTTGGGGCTGACACGTGCCGCTTATTCCCGCCCTGGTCATTGTGCTGCTCAACGCCTCGCTTTGGCCGACGCAGGCTTCCAGACGTCTTCAATACCCAGTTGTTGGCTGCCGTCGAGAGGCTGGCCGAGAGGGATCGCTTGGTCCGCGTCGGCGGCGCGGCGATGATTTCCGGCGAAGGCTTAAGAGTCTTGGGTGTGTCAGCGGGCGGGTGTCGCCCGACCTCATCCTCTGCTCTCATCGGCATCGGCGGGATGCCGGGCGCCAGCGGTGCGGAAATCATGCTCGGCTTCAGCAGGTAGGCTCTTTGCCGCAGCCCTCTATCGGGGCAGATCCTCGCTATGCTGGAGTTTGCTGCAGATGGGCTGCTGTCCCCGGGTGAGCCAGAGCTGGCAGAGTTGGCCGCCCGTCTGAGGTGAAAGAACGACTTCCAGGCGGACCAGGCTTGCGTAGCGGGTATCCTGTCAACGGGTGACGCTCCAAGCAGTTCCTCCGGGCAGATTGGCTGCTCAAACGAATACTTGGGGTGCGCGGCAGAGCCGGCCACGTCAATGTCCGCCCGGAACTGCTGGAGGGTCGCGGACCTCTGATGGCTCGTGGCCGGTCGACGGAGAGTAGGCAAGTGTCCCTTGGAGCGGCGGGCTGGCGATTCTCCCTGCTCGGCCGGGCGCGTAGAGGGAGCCCGCTTGACGAGCTTGTTCGGCGGCAGGGGCGGCGCCGTGGAACTTGACCGAGCCAGGATGGGAGATGTCGAGCTGAGCGAGTAGGCAACCGACGTCGAGTCGGCAATTGTGCTCGATCTGTTGCTGCCGCCGTGCTGGGAGAGCGGACGCATCGACAGGCGTCTCATCCAGGAGCCATTGGACGCCAGAGACTCCCTCGATTCCTCGGCCACAGCCAGCGGGGAGAGGTCGCCGTGGTGCCTCAAGAACGAATGCCTTCTGACGGAACCTCTCGGAGACGAGAGCTGCGAGGAGTGCGGCCGCTGGTAGCGGGACAATGGCGGCCTAGACACAGTGTCGCGCGGAGACAGCGCCGGGGGGTACGAGTAGTCGGCTGTGATGGACGGCGTGGCCGACGTCGTGGCGGGTCGGGCGGGGGAGAAGCTGGAGCTTGGTCGGTAGGACGCGTCCAGGTCGACGACGCGGTCGGTCGATATCGTCCTCGTGTGCGATGCGCCCCGAGCCGTGGCGGCGGGAGGGTTGGGTTCCGAGGACTGGCCAAAGACCAAGCCGGTGGCCGCCGCAGCAACGGCAGTGCCGGTTCCAACGAGCTGCACGAGACGATTGGTCAGAGAGCTGCAAGCAGAAACGAACGCGCAAAGACGATGACGACGGGATAGAAGAAGGCGAAGCTTCGAGGGAGCAGGAGGCGAGGGAAAGGACGAGAGTAAGGTTCGAGCTAGACGGGCGGGCGTCGAGGGCAGGGCGAGGCGGGAGTGGTGACACACATCACTCGGGAGGCGGCAGAGGTGGAGGGAGGGAGGGAGAGCCATGCAACTTACAGTGGGAACGGCCTGCATGGTCGCCGAGGGAATCCTCCTCTACGCAAGCGGAGAGCGCGAGGCCAGGGCAAACATTCTAGAATCTAGACGCGGGTGCTCTGAGGGGTGTCCGAGGGGAGGCGGTTTCGCATCGTCGTCGAGCTGCGGCCCGTGGATTTGTCGTGCTCTCTCTCCACCAAGGAATGCGCGATGCAGCGCGGGAGAGGCGAGCGTGTGGGGAAGACAGGACCCAAAGGAAACGCGCCCGAATTGGCGGGCGCCCGGCGGCGTGCAGCGTCGACGGTCGACGGTCGAGTCGTCGGCGGCGGGCTCGGCGGCGCCTTGTGGCCCAGAAGAGGGAAAAGGAGAGGAGAATGGGGCGCGCGGGAGGCACGACGAGACCGCGAGCGAGGGCACGACGAGAGGAGGGAAGAATGACGATACGGCCGGTGACTGTTGTTTTTTCGGGCGGTGGTGGCGCCGGGCGTGGTGGTGGTGGTGGTGGTAGTGGTAGCAGTAGTGGTCGTGGTGGTGCCCTGGGGGAGCTGGAGGGTGGACGGATGGCAGGCTGCGGCGGCGGCGGTGGTGCGCTGGCTTGGGCGGGCAGGCGGTGGTGGCTAGCGGGAAAACGAGACTGGGAGCAATGAATCCAATCCAATCCAATGGGGCCGGGGAGCCACACAGGGCGGCGGCGGCGGCGCAGGCGCTCCGTAGGTTCAGGTACGAATGGAACCTTCAAGCTGGCACCTCAGCGTTTCCACGGTTGGGATGAGAGGGAAACAGAGAGCGGACGCGCGCAGCCCAGGTCAGCGGCCACACACAAACACAAACACGCATACGCACACACACCAAGGGGAAAAAAGGGCAGCCGACACCCCATCGACCCCGATCTCATGCCTCGGAAGCCTGCCGTGAGGTGACGACAAAGCGAGTGGCCCCAAATGGAGCTTGGGCCCGAGCCACCACGACCAGCAACCTCTCGTCACCGAGGGCGCATCGCCGTGTCCGCTGCTGAGGGCGCGCCGGCGCCAGCAACCTGGAGATTACGCTGACGGAGCTGCAAGCGCACGCGCTCGCACACGGGCCCCCCCCAGCGACTGCCCCAGCAATGCCCAGCAGGCGAGGAGCCCCCCATGTCCCCCGTCCAGGCCGGCCGGGATGGATCGCCGCTGCAGGGATGGCCGGCCGTCTGCTGGCCTGGGCGCGCTGGCTGGAGCGCTCCACTGGGGGGACCTGGAAGCTCGATCGGAGGAGCCGCTGAGCCTCTAGCGCCGCAGGCTCGCGTCCAGTCTGCAGCGGGGTCCAGCGCCGAGGCTCCAGTTGTCGTCCAGCCGAGCCCAGCCCAGCTCCCCCGGCGGGGCCCAGCAGCGGGTGGAGGCACAGTAGCGCACTGGCGCAGCCCGCCATCATGTCCCACGGATGCCCATGCTTCCTGCCATGGATGGACCTTTGCAGCGCCCCGACAGCGACCGCCTCACCACCGGGGGAGCCGCTGACGGGGGCCTTGGGGGAGAGGAGGAAAGGCCCCCCCCTTCGACGCCGCCGTGATTGGGCCTGGCGCCCTCTTCTCGCCGTTGGGCCGGGCCCTGCTGGGTTGCCCATTTCGAGCAAGGGCCTGTCCCCAGCAGGTTTTCAAACAGACCAGTGGATGCCACCGGGCAGGGCCACTGCGACGTCGCTGGCCAGTCACGGAATCCTCCCTTGAGTCGCTTGCCATGTTGTCGTGTGTGTGTTTGTTTTGGCAACTCGACTCAAACACTGACTTTGGCCGCTCGGGAGGAGGGAAGGGCGCGTCCCGATGGAGACCATGCGTGTTGGCGCGCGATCCCGCTCGTATGTACGTATCTAGATACGCACTTTGAATCTCCTCCTTCTCCTCCGTACATGATGCCATGTAAGATGTACGTGCTTGGTGCATGCGTCGAGCGAGGGGCAAACGGCTGGGCCGCTCCATCACCATGGATGCCATGTCTTGTGGAGCTGTGCTCAGCCCGCCCAGCCCTGTGCCGTGACGTGCTATGATGTGGTATAGCCAAGGTACGGAGAGACTAATCAGGGATGGACGGACTGCCGCTGCAGAGCCCCCCTCCCCCCAAGGAATGCTGGTGATGGAGTTGCGAGGTACGAGACAGTGCCGCGGTGAAAGCCCACGAGATTGACTTGCCCGAAGCCCCCCATCCTGTTGGCTCCTCCCGTGGCCTGCCGCTCAAATGACCTGTGGATGTCATGCATACGAATCACTGTGCTCCGTATTCAAAAAGGCGTCTCAATTGGAAATAAAGAGTACAGAGGTGCGTGTCTAATAGTGGAAACTGGGGCGCTCGGGGGGGCTACATACTACGTGCATGTTTTGCAGTCTCCGCAGAGGGGCGATCGCATGTACGCAGTATGGAAGTTTGCTCTCAAGGGAGGCTCTGCTCGCACGTTTTCCCACATCGCCAAAGACACGGCTCGGACTTTTCCAGCAACGGCGGCAACGCGCAACTCTGGGCTCCCGGCGGCTGCAGCGGGTCAGTCGTTTCATCCGAGCACCGTCTCGCGCGCTTGGATCGGACCATGCGTCGTCAACAGCCGGGAATGGCCTGGCAACGGCGTGCGACGCGAGACGTCCGGCGTCGACGATGCGCCCCGGGGCCCAAAACATGCCAGAGTCAGAGGTTGGACACCGAGCTGCGTCGGCAATCAACCTCTGCTGCAGCGTTTAATGAAGGCGGCGGAGGCGTGGCACCAGTGGCGATGCCTGCCTTGGGGGCCCCCCTTCCAGAAAGTCAGCCGCATGGCTCGAGCATCACCTCGACCGCGATGCCTGCATGGAACCAAGGATGCGGTCTGGCGGCGGCGGCGGCGGCGACGTCGCTCACCAAGTCCTGCCTGTCAGGGAAAAAGCAAACAAGGGGCAAACGGCGGGGCGTGGCTGGGCCATGGACATGCATGCAACAGCGGATGCCCTTCTTTCGTCAGATACGGGTTACTATGCGCGCCCGGCCTCGAGTCATCTCGCATCAGGGAGTCCTTGCGAGTGAGATCTGTGGCACGACGGCGCAGTGGCAGGAGGCGTACTTGTACAGGGGCATACCTGCCTGGGCTGGCACGCAGGCGTCGTTGCCTTGCTTTGCCTTGCCTTGCTCTGCCTCACCTCCTGTGCTGCAGGATGAATAATTCGTACCCTCGCCCTATACAGGACGGCGAGCGCGCTTCAAGTCGTCCGTGCAAGGACAGGGCACGACTCGCCCCGTGCCCTCGCCGGCCCGCTGGTGCTGGGGGTTCTCGACTCAAGCGATTGGGGTCGACAATTTTACTTGGACTGTCTCAAAGGCCATGTGCCCCGAACAATGCCATCGACAACGGGCCAGCGAACGCCGTGGACCATGTCGGTTGTCGCGCGCAGGCCCGCGGCCGCCGGCAGCAAACAAGCGCACGACGACACAACAACAGAACAAAACAACAAACAGCACGATAACTGACCGGCCCGCTGACTGCAGCTGCAGCACAGACATGTCTGGTCAAATGGCAGCGCTTGGGGGACAACCGTGGTTATCACTTGAGACATTCCTCTGCATAGCGCAGCATCTTATTGCCCTCGCACCACGGACAGCGGCGCGACTGCGGCCTTCAAGGCTCAACCCTGGGGATATCGACGGCACATATCTTGCTTCGGTCACCAAACCGCGGGTTACCACTCCCGCAGAAGCGTCAAAGGGCTCCAAGTCCAGCTCGCCCTTGGCGTGACAACGGCTTTGTCAAGCCACGTCATTTGCGACTCCCCACGTCCCGACGTACGTACCAGTTCCCCGGGTTGTCCGTGCTTTCTTTTTACGAGAAGCGTGCCCATTTTTGGCACCGTTTCATCTTCAAGGATTCACCTGTCAATCATACACCTGCGGAGACTCCCTGATCCGATGCTGTGGGTGAGAAGCGAGAGACCGAAGGGCAGGTAACACTCGTCCCGATGCGCGTGACCAGTGACCACACGTCTCGACGTCGAGAGCACCCCGTGTCGGGGCAACAGACTGGCCTCTGCTCTCGGATCGACGAGGCGAATCCCGCATTGACTGGTGCGGTCGCATGTGTCTTCGCCGGCAGTGACTAGCTATGCAACCATCGCCCTCGGTCATCATGCCAGAGAACCTGAGACGACCTTCAACCACTGTGGCGAGCACTAGCTCTCCAGCTGATGCGAGGCCAATGCAAAGTCGCCGACGCCGCCATGCCAATGCGGATGCTCACACGGCTCCGACGGAGCACGAGGAGGTGCGCCCACGACCAAGTGCGGCGGCATGGGGTTTGCCAGGTCAGGGCAGGGCAGGGCCTGAGCCGACAAGCTCGGCGCCAGTTGCAGTCGTCAGGCGATTGATGTTTCCAGGCTCAGAATGAACCTGCGGGGCCATTTTATCGTCTTGCATTGGCAGCTCCATTCGCGATGCCAGATCAAGATCTGACGAGGGCGCTTGCGCACGGCGGCGGGGCACGCTGGGTTGCCCAGGGCTGCCCTTTCCCAGCTTGGGGACGACCGACTTTGGGATGTGTTGCGCGGCCGGGCATTGGCAACAGGCCAGACGGACGTGCACGCTCCCCACGACACAAACTGTTGGTCACGGCGTGGCCGGTCTCCGAGGGCCGTGGGTGTCTTTGGTTGCCCGCTCACCCTGCCTGCCTCCAGCGAGGCAAAGCCACATCGTGAAGAAGGCTTTCTCACATGAGTTGCAAAAAAAGGAGCTGGAGCTGAGCAGTCACTTCTAGTGGCACCATTAGCCGGACGTGGAGGGTCTGACTTGGCGGAGGGTGTGAAACACTCCATGGTGGTTTGTCAATGCCGCGCGGGGAACACACCGAGCTCGCCCCCCTCTCGAATTTTCGTGCGACTGTTCCAAGGCGCTGGGATTCTGCTGCCTCAATATTGCTTTTTGTCGACGGCGCCGAAATGAGAAGATACAGGGCGGGCAGAACGACAGATGGGATCCATGTCAGACAGCGAGCGATCTTCGTCGAGCTTCATCTCACTACAGTTCCAAACGCGGTAAATCACCCGACGCAGGGCGACAGCAACAAAATTTGCTCGTCTTTCTCGAGCAACGGCAAGCCGATAGACAGGCGATGGAGCAAACAGGAAAGAATCAAACGTCCATTTCTGGGGCCCCGGTCGAGCTGACGCAGCGTCATGGAGCTTTGGAACGGGTCCAAGCCGAGCTCGTCCGGACCTGGAACCAGGCCCAACCGCGAACCGGCATCTCTGTTCCAGTCCATCGGCGAGAAACGACCTCCACACTGGACATGGGTGGCGTGAATCAGTTGGCAACACCACGACCCGCGCAGCCGGCACTTGCTCACAGCCCGGAAGAGCAGCCTGGCACCTGCATGATGCGAGTGACCGACACCCTCTCTTGTTCAGCCAGGACCTGGATCACGCGGCACTCCAATTGCGTGCTTCGATATATTTTCTCGTGTGTCAGGCCATCGCCATTCCTTGTGGGAGGCGCCTCCATCGAAACAGGCTAATGAGTCCAAGCCACAAACTCCACGCAAGAGCTCGGAACTTGGCGTTCGGCACAGGCTCCGACGCTTAGATGTTGGGGCTCTCAACGAGTTTCTGTCGGAGGCACCATGTGACCAGCGTGCCTTCCGCATACCAGACGGCTGAGCCCAGCACACCAGTCATGTTCCTGGGCAGGCAGAACACGCACGTCACGGTGAGCAATTTTTCATGAGTTCTGACAATCATGGCCGGAAGAGAAGTCTTGAGCCAAAATGAAGCTTCATGCCGGCTTCCTGTAGGGTAGTCGCCTCAATTGCACGGATCCCGGCTGCGCTAGACTTGCGAATTGGGAGTTGCAAGGAGTGTACCTTGTGCCTGAGCCCATTTCGTAACCACTTCGGCCTCTCTGGTCGGCAGCCAGCCTATCGGAGGATATCGAAGACTACAAGTCCCGCAGTTCGGCCACGCCGCTCGCTTAGTAGACTCTCGCAGCCGGACTCGCAACTGGCGACGCGCGACGCGACGCGACACGGACGCGGTCTAAATTAGAGTTTGAAGAGCGTGATTGGCTGGCCCGTATGAATTGGGACCGAGGAGCTCTGGCGGCTCCGATGGTGGCATTGGCGACTGCTGGGCCATTGGCTGCGTCCTCCGGACAAGGGGCCTTTTTTGAATTGGATCCCTGGTGAGATCATCGTCAGGGTTCGTCTACGAATATGCCCTGATTTGGAAACCCAGCCCATGCCCGCGACAATGGCGCTGCTGACTGCGGATCCCGTCAGATGGGCCGCAATGCAAGCCATCGGGGCCTCGTGGGACGGCAGGAGGGAAATGACGGAAATGAGGGTGCCATGTGCGCAAGCGAAAAAGAGGGTCGTTGCTGCGGCCGACCACGATTCATCAATTTGGGGATTGACTGCGTTGCCTTGCGTTGCGTTTGCGCCGGGCGGCGCCGGCGGCGCTCACCCTGCACCGTCGGGCGTCGGTGTGGCAGGCGGGCAGCCATTCGCTCGCTGGTCGGCGCCGGAGGCCAGCCAGTGTTCGGTTCGGTGGTTGCAGAGGCCGGGCCTGGCAATTTTCCGGAGCCGGCCCGGATCGGTCCGGCAGCCCCAGCGACACGGCCAACAGCCCACCACAGCAGTGGAAAGCCAGGCGCCAGGCCGTGAGCGGGGCCAGGCCAGGCGAGCCACCACCACACAGTAGCAAAACTTCCGCCAAACTGCCTTGAGCCTCGCCTACCACTCCGTCGAAGCCCGTCCGTACCTTGCTTGCCGCCACAACGCGAGACTCGATCTGCGCTGGCAACGTGAAACGTAGCTCGGCCACGTTGACGCAGCTGTCGTCACTGCTGCCACACCCCACGACCGCCTTTCCGCACCCGCACCCGCACCGCACCCGCACCGCACCCGCGACCCCGCGCCGCCGCAGCCATGGACGCCGATATCAAGACCGTGCTCCCCAACATCGACCCCATCCTCTCCGACTACTCGGTGGGCTACCTGTCCCATGCCTCGACGGCCTGGTCTGATGACGAGGACCCTTCCGGCCTATCCCCCCTCAGCGAAGCTGCCGCCACCGTCACCGAGCTGCTCATATCGGCTTCGGGCAAGGTGGATGCCACCCTCGAGAACAAGATCAAGCAGCTCGTGGAGAAATGGGTCGACAAGTACACCGAAGCCAACGGTGGCGAGAGGCGGGGTCCGTCGACGGTGAAGCGCCTGGACCAGACCATCCAGGTCAGCACCCAGCGCAACATGTCGTCGACCCTCGCCGTCGCCACCGGCGGCGTTGATCTCGAGGCCGCCAACGCCCGCAAGGTCGAGTCCAAGGTCGACCGCAAGAAGCTCGAAAAGGCCGAGCGCAAGATCGCCGCCAAGCAGCAGAAGAAGACGTTCAAGACGGTCGAGTACGAGGCCTCCAAGCTGCTCGACCAGCCCGAGTCCACGCAGTCGTACGAGGAGTTTTACATGGCCGTCAACCCGCTGCAGCTCGGCTCCTCCGGCGCCAACAAATCGAAGGACGTCAAGCTGGAAAGCATCGACGTTTCCATTGGCGGGCAGCGTATCCTCACGGACACGACTCTCACGCTCGCCTACGGTCACCGCTATGGTTTGGTTGGTAACAACGGTGTGGGTAAATCGACGCTGCTGCGGGCGCTGTCAAGGAGAGAAGTCGCCATTCCCACCCACATTTCCATCCTGCACGTCGAGCAAGAGGTATGGCCCCCTGTGCATTGTTTTATTTATGGGGTTGTTCTGACGGCCATAGATTACCGGAGACGACACACCCGCTATACAGGCTGTTCTCGACGCAGACGTGTGGCGCAAGGTGCTGCTGAGGGAACAAGACGTAAGTGTCTATTTAATTCCCTGACATATCCACACACGGGATTGACGAAAGTAGGAACTGATGGCCAGCTTGGCGGACCTCGAGGCACGCCGCGCTCCGCTCGCCGACACGTCGGCCGACGCTGCCAAACTCGACCAAGAAAAGGAGGCCAAGGACGGGAAGCTGGGCGACATCCAGGGCAAACTTGCAGAGATGGAGTCGGACAAGGCGGAGTCTCGTGCGGCAAGTATCCTGGCTGGTCTCGGCTTCTCTCCCGAGCGACAACAGTTCGCCACCAAGACCTTCTCCGGTGGTTGGAGGATGCGTCTTGCGCTGGCTCGAGCCCTCTTCTGCGAACCCGATCTCCTGCTCCTCGACGAACCGTCCAACATGTTGGACGTCCCCTCCATCACCTTCCTCTCCGGATATCTACAGAACTACCCAAGCACGGTCCTGGTCGTGTCTCACGACAGAGCGTTCCTCAACGAGGTCGCCACCGACATCATTCACCAGCACTCTGAACGGCTCGACTACTACCGCGGAGCCAACTTTGACTCCTTCTACGCTACGCGCGAAGAGCGCAAGAAGGTGGCCAAGAAGGAGTACGAGAACCAGATGGCCCAGCGAGCTCATCTCCAGGCCTTCATCGATAAGTTCCGCTATAATGCCGCCAAGTCCTCGGAAGCACAGTCTCGTATCAAGAAGCTGGAAAAGATGCCCGTGCTGCAGCCGCCAGAGTCTGAGTACAACGTCAAGTTCCGGTTCCCCGAGGTGGAGAAGCTCTCGCCGCCCATCATTCAGATGTCGGGTGTTGCGTTTGGCTACTCCAAGGACAAGCCGCTGCTCAGGGACGTCGACCTGGATGTGCAGCTCGATTCCCGGATTGGCATCGTAGGCCCCAACGGAGCGGGTAAGACGACGATCCTCAAGCTCCTCATCGGGAAGCTGGAGCCGTTGAAGGGACTTGTCACGGCGCACTCTCGACTGCGAATCGGTTTCTTCGCGCAGCATCATGTCGACGCGCTGGATCTCACCGTGAGTGCCGTCAGTTTCATGGCCAAGAACTACCCGGGCAAGGCGGACGAGGAGTATCGGAGACAGCTGGGCGCATTCGGCATCACGGGCACGACTGGCCTGCAGAAGATGGGGCAGTTGTCTGGTGGTCAAAAGTCCAGGGTAGCCTTTGCATGCCTGGCGCTGACGAACCCGCACATCCTGGTTCTCGACGAGCCGTCCAACCACTTGGACATTGAAGCCATGGACGCCCTGGCGGAGGCGCTCAACGAGTTCGAGGGCGGTGTGCTCATGGTGTCTCACGACGTGACCATGCTGCAGATGGTGTGCACGTCTCTGTGGGTGTGCGATGGCGGCACGGTCGAAAAGTTCCCCGGCGACGTGCAGGCGTACAAGAAGAGGATTGCGGCGCAGGCCGATGCCGCGGGTGTGGTCAAGGCTCATTAACGCATGGATGATGCCGCGATATTGGGTGGTATATGCATCGTATATAGGGAGACGAATTTACGAACCAAGCCGTCTATTCTGCCACGCACTCCGTACAGCAAATGGCTCTGTTGAAGACATCTGGTGTGACTTTTGTGCGAGGATGCTGTGAGGTGCGCGGTCACCGGTGGGTCCTCATCTCAACGGAGCGGCGGGGAGCTCGCCGTGGTGAAGCCACCTCACTGTGCGTGCCCCTGGCTAGCCGAGACACGGAGCGCCGTCCACTGATGGCCGTTGACGTTTGCAGCGGGCCGAGCTCTATTTCTCCAGCACGACCACTGGAGGACATCGGACTGACCTGGGCCGGTTTCAAGGCAGGACCGTCGAGCAAGGCAGCCAGCATGCTTGTCCAGGCATCCCTTCATTACAGGCACTTGTTGCAGCTCTTCAGCAAGCGCCAGTGCTGCAGGCTCCATCCCCGACGAGCCTGGAGAGCTGCAGCAGAGCCCCTGGAAGCTCCAATGAGGCGCCTGGAGCCGCTGGTTTGGCGGGTGCCTTGCACTCGCCGTCTGTGCCGCCTTACCCCTTTGGGCCGCCGCACGGGCCCACGGTGGTAAACAAGCGAGAGTGAGAGATGAGGGGCCCGCACCTCCTGCCTCCTCCCCAGCCGGGGGGCCGTGGCGGTGAACCAGCTCATGCACCCTCCAACAAAAATCAACACTCCTGCTCGTCCCTTGCCTCCTCCCTACCCACACAACTCCGGATCGTGAAGCTCACCCCAGCTCGTGATTTCTTCCCCGAAAGCTCGCCGTACACTTCGCTCGTCGACATCCTCCAACCGCCAACATGCGTGAGATTGTGAGTCCTCTCTCCCCTCTCTCTGCTCTCTGCAGCCGCCAGGCGGACCCCTCATCCCGCGACGCGTCCTGAGGGAGCCCCTGATTTCTACCCCGCCGAGAATCGTTCGACGCCATTTCGGCCCAAGCCTCACCACCACGCGTGTCCGTTGCGATGCCGCCGCGAACTGTTTTGCTGACCTGGGTTTTTCGTCACATAGGTTCACCTCCAGACCGGCCAGTGCGTAAGTAACATCTAGCCTTCGCTCCGACCGGTAACGACGCGTGCCCGGTTCGCTCACAATGTTTTGATAGGGCAACCAAATCGGTGCTGCTTTCTGGCAGACCATCTCTGGCGAGCATGGCCTCGACAGCAACGGTGTCTACAATGGCACCTCTGAGCTCCAGCTGGAGCGCATGAGCGTTTACTTCAACGAGGTATGCTTTGTACCGCGCGTGGCGTGATGCCTAAACGGACAACTGATGCTGATATCCGCAAAGGCCTCGGGCAACAAGTATGTCCCTCGCGCTGTCCTCGTCGATCTCGAGCCCGGCACCATGGATGCTGTCCGCGCCGGCCCCTTCGGCCAGCTCTTCCGCCCCGACAACTTCGTCTTCGGCCAGTCTGGTGCCGGCAACAACTGGGCCAAGGGTCACTACACTGAGGGTGCTGAGCTGGTCGACAACGTCCTCGACGTCGTCCGCCGCGAGGCCGAGGGCTGCGACTGCCTCCAGGGCTTCCAGATCACCCACTCCCTGGGTGGTGGTACCGGTGCCGGTATGGGCACGCTGCTCATCTCCAAGATCCGCGAGGAGTTCCCCGACCGCATGATGGCCACCTTCTCGGTCGTCCCCTCCCCCAAGGTCTCCGACACCGTCGTCGAGCCCTACAACGCCACCCTGTCCGTCCACCAGCTCGTTGAGAACTCGGACGAGACCTTCTGCATTGACAACGAGGCCCTGTACGACATCTGCATGCGCACTCTCAAGCTGTCCAACCCCTCGTATGGCGACCTCAACTACCTGGTCTCCGCCGTCATGTCTGGCGTCACCACCTGCCTGCGCTTCCCCGGCCAGCTGAACTCTGACCTGCGCAAGTTGGCCGTCAACATGGTTCCCTTCCCCCGTCTCCACTTCTTCATGGTCGGCTTCGCCCCCCTGACGAGCCGTGGCGCCCACTCCTTCCGCGCCGTCAGCGTCCCCGAGTTGACCCAGCAGATGTTCGACCCCAAGAACATGATGGCTGCCTCTGACTTCCGCAACGGCCGCTACCTGACCTGCTCTGCCATCTTGTAAGTTTCTCATCCTCTGCCGCGCTTGATGCCTTGACTGACCCGCTCGCAGCCGTGGCAAGGTCGCCATGAAGGAGGTCGAGGACCAGATGCGTAACGTGCAGAACAAGAACTCTACCTACTTCGTCGAGTGGATCCCCAACAACATCCAGACCGCCCTCTGCGCCATCCCTCCCCGTGGCCTCAAGATGTCGTCCACCTTCATCGGCAACTCGACCTCGATCCAGGAGCTCTTCAAGCGTGTTGGTGAGCAGTTCACTGCCATGTTCCGTCGCAAGGCTTTCTTGCATTGGTACACTGGCGAGGGCATGGACGAGATGGAGTTCACTGAGGCTGAGTCCAACATGAACGACCTCGTCTCGGAATACCAGCAGTACCAGGATGCCGGTGTCGACGAGGAGGAGGAGGAGTACGATGAGGAGGCTCCCCTTGAGCACGAGGAGTAGAAAATTACTCAGTCGTGTTCACTGGGCCGTGTTTTTTGCCAAACGTTTGCGTTGCAGAGCCGGCAGGGTCATTTCGCTTCGGGTTGTGAGATTGTGCGCAGAGGTTCTAGATACCTTATTCAGACGATGCGATCATAGCACGCAACCAAATAACAAGTACTAAAGTACCAATACCTGTGTTTGGAATGCATTCTTGGTGCTTATTCACGATAAGTTAAATCCCACAGCTTGGCATGTACTGCATAGGGAGGTTCTGAGGCGTTGAGGCTCCTTACATCCCATCTGACCGTTGTGAAGGAGGCACGTGATCGAATGACTAAGCACCAAAAAGTTGCTGCGACACGATCCCAGCGTCGCCAAATCACCGGACACATCCGCAGCATCGATTGCGGCAACAACGCGAATCCAATGGCCTCTACGTTTGCTCCGATCCGGGGCAAGGCGTTGGGTCACGCCCTGCGCGGCGCGCCGGCCGTGTCGCTGCCGGGATTCCTCGTGCCGGCGTGGCAGCGGTTAGCGGCACAGCGACAGCACAAATTCTCGACGACGACGAAGCGGCCCTCGAAGCTGGGGCGGACGCCGATTTCAATACCGCCGGGCGTGGAGCTGACTATGGGGGAGCCCAAGTCCTCGCGGAGCGCGATGTCGTACGCGGCGACGGTGAAGAAGACGATTACGGTCAAGGGGCCGCTGGGTATGTTTGGTCCGCCTGGGACGCTCTCCCCCTCGGGCAGCAGACTTGAGGGAGGAAGAGCTCTGGAAACGAGCTTGGAAACGAGTGTCGGCTGACCGGATTGGCGCAGGGACCCTGGAGCTGGACGTGCCAGAGTTTGTCGGCTTGACGCAGGACCTGGAGGACCGGACGGCGCTGCTGAGCGTCGAGGACGCGAACGTGAAGCATCAGAAGGAGATGTGGGGTACGTCCATCTCTTTTCAACACTACCCCATTGCGCGATTTTGATTTTTTTCGTTGTGACGAGAGAATTGGTGGGCTGACAGGAAGCGTTCTGCGCAGGCACGACATGGTCCTACCTCAACAACCACGTCATGGGCGTGTCCGAAGGCCACACGGCGATCCTGCGGCTGGTGGGCGTGGGCTACCGAGCGAGCGTGGAGCAGCGCGGCGCCAAGGAGACGTTCCCGGGGCAAAAGTTCCTGTGCCTCAAGCTCGGCTTCACGCACCCGGTGGAGGAGGGGATCCCGCGCGGCGTGACGGTGACGACGCCGGCGCCGACGCGCATCCTGCTCGAGGGGCCGGACCGCGAGGTGCTCATGTCGTTTGCCGGGCGGGTGCGCAAGTGGCGGCCCCCGGAGCCGTACAAGGGCAAGGGCGTCTTCATCAACGACCAGACCATCAAGCTGAAGCAGAAGAAGATTAAATAAATGTGGGGAGTCGCGTGGGTGGTAGGCGCATAGGCGACGGTGCGCGTGTATTACGGAATGGGGGTTGTGTGTGGAAGAAAGAACTTGTACTACTAGCATGGTTGTCATATACTGGGGGTTATCATCAGATGAGCCCGTCTATCTGCGTCGCTTTTCCGCATCCCTCTCCCTTTTCCGTGCCTGATTGAATGCAAATTGTCGTTACAAGAGACGTAGTATCTACTGCTTAATCCTGAGTACCTCCTGGACGGCGTCGAGGACCGTCGCGTGAACGGCAGCCGGCGCCGCGACAACGCCCTTGTTGTTGGCGAGGGTGCGGCCGACGCCAAAGTCGAGCCTCTTGCCGTGGATATCCGTGACCTGACCGCCGGCCTCGCGGACGATGAGGTCGCCGGCGGCGTGGTCCCAGATCTTCTCCTGGTATGTGGCCTTGACGGGCAGGCGCAGGTAGATGTCGCCGGCGCCGCGGGCGATGGATCCGTACTTGGCCTGGCTGTCCATGCGAACGCTGGGCTGGGTGATGCCGAGGCGCTGGGAGATGAGGGCCTGGTCGTCATGGGCCGAGTGGCCGGCCTCGACGCTCTCGCAGAAGGTGGCGGCGGCGAGGTCGCGGATGGGCCGCATGGAGATGGGCTTGGCGGGCTCGGCGAGGGCGCCGGTCGCGAGGGGCCGCGAGGTGGCGCCGCGGGCCTGCACGGCGGAGAAGAGCACGCCCCGGCCGGCGGCGGCGTCGTCGGTCTGGTTCGCGCCGCCAATGTCGGTGGTGAGGCGGGCGGCGTCGTCGACAGGCAGGTTGGGGCAGCCGAGGACGCCGACCTTGACGTCTCCGTCGACCATGAGGCCGAGGCAGACGGCGTACTGGCCGCCGCGGAGGAAGCCCTTTGTGCCGTCGATGGGATCAATGGTCCAGATGCGGCCGCTGTTGCCGCCCTTGCTGTCGCCCCGGTCGATGAGCTCGAGCATGGCGTCGACGCTCGGAACGGCACCGCCGAGGACGTCACGCTCCGCTGCATCGTCGGCGAGGCGCGTGTCGCGGACGAGCTCCCAGATGGTGTCGCGCAGGGCGGGGTCCTCGCGCAGCTGGGCGGCCTCCTCCTCGGCGACGATGGCGTCGGCGGGGAAGTTGTGGCGCAGGGCGGCGATGATGAGGGCCTGGGCGCCGAAGTCGCCGACGGTGACGGGGCTCTTGTCCGACTTGTCGACGGTGCCCTTTGCCTTTTCGTGGAAGACGCGGCGGGTGAGGATGGCGGCGCGCTGGACGGCGAGCTGCGCGACGAGGAGCTCGCGCTCGTACGCGGGGGCGGCGGAGGAGGAGGACGCCATGGTGACGGCGGCGGCGGTGGCGGCGACGATGCTCGGACGGCGGAGGAGGAAGTGGTTGGAGAGCTGCCGCAGGCGGGGCACGACGGAGGAGGCGTTGGGCAGCAGGATAGCCAGCGTGAGGACGAGGAGGGACAGCAGGAGGAGGAGGGGTAAGTGTCTGGAGACGAAGGAGGGACGAGACGGGTGCGAATTGCGTCGGCGGGGCGGTGTCGTCGTCGTCGTCGTGTCAGACATGTATGTGGTGGGTGGGTAAGCGATGATGGAGTTTTGGAGGGGCAGCGGCAGCAGCCATGTGGGGGAGCTTTCGCCGGTTCGGTGGTGAGCTTCGGGTCGTCGGCGGGCACTAGAAATAATCCCTCCCCTGTCACGACTCAAACAGCCCAGCTGCCACCCCGACAGCCCGGCGAAGAATTGGTTTGGTCACTCAATGCAGGAACGGCATTCACACGCGAAGCACACGATCACATGTATACTGGTAGAGAGGCTGACTTTTGAATTGCCTACACGGTAATGGTCCCCTCCATGACGGGCACCGCCGTCCCGCCCAGGAACAGCTTGTCGATGCCGCCCGCCGGCTTTGCATGGATCTCAATGGCAATGTCGCTCCGTCTGCCCATGTGCTCGCCCTGCACAATGTCAAACTTGAGCTTGTTGGTGCCGCTAGCGGCGGTGGCCTTGCCGGAGAGCGTCAGGTAGCTCGCCAGCGTGCAGGCGGCGCTGCCCGTGGCCGGGTCCTCAAAGTCGAGCTCGACCATGCGCGTGTGGCCGCTCCACGCCACGGCAGAAGCCTGCGAGGGGTTCGGCTCCTTGACGTAGTAGTACCGCGACATGAAGCTGTCCTGCCACGGCCCCTCGTCCAGCAGCGCCTTGGACAGGTCGCGGAAGTCGAGGCGCTTGCTGACGCTCACGCGCGCGAGGTGCTCCACGGACGGCAGCTCGACGAGCAGGAACGTCATGCCGCGGACGATGCTCACCGCGGGGGCCGCCAGCTCGGCCTCGCGCGTGGCCGCATCATCCGAGAGCTCCCTGTAGGCGGCGCGCACCGCCGCCTCGCCGAGCGCCGTGGCGCCGTCGCCCTCGAGCACGTCGCGCAGCGTCTTGGTGTGGACGTGCACGTCGTGCGGGATCTGCGCGAGGATGCGCCGCGGGTCGGCCTCCTCGGGCGCGATGCCGATGGGCCCCGCCTTGGTGACGAGCGTGTCGACGTGCGCCCACCGGAGGATGTTGCGGACGAGCACGGCGGTGCCGATGGTGGGGTGGCCGGCGAACGGCAGCTCCTGGTCGACGGTGAAGATGTCGGCGCGGCGCGACGTGGCGGCCTCGTCGTCGTCGTCGGCGTCGTGCAGGAAGACGGTCTCGCTGAGGTTGAACTCGCGCGCGATGCGCTGCTTGAGCTCCTGCGTGAGGCCGTCCCGGGCTGCCGCCGGCACGCGCACCACGGCCAGCGGGTTGCCGGCGAAGCGCGTCTCGGTGAAGACGTCGAGCGTCGTGAAGGAGAGCTTCTGCGGAGGTGCCATGATAACAAGGGTTCTCGGGCGTTGTTGTTGGCCGGCCTGAGGTTATTGCCGTTTGGGGATGAGTGCCGGGGGGCGGAGGAGTGCCGATGTCGAAAGTGCCGGAGGACCGGAGCTGGCTTTATTCACGGAGCGTAAAACCCACCCCCACTTCGACACGGAAAACTTCGAGTCATCCATCGGCGCCGCGCGCGCCCTTCCGTCGACTCGCCAAAGAGGGTCTTTTCCGATAGTCTAAACATCGTATGAGTATGACGCTTCATGCTGCACTTGATTGCTTAAGAAGAAATGTCTCGCACTGGTGGGATTAATACAATCGATTAGTCTCGGGGTTTGCTAAACAAACATGATGACATTGCCCCGCCGGTTCGCGCAACGCCGCCGTATTCAACGCCAGAGGTAACAAACCCCGGCATGCCCACACCACTGACTCCTTATTAACCTCTCCATGACTGTGTCTCTTCCGCATGTCGGCCCTGTTACTCGTATCTGGTTCGATACGGACCGAAACCGTAACAAGTACCTTTCGAGGAGACCTACTCCGACGATGGCGACAAGCAATCCCATCAGATGGGCCCTAGGCGTACACTGTAGCATCCTACTCACTGTATGTTCATCAATCTCGCAGGAAAGTCATTCAACCACCGCTCGTTTGCATCTCGAAGAGCATCCGTGGCCTTAATTTCCTGCGCTTGCGCTGTGCGGGCCACCTCGCTCAAGTCGGCGTTCGCCTTGCTCAAGTCGGCGTTCGCCTTCACCAGGGTCGAGATCGATTCAGACAGCTGTGCGTTTGTCTGCAGCAACTGCGACAAGGCCGCATCCAAGGTGTTGGCGGTGGCAACAGTGGCAGCGGTGGCAGGCTCATCAGGGGCAGTGTTCGTCGCATGAGCTGGGACGGGCTGCTCCTCGTCGCCAGACGCGCGGGTATCGTCGGCCTGGGCAGCGGCCGCCCGCCTCGTCACCATAGCGGGCGGGGCGCCTCCTCCCTGGGCGGTGCTGGGATTAGTAGCGATGGAGCTGTCCGCATCGTCTCCGGTGCCGTCGGACGCTGCACCTTTCGAGCGCTTCGAATTTGGGTGATACCTGTCGCGAAGGATACTGATCTGGCGTGTCAATGCTTGGAACTATATGCAGTCAGCACTGGTCGCTCATCAGATGCCATGCTATTCCGTAGCAAAAAGCAATAGCGGATGCCATACCTCTCTGGATCTCGCGTCGATTGGACCCCTGAGGATCATGTCCCGGAGCTTCAACAGCGGCTCCCTCAACTCCTCATGAACCTGTACATTTGCTTAGCAACGTTCCCCTCCCTCAAGTCCGAGTAAACGAGCCAGCGACTTACCGGCTCACAGCCCTGGTGCGTCACAACACACTCTCCACATTTGTCGCGTGCGGCTACACGTCCAGTCAGCGAGTTCAAAGCCCGAAGGTAGTACCGAGAATGGTAGAAACCCCGGTGGAGCACTCACGAGTCTGCTCCTAGCAGAGCTTCTCCTTGTTGGCGGCGAGAGCGTGCTTGATGCACTTGACACAAATCTCCTCACGGTGCGTGAGGGCGCGCCCGGCGGCGTGTTGCAGCTTGCGTCTCCAAGTCTGCACCCTGCTCTCTCGCGAGGCGGGCTGCTTCTTCGATGACGGCATCGCGACGGGGCTGGAGCCAGACCGGGCCAGGGGGCCCGGGCCGGGGCTGATGATGACGAGAGTTCGAAGCGCGCAACGGCGAAAAGAGGGAGGAGCGTGTGGAAGCGGGAAATGTGACGGGAAAGAAACAGTGATCCGGCGGGAGGACTCGCAGAAAAACATTAGGTAGGGCGGCTGCGCGTTCTTTCGCCGGTGGCAGGTCAGTGCAAACGGAAAATCAACATTGAACACGGCCGGCAAATGAGACCCACAGCACTCATCAACCAAGGCGTCAGACGAAAGACGCGGACAAGAAAATAGCCCACCGCCAAAAGACAAGAAAAACACTCCCTGGAAGATCCCGGATAACTGCACTTGTCGCGCTTCTTCTGACGCATCACAGGAAGCAGGTACTGTGCGAGACAACGGCAACCAACACTACCAGCGGCATCCGATTGACTTGATCCTCGCCGGACTTCACTCGGAGCATGCGTGGGGCCCGGGACCCGGAGCAGCGGCCCGAGCGAGCTGTGCCTCCCGGCCCCACCCCGGCCGACCCTTGCGCTAACATTTTTCGCTCGCGCGACAAGATTCATTTTGGACTCTTCCCCATCACCAACCACCACCTTCCATCCGCGTCATATGTCCTCAACCACAATTACAACCATGGCCACCACCGCCCGCTCGCCCGCGCACCTCCGCTCCCTCTACCGCTCCCTCCTCCGCGAGCTTCCCCCGCGACCCATCCTCAAAGCCCCCCGCTCGCCGCTGCACGCTCACCTGCGCGGCACGTTTGCCGGCCGCGACGCTTCCGCCTCCCCCTCCTCCTCGACGCCACAATCATCATCGTCGTCAGTGCCAGCGCATCCCCAGCACAGCCAGGCCCACGCCGAGGCCGAGCAGCTCGTCGCGTACCTGCGCTCCCAGCGCCAGTACGTCGCCCTCATCGAGCGCTACAACCCGGGCATGGACATGGACGAGGAGGAGCGCGTGCGCCTCACCGCCCGCCGCGTCGGCATGGACCTGCCCGTCGGGTACGCCGCGGACGGCGGCGCCGGCGAGAAATGAGCGAGGGAATTCCTTTTTCAAAATTGTCTCCCGAATCCCGGGGCTGCGCTACGGGGAGAACGGACGCCGCGCTAGACCGGAGTGCTTCGTTAGCCGTGCCCGCCGAGTCTTCCCCGGCGCTGAGAACTAGGGGCCCCCGTGGTGCGCTTCCGTGGGAGACCTGGCACCATGAGCGCGGGAATGAGGCATTCGCCACGGACCCCTGTATATTCCCAGCCTACCCTTTCAATACTGGTTCGGAACCGCGGCCAGGCTGCGCTCGTCCGACTTGAGCCACTCACCAATCACCAAAACATCATCCCGCTACCGCTCGCGATTTATGACGGGGACACACATCTACAACGACACGTTCCACACGCGGCGTCTCGACCCGGACCCATCAGAAGATCTTCAACCACATGTACACACTGTATCACCACATCGGCGTATTTCGGCATCGCTTATGGCATTATTGAGCAGAGCATGGTTATGGGTATATGGAACCTATAGGCTGGTTGGCTGACTGTGCCGCGTGCCGGCCAGAGACCGCCCCCGCCGTCCCCCGAACCGAGTGATCAGCTCCTATAGAGAGTCGGCGGCACGAGACGGTCCAATGGACCAATTCGAGCTCGCAGGCGTTATTAAAGCGTTTATCTGGTCAAAGGGACACGGGCAGTTGGGAACGCATGTTGATACTGTTACAGAGGCATCGATACCAGCCGCTGAGGCGTTGTACATTAGTCACATATATCTGCAGCCTTGTGCCAAAATCTGCACTTCCTTACTGTTGCCAAATATTCCGCGGAACCTTGGCTACGTTCGCGTTCCGACGAGGCCATGCGTGTATTCATGTCCACATATGATCGCCATCATAGTTCGTACACTCCAATCTCACAGGCCGTAAATCATCCTTTGGGGTATCTAGTCACATCCACGCTCGTTCGTTACGCTCCGCCAAACACCGCCGACTCCTCTAGCGCCTCGTCCCAACCGCCCGACTCCAGGAGCCACGTCGCCGTCCGCTCCTTGACGTTCTTGATGCCCTCTCCCAATGCGCCGTTCCACTGGTCCTGCACCACGCGCACCTTTTCCTTGAGGTCCTCGGTCAGGCGCCTGTCCTCGCTCTGCCGCATCGCCCTCGCCCGCTCCTCGCGATCCTCGGGGCGCAGCCGTGTGCCATCCGGCTCTTCCACCTGCGATGCAAGAACTCTTGCCTTGGCGTTAACCACGGCACCCTTCACCTCGTGGAGCAGACATAGCAGGTTTGTGTGCGACTCGATGAACTGGTACGTGCTCTTCTCCGTGTGCTGAAGCAGACTGAACAGGTATTGAAGCGGATGCTCTCGGTATGCTGGATTCTCCTCGTATTCCGGTGCAGGAATCTGGATGCTGAAGCCCTCTAGATCGTCGGGAATGTTATCCAGCAATTGTCGCAGGGGCGGCGCTATGTCCCAGAACGCAGAGAGCTGCAGCGCTACGCCTCGCTCCACCGACTTTTCCATTACCGATCGGAACTCTCGCGCTCGGTCGAGAACCTCGTTTGAGTATGCGTATTCGCGCTTGGCGGCGTCCTCTGCGAAAAAGGCCTCCGCCGACTTGAGCTTCTCGGTGTTCCCCGAGAGCCGGTACGGCGTCATGACCACTTCGCAGTACCGCGCGTTGCGGTCAGACAAAATGTCGTAAATGGCCCGGTGGAGAGTCTCCCGCATCTCGAATATCCACTTGAGGAGTGTCAACTTTTCAAGGAGTTCTGGCCTGTCGTCCCCTTCCTCCTGTGGCATATCCGCATCAATTCTACCGCTGTCGAATAGGTGCCGCGACAGCTCGTCGAAAAAGTCCCTGGCCCGGGCAATGCGCCCCGTCAAGAGGTCGTTCAGGGGTAGAATCACTTCGTTCTGGAAGAGTTCGTATTCGGCCTTTTCCAGCTCCTTCTTCTTATCCCTTTCTTGATCTTGCGAGTCTGACTCGATCGCAGCCGCGTCCGCATATCCCAGGTTCCCGGCATTGATTTCCCGCTGCAGGTTGGCTCGCAGTGACTGGCGGCGCTGGGAGGCAGCCTGCGAAAACTCCTCTCTCCGTTTCGAGCTCGCAATAGCGAACCGCTCTTTGGCATTGTCGATTTCCGAGAGATCGCCCAGCGCCCTCACAGAGCTTCGTATCGTCGCCAACTCGGGGTGACTGTTGTTCACGGCAGGATGGTGGCGCGGGTACGGTGGAGGCATCGTGACGAGTCGCGACACGTCTAGTGATTCTGACTTGTGAGCGGACGGCGACGTGCTGGAGCTGACTGGTGTAGCAAGCGAGTGCAACGGTTGCGGCGTCGAGGACGGCTCTCCCTGGTCATGCCAGCCAGTCTTCTCCGGAGGGTACTCAGACGACGATCTGTAGTCACTCCCGCCTGCCGCTTCTTCCTCGACCCACTGATCCTTGGGGACGCCCATGTATTTGGACTCCCGTTTCGATCTCTCAAACACACGTGAGCCGTCACCTTGCGAATCAGATTCCCACCATCTGCTTGGTGGACGGCCTCTGGAGCTGCCGTTCTCGTAGTTGTCGCTGACGCTCATGCTAAGGATTGGTGAAAGCGATGGCATGTAGTTGCTGGCCCAGGTACCAGTGTTGATTGGACCAGCGCTCGGTGACGTGGGCAAGTTCGCCGACGCAGGTGCCGAATTGGATGGCCCGTCGCCCCGAGAGGCCGAGCCCATGGAGTCTCTGTATGACGCGGCTGGGTCTGTTGAGGCCGGCGTCCACTGCTCTTGTGACGTGGCAGAGTCACGCCTGGAGGGTGCCATGGGTCGAAACAGATCTCGAGTGAGGTCAAAGGTCTCCGACCCCATGGCACTGATGGCCGCAGAGTATCTTTCTCGGCGGATTCTCGACTCGTTGACGAAGAAATCTGCAAACAGCCGAACTCTGTCGGCGTCGCTGGACGCGGCTGCTTCCCTTTCCGCAAAGGCACGAAATCGCTCCACGGCCGCGGCCGCAAACTGGCTTGCATTCTGCGTCACAATACTCTGTTTGGACACCGGGGTTGTGACCGACGCAGGAGGGCGGGAACCGTCCCGGGGCCGGGATCGAGACGCCGACCGTGTCTGAGGCGGCGGAGTGGGCAGCGCTTTGGGCACCACGGACTGAGGGGCGCTGGAAGACTGGCCGGCTTTGATTGCAGATGGCGAAAAGGGAGGGGTTGCCGTCTGAAGCTGAGGCAGCTTGGCAGAGTTCGGAGCTCGAGGGGTCGAGTTGCGAGAGTCTGCCTGGCTTGACGACTCTCCAGCCTGATAGAGGTCAGGCAGCAAACCACCACTGCGGGGATTCGACTTCAGCTTGTGCCCATCTGGGCTGCGTGGTACGACTATATCGGATATCTCATGCGGCTTTGTCATGGCGTCCATGGACCCCTGCGACGAATGTCGGTTGCGGCTTTCGGCTCGTCGCTGGATAATAGTCTTGTCATGACGGACAGCCTTAGCTCGATTGAGCCCCCCGCTGGCACTGCCGGACGATGCCAGGGGCTCTGGGACGTCTTGAGCGGCGGATGCTGTGGCCGTGTCAATCGTCAGGCCAGGTGACTTGCTCCGCGGTCTCTGGCTCGGGAGAGCGTCCTCGTCAACCCAATTTGCCGGTGTGGGAGGCACCGGCCCAAGAGACGCCACACCACTGGGAGGGGCCCGCCGCGTTGGAGGCGAGATGATGGGCACGCTGTTTCTGTCCATGCTCTGCACGCTTTGTGACCTGGAACTAGACGGCGGCGGCCCTGGTGGAGGCGGAGGCAGGGGCATGCCCGGCTCCCATCGTGTTTGTGACGTGGACCGTGAGCGGGCGGAAGTCGGCGTGTCGATAGCACCCGTGGAGGCAGCGCGCCGGGCTGACGGCGGTACAGGGTTCAAGACGACCGACGATGGAGAAGCCATGCGCTCTGGTTCTTGATATAGTGACGGCAGTCCCACGCTTCTCCTAAACGGCCCTCCGGGTGGTTGTGGCTGTGAGTCTGGAGATTTGGAACTTTGCTCGCTGTCTCTACGACGACCGAGAGAGGGTAGTCCGAAGCGCCTCTCACGGCTCGCGCCTCGCCCATTGGCGCCTGGTGGCGGTGGAAAGGCACGGGCACCTGGAGGTTCGGGGGAAGGCCGGTGCACAGCAGTCGTCGTTATTCGAGGCGGGGGAGTCGATGAGACGGTGTGCTCGAAAGCCGTGCTCATCGGCCGCTGTTGCTGGCTCCTCGGCGGGCTATACGGAGGAGGGGGTGCCGCTGGAGTGACAGGAACGTCAGCATACAGACAAGGTCAAGACAACGTTGAGGTACTACCTTGAGCTTCGACGGCAGGAAACTGCCGCGTCCTGTCTGTCGAGGGCATCGTGGCAGGTGCAGGGGCGGTGGAAGGGACCCATTCCTGAGGGTTGTAGGGCTGTATCGCGCTGGCTGGAGTGTGCGCGGAGTGGATATGCGACGAGGCCATGGACACGGCCGAGATGGGCGTATTTAGTTGGGCGTTGTAGGGCCCGAGCGAGCTCGTGGTGAGAGGATTCAGGCCTTGGCGGAGGCGGGCCTGATCACGGGGAGAGTCCATTCTAATTCGAGCCCGGGCGGCACCCGGCGGTGCCTGTCCAACGCGAGGCTGCTCGATCCGATGCGGGTTTGGTGCGGTATGGGGTATGCGACCTCCCTCAACAGGCCGCAGAAGGCCGACGAGGGATGGGGCGAGTGAAGCCGGACGGAGCGCCTTGAGTGGGCGGGTAAATGAGGACAATGTCGACTAACACGCTGTGTCGCCTCGCCTAGGTGCCGCGGCTGGGCCCGCGGCTTGGGTCGAGTCAAGGGCCGCCGAGTCGCTGCGAGATGCGAGCCGTCTGGCCGTTTGCGTGACCTGGCCGGGCCTGTCCCTTGTCACAGCTCCATCAGTGCGCGGCGGGCGCGGAGGAGATGCAGCTTCGCGAGGCGCGCGTTGGACGCTGACTGCAGAACAGGCGCGGCGGCGGGGAAGCTCGATGGTGTGTGCCGGCGACGAGGGATCCGGAAACGACGGTGCCGGAGGAGGGCAGGCGAAAGGGCAACGGCGATGGATGAGTCGAAGACGGGTTGGAGGGGGAGACGATGTGAGAGACGCGGGCCAGGTGTGCTTTGTTGCGACGGGCCATGGTGGTTGGTCGGCGTCTTGGGCAGCTCGTGGGAGGTGGTGACAGGGGTCGATTTGCGGCGTCGCCTGGGGGCAGTTTGGGCGCATGGGATGCCCCTGCCTTGGCTGCTTGGCCTGGCCGAATGGAAGCCCAGCCTGCATGAGGTGAGGTGCTCACTGCTGAGGTGCCTGTGCTGTGCTGCACGGCGCGCGACGCTAGGGGAGTCATGCCGCCGTTGGTTGCCTGCAGGTGCAGGCGCATCGACTTCATCAGCACGATGCCTCGGACACCTTGTCTCGCGTCCCGTTCGAACGTGTACATGACGGCGCCGCTCGTTGGGCGAGACCAGCACTTTGCTCCAGGCTCCCGCGCCGTGGACCAAGTACAGATTGGCCTGCGCGTTCGCATCGGATGCGACGCTGGCTATCGTGTAGCTGTGACACGGCACACGCGGGCCGCTGTTGCAGGCTTCTCCAAGATGACATGCAACAACGATTCAACGTGCGATTCATGCTCGGCACCGCCCAGGTAAGTATCCCCATCCATCCTAAACCCAGCGGGACCGGGACTTGGAGCACGGTCCTCCTCCGTCGTCGTCCAACAAACCCGCAGCTCACCTCACCGACACGACGGTTGCAAGTCGAGTCGTGATGTCCATCAACGGCCAGCCTCCCCAGGGACCGTCCCCGCGCGATCGACGCCGGCCGGTGGTTGAGGGCGGGCTGGCGCATGGATTGGCTGATGGCCAGCGATATCCTCACCACTGCAGGTGGATCGCGTCCCTGCCCATTCTATTCTTGGGTTGAGCCGAGCCATATCCCAGCCCTTGATTGGCCGCGCCTTCAACGGCGCATGTGAAGGGGTTGGAGGCCGGCGCTTAATAGCGTCCTTTCTGGTGCCTGGACCTGGAACGCCTGCCTTCCAGGTTGCCATTCATTGTTCCAGCAAGCGATGCTCACGCCATGCGCCGGCAGGTGAACCGTGAGCGGCGGAGGACGCTGACCCGAGAGACGTCCCAAAGGCAAAGAGGCAGTTTGAAGCATTGCTTCACACATGTACACCGTACTGCCTCCGGCTTCGCGGGCAGGTCATGGCCGGACTGTGGTCCGACGTGGACAATGGTTGAAGAGTCAAGACTGTCCCGCCCCGGCAGCGCAACAGGCTGTTGGCCCTGCACTACGCGGGTGGACCGGCCGCGGCCTTCAGCGGATACCCCGGCGTCGTGCCGTCGACGCCCCGCCGAAGGTGTCCTATTTTCGTCCGTCGGGACCGGCTTGGCCGAGGCCGACGCGCAGGGGCTCGGCCGGCAGATGGTGCTCCGGCAGGACTTGTGCCGTCCCATGGAGGAATGGAGATGTGCTTGGCACCTCATGGGCCGCTTTATTTTGGGACCAGCTTGACTAGAAATCACGGCAAGCATGTTAAAGCCAGGTAAAATGCCGCACTGCTGGTGTTGGTCGGACGGTCAGGCACCAAAGGGTAGATATTGGTGGGCCACACCCGCTATAGCCTTGAGGAACCTGACGAAATGGTACTGGGGAGAGATCGTTACAGAGGCTCCGTACGGCACTGCTCCAGTCTCAATTATGCCAAAGACGATTAAATGTTTGAATAATGTAGGAGTACTGCTTTGACGTTTCTCCAGAATGCCGAGGAGGGCAGGTCGCCGGTACCCCAGCCAGGCATCATCATCTTCATCCCTACAAAGGACTGCTCAATTTGAACAATCTCTTTTCCCCTGCGACATGCACCATTTGCGTCGTCTTCGATGCACTCCATCACAGCCTCAGTCAGGCTGGGTCCCGTGCCGGATTCCCAATCGGACCACTGCTGGCGGACCATTTCGCGTATTGAGCCTCACGAAAAATTTCCACAGTCCAAGACGGAAAGGGAAAGCATGGCGAAGTGCCCGATGATTGAAGAACTCATCGATGGGCCACTCTCGGAGCATTTATAAAAAGGCTCGTATATACGCTTGGCAAGATGTCGGGGGACGATGGGCCTTTGGCAGTTCGCACAGCCCGGTGCATTCATGTTAACGATGCCCAAAGACAACGCCTGTTCTCAGCATTCAACCCTTCCTGGACGCAGGAACGACCGCCGTTTCTACCCCGGCGGACGATTTTTGCTTGCCAAGTGATCCCCTGAGAGCAATGGGAGGCGCGTCTGAGGGTTGGCTGATTCGCGCTTATGCCAAGACGCCCCAGCCCAGGTCAAAACACCCTGTAAGTCGGGAAGAGTATTTCCCCGACATCGGTCAGCGCTCCATTCCGCATAGTAAAACGGCTTGTTTCCATTCATTCTGGACCGGGCAAACTACGCCTGCAAACAATCTCCCGGACGCAGTCTTACTGCCATGGGACGATCGCCATGCCTCTTCCAAATATGGTCACCTCGCCTAGGCGGTTTTCAGCTGCCGCACAGTTGCGTCGCAGCTCATTGCAGCAGGCGTGCACGTGGAGATTTACTTCTTCTGGAGAGGATTAGTTCTTTCTCGATCAGATATATATATAAGGAGAAGACATGTCGTTGAGCTAATTTAGTTCCCATCGTTGCGCATCAAGATCATCAGGTACAGCGGGAATAGCGGGCGAACCTTAAAACAAGTCTAATTTTCAAAAATGGGCTCCCTTCGTCAGCTCGCCGAGGCCTTTGCGCCTTTGCTCGTCTCCCTCCTCACCTCGACGACATGCGCCGCCGTGATCGCAGAGCGCTCGGTCGCTGAGCTCGCCGACGACCAGGCCCTCGCCGCGCGCGCCGTCCCCAAGTCGGCCTACTTCAAGCTCAACGAGCCGTCGCACGACCTCTTCCGCCACAAGACGCTCAAGGACGACACCGTGCAGCAGAGCTTCGCCTTCGACCAGAAGAACCGCCGCCTCTTTGTCGCCCAGCGCAAGAATGGCACGCCCAGCGAGAAGGGCGACCTCTGCATCACGCAGCTAGACTTCTCCGGCAAGTACATCTCGCACATGTACGTTCTGGGGTCTGGACACGGCGTCGCCATCGGCGCCGAGTCCGTTGGCTCTGACACGTACCTGTGGACCGAGGCCAACTGCAAGAGCAACGGCTATGGCGAGCGGCTGGCTCGCTTCAAGTGGACCAAGGGCAAGACGGTCAACGTGGGCAGCGGCTCAAACGCCGTCACCAAGTTCAAGCCCTTCCCCTCCTCCACCAACATCATCTGCAACATCAACGGCCTCGACCAGTCGCTCGTCTGCCGCTACAGCTGCAAGCAGGGCAAGTGCCTGGCCGGCTTCGCCATCGACAAGGCCAGGAAGGGCGACTTCTCGACTCCGCTTTACAACGTGCCCCAGCCGGCGCTCAAGGGGCGGTCCGATGTCTTCCAGGGCTACGTCGCCTACGGGTCTTACGTCTACATGCTCAGCGGCACGTCCAACGACATCAACAAGGGCAAGCTGGACTCGGAGGTGACGAGCGTTGACGTCAACACCGGCAAGATCCAGCAGGGTCCTGTGTTCACGGAAGCGGGCAAGTCGCTTGTGTTCAGGGAGCCGGAGGGCATGGGCGTCTACACGACTGCGGCCGGCGAGCCGCGCCTGTTCCTCGGATTTGCGTCCGGTAAGGCTGGCGATCGCCGCTGCAACCTGTTTTACAAGAACGTCCTGGTCAAGCCTTGAAGCCATATCCCGGCCGGCCGATGCGATGCACCTTAGACTTGAGCCATGCAACAGCTCTCCCTAAACTTCATTTTCGTCATCTTTAGATATTCCCGTATATATTCTATCGGGCAATTCTGGCAAGAATACGGTGCCTTATATACTTTTACTTTTCAGTTCATACCCTGCAGGGGCACGAGAATTATTGTTTCACTCGTCGATGCTCTCTATCAGCTTGAACCACGACAGCTTGCCTATCTTGTCGCCTGATCACTTGTGGAATGAAAGAGCTGCTGTTTTGAATCCTGCTAAGCCCCTCGCCGCTACAGCTTTTGGGGGACAACAGCCAACACGCGAGACGGACGGTTCGAAGCTGCTTGACAGTTTGTCGTGAGGTGTCAGCCATCTCACCAGGAGCCGCAACATGCTGCCTCTGTGCGTGGAACGCCCGAGACAATCTCAGCAGACAAAGCTTCGACTACATTGAGGATTTTGCATCGAAACACCACCGAAGCGAAGGCCAATGCCGACACAGCCCCCTGTTTTCGCCAGGACTTTGCCAGCGTTCCCGAGACATGTGAATTCTTGACCCCATCACCAACGACGGACGGTGCAGCAAATCACTTTCCTAGCAACGGAACTCATCGCGCTCTGCACTGAACTTGGGTCAAGTAGCCGATTCCAACATGCTACCCGCTGAGTGGACGAATTCCAAGTTGATACTGATGACTCGCGATCGATGCAAGGCTGACGATGGCTCCCGCGTCGCGCCGGCCGGCCTGTGATGTGTCCCGAAATGACCGGCCCCGCTTTTTACCTCGCGGTGGGGGCACAAGGCTCTCGTGAAATTCTAGAGCATTCTGAGCTCGCCAACTTCGTCCTTTTCAAATCTGCATCCTCCCTCCCCCTCTTCGCCAACCCTTCCACTGGTACGCCGCGACTCGTCAATCACACACCAATTGACGTCTATCTATAGCTGCATCACTGTAAGTTGCCCACAGACTCCTTCGCTGTCCACACACCGCCGCAGTCAACATGATGAGACTCCAGCTGGCACCAGTCATAGGGTGACTTGTACTCCCTCCATTGATGACCAATTTGCTGTGGTTTACAAACCACCTCTGAACATGCAACTGCAACTTGCTCTTTTTGCTACTTTGCGTACATATTGGCGTGCACGTGCTGACCCGCGCCCGCGTCAGGATTCGCGTCTCTTCCGTCTCTTCCGAGCCTCACCGGCACAATGGTTCTGCACAACCCCAACAACTGGCATTGGGTCAACAAGGATGTCTCCCAGTGGGCAAGGACGTGGTTCGAGGAGAACCTGACCCAGATCGAGGCCAAGAATGGCGATGTTGAGGCCAAGGTCAGCAAGATCCAGAGCATGGACGGCGACGTCGATGTCAGCCAGCGGAAGGGCAAGGTCATTACCATCTTCGACGTGAAGCTGGTCCTGGAGTATACCGGTATGGGTTACACAGACGATGATATCTGCCTATTGAAGTCTAACAACCTCCCAGGCTCTGCACCTGACGCGGACGAGGTCTCGGGCACCATTACTGTCCCGGAGATTGCCCACGACACAGACGAGGACGAGTATGTGGTACGTAGTGCACCGCTGTCCCGATCAGAACAATGCCATGGGACTAACATGCCGTAGTTTGACGTCGACATCTTCTCCGAATCCAAGGAGAAGCAGCCCGTCAAGGACCTGGTGAAGTCCAAGATTATTCCCCAGCTGCGGACACACTTCCAAAAGCTCGCTCCTGCCCTGATTGCCGAGCATGGCAAGGACATCCAACACGCCGCCGGCTCCAACCCCTCGAGTGGCTTCTCCACCCCGAAGCTTCACCCTCAAGCATCCACGCCTAAGCCCGCGCAAAGCAGCGCTCCTACCAGCACGTCCGGCGTTGTCAACACCGTCACGGTGACTGACAACGAAGAGTTCCGGACCACGGCCGAGGAGATGTACCAGACCTTTGTCGACCCTCAACGGTTGGCGGCTTTCACACGGTCTCCCCCCAAGGTCTTCGAGGGCGCGGAGAAGGGCGGAAAGTTCGAGCTGTTCGGCGGCAATGTGTCGGGCGAGTACCTCGAGCTGGAGTCGCCCAAGAAGATTGTGCAGAGCTGGCGGTTGAGCCAGTGGCCCGCCGGCCACTACTCAAAGCTGCAGATCGAGTTTGACCAGAACGACGTGGACCACGTTACCGTGATGCGTGTCACGTGGGAGGGTGTTCCCGTCGGCCAGGAGGAGGTAACCAAGAGGAATTGGCTCGAGTACTACGTCAAGAGCATCAAGACGACGTTTGGGTGAGTCTCACTGCTAAACGATACTAAGAATTTGTGCTAACAAGAACAGCTTCGGCACTATTCTGTAAATGGCGGGACCAGGAAGCATATAATGCATCTACGCGCTCTAGATGAGGGTAGTTATGGGGTCGATTTCTCTACCATGGCGGCGGAAGAAGGCTACATTGTCTTGGTTGGTCACGCAAGACCTAGATGCGTGTGGATACGATTAAAACGAGCGACGTTGATGAGAAGCGAATCAGTATTACATTCAACACCCATTCAGCAAGAAGCGTGACGTGATTGCCTCTGCTCTACTGTACATTTTCTACGTTATGTGAGATGGTAGATTTACATGTCATGAGTGTTCCAAGCCTAGCTTCGTGTGGCTTTCCCGTTTCTCCTACGCTCGGCAGGCGGTTCATCAGCTCGACCACCGAATGCATAGTCTTGCACAAAGGCGTCTGCGAGATTGTCCCCGAACCCCATGTCGTACAGGTTCTCGACATGTCTGAGACTCCAGACGCGCTCCCACTCGCCCTCGCCGGCAAGATTCAAGTCGTCGATCGGGGGCTCGCCGTCCGAGGTCGCCACAAGCACTTGCTCTGGCTCTACGGGCCACCGGGCGCAAGGGGGTTCCATCTGCGGATCCCTCTTCCTCCTTGCCGGCAGTGGTCGGCGGAAGGCAAACCCATCGTCCATATCCTCCTTGTACACAGACCATTTCAGGGACTCGTTGGTGGTAGTGCCGGCCCAGACCAAGTATAGCGTGTAGATGAGCAGACCCCATACCAGCGGGGTGGTCAGAACTGCCAGGAGGGTGGTGGCGCCGAGGCGGACATTGCTTTGGATGCCGGCGCCCCAGATGGCGGCGTAGACGGTCGTTGTCATGCCACGGGGCTTCCACAGGCGGAATTCTGGGAAGCGCACGCGCATGGCGGTAGACAGCAGGGAGAGGCCAAGCAGGGCGCCGTAGGTGGTGAGCACCGCGGTCGACAGAAGGAGGAGGATGAACCAGTGGTGGTTGCCGTAGCCGACACACGAGTTGATAAAGATGCAGTGGTGGTCCGCCTTTGCGATGCAGCGCTTACATATGCTGCAATGCTTTGAACGCGCCGGCTTGAGGATGCCGCAAGTACTGCATTTGTTGCCCGGGTGGAAGAGGGCATGGTCGTAGGGATACAGGGACATGTGGTAGGCATGGTTGGCGGGTGTGATATAGCCAGGGTCGCTGGCGCAGGCGAGATAGAGGAAGAAGTAAGGCAAGAACACGGTAATGCTGGCGGAGAACTTGGTGAAGGTGCCCAGGTGCGGCCACGCAGACGGGAGGTACATGTACTCGGCAACAACGAGGATGGCGAGGAAGAAGATCTGCGAAGGTGAGCAACTCGGCGACAGTTAGAGACGCGAAGGAAGACGCACCACCACCGTGGGATGCCGGTCATGCATCATAAAGTTCCCGAAGCGCGACAGCGACCTGAACAGCCGGCCGCCTGTGATCATGTTGTCGACGGCGATGCCGGCGTTGGGGATATGGATCCATACCAGCCTATGCAGCGCCGCGATGGGCGTTTTCCTTTTCGCAGATGTTAGCAAGCTCGCCATGGAGAGGCATTACAGGTGCGACTCACCTAAACGCAGGCAGCCTTCCGAAAAAGGTCACAAAGACCATGAAGGAGAGGGACAGGACGAAGACGACCGCCCACTTGAACGGCGTCATGTCGAACCCTGCCTGGGCGAGCCGTGCGCGGCCCCCAGCGTTACGACGCAAAGAACGAGGCGAGAGCTATCAGCTGAGGCCTGCAGGACGATATCATGGTCGGGTTCAGAATGACATCAGGCCAGGGACGCGCGCACGTGGGAAGGTCGACGACGAAGCCAGCTGGTGGTTGTGGTGGGTGAGGTCGATCACCGGCGACGGCGGGCTGACCCGGTCGAGACGCGGCTTTAGCGGGTCCCCAGCCCCAGAGTCACTGGGGCCTCAGCGAAGTGCTCAGTTGGGACGAGGCCACAGGTGCTGTGGGCCACGTGATTGCGCGTGCGACCCCCATCACGCGTCCACCTCGAACATCGAGCAAGAACGACCACGGGACTCGAGCAAACGGAACTTCATCCACCTTTTCACCTTAAAACCTGCACCCGAGCTTGGCTCGACACAATGACTCGTTCAACCTTTGTTTGCAACTCTCACCAATTCCGTCACACCCTCGAGTAGGCATCTACCCCCGCGTCACTGTGCTCCGTACATACTACAGCAGGCGCTCTCATCTCACCCTCGTCGGCACGACGGCGGCACCTTTCTTTGCGGCAAGTCGTGGCGCTTGAAACATGGCGGCAGGCATCACCTACGACGGTGTTGCCAGCGCCGAGGGCGGAAACATTTTCAAAGACGTGTCTTTCTGGGTCGCTCGTCGCGTGCCCATGAGAGATTCCATCGTGAACAAAATCAAGGCAAGCTGCTCGCTTCGGAGCGCAGCCAGTTCGCCGATAAGCTGACTCCTCTCAGAACAACGGCGGCACTGTTGTGCCCTTGGAGAAGAATGCGGATATCCTCATCGCGGATCACGCACGCAAAGACGCCCCCGCGGGATCCTACTCGTGGAAGTTCGTCACTGAGTCGGTGGAAAATGGCATCATCCAGATCAAAGACCGCTATCGCATCGGTCCGGATCCAGATCTCCCAAGGACTGTTGGCTCGACGGATCGCCCAGGGAAAGCCACGAGAACCCGCTTCACCCATTCCGAAGACGTTGCCCTCGTCAAGTGGGTGCTTCGCCACGGCGAACACTTCGCTGGCAACAAGATTTATCAGGAATTTGAGCGAGCCGTGTGTTTCATTTTCCAGAAATAATTTCATGCAACGCTGACCATCATCCACAGAATCCGCGGCACACGTGGCAGTCCTGGAGAGATCGGTTCACCAAGATGCTACAGCCCAGAGGACAAGCCCACCTCGACGAGCTGGCGCGCGAAGCCACTCCCGAACCTGCTGTGCCGGCTGAGGAGGCCCAAAGAGCCCCAAGCGAAGCAGCCGGAGACGCGCAGAATTCTGCACATCAGAAGGCGTCGCGGGCCACCCCAAAAAGCCCCGCCCAGAGCAAACGGAATCAGGCAGGCAGCCACAAGCAGGATCCCCGATCGTCTGTTGCCACCCGCGCTTCGGAAACAAGCCGCGAGCCCTCGACCTCGCCCACCACTACACCTGCAAAGTCTGCTCTCGCACATACTCCAGAGAAGCCAGAGGAGCCAGAGCCGCCCTCGCCCATCGCCGACACGAGCGAGGAAGACGAGATGGACACCATGGCGAGGATTTTCATCAACGACATCCTCACGTACGGAGAAGAGGTCGGCAAAGACATCGATCTGGCGACTCGGATCGGCGAGAAGATTGTGGGCCTGTGGGAGCTCAGCCAGGCCGTCGAAGCGCAGAAAGTTCACCCCGATGAGGTGGACTGGTTGAAGGTCGCCGAAGACTTGGGCTACGATTTTGACCCAACTGGTGAGGTGCCCAAGGAGCTATGCGACTGCTACCGGGACAACCTTGTCGACTTTCTCGAGGCCATGGCGGATTACGATTCTGGCGGCGAGGAAATAAAGTCGGGATCGGACTTGAGCATCGCGGCACTGCGAGCATCTCGCTCGCCTGGACTATTCTTGTCGCCCCCGTCCCCTTCTAAGCCAGCTTCCCACGAAACCGCGACTAAGAAGCGGACGGCCGACATTGACCAGTCCAACTCCAGCCGCAAAGGCAAGCGCAGACGCCTGGACCCAACCGTGGAGATACCCTCAACTCCCGAAGAAGAGCTTCAATCTACGAAGAAACCACTTGTCTCGCAGACAGTGTCGCCAAGCATCCGCGAAACCTTGACCGGTGGCCGGTCTCAGAGTACGAATGGGTCGCGGCGTCTCATGTCCCCGCCGCATGACGAGGGCTTGACGGAAGATGAAGATGCGGCGTTTGAGACTCAAGTTCGTTATCCGCCAACACTGCAGACGCAGGAAAGCTCTGTCGAAGTCACCCCGTCGCAGCAGTTGCACTCCGAGGCCATGGATGTCACACCGATTCCGCTAGATCTCCAGAAGAAAACCGGCACCAGCAAGAAGATGCCGACCACAAGCCCCTCGCCTCCGGGCCCTCAGGTGGACAAGAAGAAGGCCAAGGCCGCCAAACGAAGACTTCCAGCCGCGTTTCGAGAGTCGGACGACACTCCCTCGGCCAACCCAACACCCAGCTCCCCCGGTCCGCAGACTGGTAGCTCTGCACAAACCCATTCCCCAAAGGCTTCGAGCAAGGACGACCAGCTAGGAATTCGTTACTGGGTTGACCATTACCAGGCACTGGGATACTCTCATAAGATTGTTGTCGAGGCGATGGATCGCACTACTTTGACCCCTGGTTTTCTTGCCGTGACGGTCATGAACAGCCTTCGAGATGGTCAGGGTGTGCCCAAGGACTGGGAAGGGGTGTGGACCGACCGCGACGACACCGTACTTCGACGCGTCGATGCATCAAAGGCGGCAGGGTCGGCGGCAAATGCCAAGGCGATTCGCAAAGCCCAGAAGGACGAGCAACGCCTGCGGAACAAGCATACCGAGGATGGCGTGGCGCTGCGCCGACAATACTTGAAGGACAAGGACAGCATTGAAAAGGAATAAATGAGCTGGCGGTGGGCGCTCGACTTCAGGCGATTGAGTCATTGCAGGCGTTGTGCATTTTGGGGGCATACTGGGTGCAGAACACCTAGTCATCAGGTGGTCCGGCGGATGTTTAGGGGACTTGCATGGAGTTTGGGGCTGCACGATACCCGTCGTGGCATATGCCATGTTCTCTTTAGCTGATTCTTTGAGCCTCTGGAGAGGTCATACAATGTTCTGTCATCGTTCAGGCGTCCTGCTTCCCGCCCACGGACAATGTTCTCACGTAGTGCCAACCCTCTCGTGCAATGTCCTCGCGCACCTTGTACGCCTCCTCGGCCTTGTCGAGCACACTGAAATCTATGTCGACCACGTTGACGCCCTCGGGCGGCCCCATCTTGCCCAGCGCGCCCTGGAGCGGCATCGCCACCTGGCTCAAGCCCAGATACTCATAACCCTGCCCATCGACCGCCCCCTCGGCCAAGCCCGCCGGCGCACCGGCATTGACATACACGATGGCAGCCGTATTCTCAAACGCGCGCGTCACGCACGCGCTCCCCACGAACAAGCGCTCCGTCGCAGCCTTGGTGGCTATCGTCTGCGCATCGTCGCCGTCACCGTGGTTCATGTCCGGGGAGGGGCCCTCGTCGGCGAGCCAAAACGACGGGACGATGATGACGCGCGCGCCGTCGGCGACGAGCTCGCGGAAGGCCTCGGGGAAGGCCAGGTCCCAGCACACGAGCATGCCGGCGCGGAAGTCCCACGGGGTGTCGAAGGCGGAGTGCGGGCTGGCGGCGTCGGGGACGAGGTGTGCGCGCTCGGGGTGCCAGAGGTTCTTCTTGCGGTAGCGCGCGATGATGGCGCCGTCGGGGCCGATGAAGTAGGCCGTGTTGAGCATGCCGCTGCCTTTCTCCCCTGCTTGCGCCTCTGAACCACCAGCGGCGCCTGTGGATGCCCCCGCGCCATTACCCTCGGAACGGTCATCATCTACGTCCACGGGCTCGAGGATGGTGCCCGGCACGATGGCGACGCGCAGCTCCCGCGCGAGGGCCCGGTACCGCGCCAGGTACTCACCCGCGAGGGCCGCCGTGTCCGCGAAGCCGGGCCGCTCGGGCGCCCAGCCGGAGAGGTGGTACTCTGGGAGGACGGCGAGCTGGGCGCCCTGGGCGGCGGCCTGGCGGATGAAGGCGGCCGCGCGCTCAAAGTTCCTCGCGGGCTGGACGGGCTGCCATGGGGTGATATATGTTAGCGGCGTGCGTCTCCTCATAGAAGTAAAAACCGGGATGTAAGTTTGCGCTGGGGGGAGGCCGGGAGAGTTGGGCGGCCCGATGTCGGGTCAAGAGTCGGGGACATGGAAGGGACGCTCTCACCTCTGCGTAGAGCTGGATTATCGCGACCTTGAGGTGCGTCGCCATATTGTGTGTGCTGGTAATTAGTAGCTCTACTTCCCCTTCGTATTTGCTCAATGACGGGAAACCGTTGCCTCCTCTGAAAATGATGACCCTCCTAAATGGTATTGTTCGAAAGTTGATGGTCTGGTCTCAGGTCCGCGCTCTCTGCTTCGTCATAGAGATCGGAGACACTTGAAGTGGTGGTAGTGCAGTCACTTGTGGAGAATGGGGATGATGACGCCCTCTGCTGTTTACGTTATTAGTTCGCAACACGGTGGGCCGCTCAAGGACTTCACAGGATGAGGAGGTGAGATTTCCCGAAAAGCAATTGACCTGATTGCCGAGGAGAACGTCTCCATCCACGAATTGAAGGGTGCTCCCGCGGAGGCCGACTCCGGTGCCGTCGATCCGGGGCGCCGTCGCCAATGCGGGGCAGACACGGCACTTGAGGCCAGTGGCCCCGTTGTTCAACTGCTGAAGCATCTGGATTCTGGAGCATTTCGATCCTCATCAACCTCGCAGGCTCATGTCACCATAAATATGCAAATGGCAGAAGCCTACATAGCTTCTATCCTTGTACCAAGTTTCTGCAATATAAAAGTTTTATGTTTATATACTGTGTCCTCCATTTCGCTGGGTCCTCGCGTGGAGAGGACCTGCCAAAAGCTACCTGATCGATTCGCTGCTGTCTGTGATCCCTTGCTCTGAGCGTTTGTAGATCCCAAGGAGTAAGTGATGGAGAATGCCGTCCCAGCGCCCAAAAATGCCGAATGATCCGTCTAAACCTAACCCATGCCCAGAATTGCAACAATAGGCTTGCGGTCCCCCCAACTAAAATGTCTCGAAGTATTTGCGACGTCGTAAGTCATGTTTCGTAAAGTCGTTAGTCAGATCAACGGGGTTGTATGAGCTCGAGTGATTCAACGGCGAGCTTGAGGTCCCTGAATGTGTATTTATCTTGATGGAAGCGTAATGATTCGCCGCAGAAATGATGAAGCCCGCTGCCTCTCCTTGAATTCGCGTTAGCACACATGGCTGGGAGAAACTGGTGAGAGAAGCGTACCTAGACCGAGAAGAAGCATGTTCCTCATGGCGGATGGTGGGAGGCCATAAGAGCCAACCATGAGAGTAGTGACGGGACAGAGCAAATATGGCCACCATTTGGTCATGCCAAACCCACTCAATATCGAGCCCTGAAGGGTCCCGGCAGATGTAGAAACCGATTCGAGTGTATCAAGAACTTGTTCCGCAGTTTCTTGAGCATCATGCAAGGCTTTCCGGTGGCCGTCGTGTTTGACCGTCAGAGTATCGGCAAGCTCGGCGAGATTCTCCATGCCCTGCACATGAGTTGAGTCAGTCAGAATCCATGCAAGACCAGAGATGTGAGTCGAACCGCTTCTATTGCCTCTTGTCGTCGAATTATCTCGTCTGCACGAGATTGCGACTCGAGCTACTGATAGTTAGTATGTGCGAATATACAGGCCGAAGGACGTAGTCTGTACGTACAAGCTCCTGTTGCAGTGCTATCGCACTGATGGCGGCCGTTTGCAAGGTTGTCAACACAGCTGAGAGCTCGTCCTTTGCCTGGTATGTGGCTGCCTGAATGGCGTGTTGCTGAGAGACAGCACCGTTCTCATTTTCCACCACAGTCGCAAGAAGGGCTGCAAGCAGCTGCTGGAGGTTACGTGCGTCCTCTAGCCCGTCTCTAACCGTTGCCGCTGTATCCTAGCATGAATTTAGTACTGGAGTGTCTCTTTGGAGGCTGATCAAATACCTCTGCCCTACGAGCGATGACTTCAGAAACGGTTCTCTTGACCTGGGACAGGCCGTCCCTCAGGTCATCCACGTGCGGGACCATGCGTTCGAGCCGAGAGGTGGTGTCTGCAAGTCTCGTATCCAATACCTGCAGTCGCATTTCGAGCTCTGCTTCGACGTCGTCCGTAAGCTTGGCAAGAATCTTGGTGATTCTCTCGTACAGGTGAATGTTTTGATCTGACAAGTCAGTGTGCGGTCTGCGCGAAACCGTCCGTGGGACTCACCTTTCTCGTTCTCGGCGCGGGCAGCCTCGCAAAAGCGCAAAGCCTTATGACGATAGCTCACCCACGTATTCCATGCCGAGTCTGACTGTGCCAGGCCCTCCAGGCACTTGTCCACTTCAGCCGGGGACACATGAAGATGAGGCTTGACGGGCGAAGGGACTTTCGCCAAAGCAGACTCGCGAAATCGAGTACAGGCCGTGGGAATCGAGAAGCTTCCACGCTCCAGGTCGCAGATGGCTAGGCTGGCGGCGAACGAGTCGACGAAGTCGCGGGCGAGCCTGCCGCTGTCCGTAAATATAGTGGCTTCGTCGCGTCCGTCGAGGAGCTGACAGTTGTTGACCAGCAGGCGTGCGGCAATGCGATGGCACAGCGGCTCTGATTCGAGTGCTTGAAGCTCGCTCAGCGCGATCTCGTATTTGTTCGGTCTGCCGCCCAATCTCAGAGGCTTCGGGGTATCATGAGTCGAGACACGCGTCTCTTGCGGGGGAGACGCATCTGCTTTCGGTCAGCCAGGTCAGAGGAAACCGGAGGGCAGACTAACCCAAGTCTCTGCGGCGGCTGCCCCATGAGAATGCCTGGGCTTCAAACCCTACGGCGAAGAGGGAGACGAGGCAGGCAGCCCATAGCCAACAAAGGAATCCTCTATGTCTCTTCATCGTGAGGAGCGCGTTGCAGCGAGGTCTGTTGCGTTGCAGGTTTACGACTCCCCACTGTTCCAGTAGGCCGCGAAGGGAAGAAAGAAGGAGATCAGACGATGAGGTGCATTGCTGCGCACCTCTGTGCTTGACAATGAAATAGTGAATCAAAGAGCGACGCCGCAGGGCTCTGAACACGCCTCGCTTCTGCGCACGTTTGGCATTCGTGGGACAGAATGTGCACCTGCAGGAATCACAGCGTCATCGCTAGCAGGCAAACACGCAAACGCGGTAGCGGCCACAAAAATATTTTCAGTGAAAGTCGTGCCTTCCGCATCAATGGGTTTGTTCCTTCCTAAATAGCAATACACACGATACATGGGGATGAGTTCATCTACCATGACCCGTCACGTGCACGACTGCTGCCTGGAGTCCAGGCTTTGTTCGCCCAGAACACCCTGACCTCATGACACTATACGACAATCTGGAGCGTCTTGAGCATGGTCGCCTCAGCTCTCGGTTTTAGCACTACCTCGGGGCAGTCCTCAGGTTTGGGTTCCAAAACATGCACCGGCATGACACGATCATTCTTGACCGGCACCCGGACGGGTCCACCGTCTGCGGAAAACATGTCGAACGAGTGCACAATCATGGCCGCAAACACCATAATCTCTGTAGTCGCAAAGTGTCGCCCCGGGCACAGTGTCTTGCCACCGCCGAAGCCACGGAACGCCGCAGGATGAATGCCAGAACCACTCTTGGCCGTGAGGAACCTCTGGGGGTTAAAGGTGTCCACGTCGTCGCCCCATATGGTCTTGTCCGCGTGTATCACGCCGCCGGCAATCTGCACGACGGAGCCCTTCCTGAGAAAGTACCTGCCGCCAAGTCGCATGTCCTCCTTGACGAGCCGAACGGAAAAGTTCTCGGACCCGACGCGAAGGCTCTCCCGGAGGACTGCCAGCAGAGTGACACACTTGTCTTTCAGGATAGCAAGACTCAGAGTCGCAGGCCCTGTCGTCTCTTCACTCAAAGCCAAGGCCGCCTGAATCTCTGAGCGAACCGCACGTAACAGCGACTCGTCTGCAAAAAGGCGTAATGCGGCCCAAAATGTCGTCGTAGTGGTGTTGACGACACCGGCAAAGAAGAAGGACAGGCTCGAGCGAGCACTCATCTCGGTGTTAAACCCATACTGACGTTCGATTCGTATCCGGCCCTTGACGATTTGCGCTGCGTCCGCTTCATAACCAGCTTCGATGTATCTGATGAGTCCCGCAACCATTGCTTCGCGTCCTCGGAAAGCCTTTCGCGCCGTCAGAGACGGCAGAATGCCTATCATCAAGCCGCCCAAGCCGTGGTCGAAATCCCAAAAGGCATTTTCGAGGTCAGGCTCCACGGCGATTGGGTTCCGGGGGCCATAGAAATACTTGGCAGTGCCGACGGTGACGATGTGACGGACAAATCCCAGGAGATCGACCGCGTGCCCTTTACGTTCAGGTTGCTCAATGATAGACGTCGCATATTCATCCAGTTGCAGACACAGCTCCTGGCTGGCCTCACAACTCAAGGAGTTGAGATACTCCCCTGGGCCAAGCAAGCCATACACTAGATCGTGGACGTCGGCAAGGAATCCCCTTGGCTCCCCAGGCTCAGGATCGAGATTCTGGCGGACCACTTTTACAGTCTCCTTGTCCAGACCGAGCACCCGCTGCGTTATGTCTGGCACGAGAGGCGTGAAGGATAGCGTCTTGGCACTCCGTTGGACGGTGGCAGCCAGCGAAGGCTCCGTGACGACATATATACGCGACCCGGGAACCGGGAGAGTGAAAATGGGCTTGCTCGAGTGACGAAGCCTTTGCGGTGAGTGAGCACAGAATGACAGGTCTTGGTATTCGGCATGCCTACCCTAGTTGTTTAATATAGCGGCTGCCCTCGAGCGCCATGCCCAGCAGGTGACCGACAAAGGGTATCCATGGCGGGAGGACCGTCGGCTCGTCTGGATGCAGCTTGCGCGCTGAGACATAGCGGAGCGCTATGGCGATTGTCGTCAAACCAAGGACGACCGTCACGACGGCGGCAGGTGAGCTGTCGATGCCCAACATGGCCGGCCAGCGACGAGCATGTCTCACGAGTTCGACGCTTGTTTTCTTGCGGCGCGTGTGGGGGAACACGGCTCGCGCGACCCCATATCGACGCGGGAGACAACAGCTGCACTCTGACTGGCCCTATCCCATTTGAAGCAAGGCGGATCGAGGGGTACTTAGCGCCGCGTTTTCCGGGGTTGGATTTTGAGAAGTTGGCGCCGTCGATGGTGCGCGCTACTGGCGTTTGCCTTGCCGCTGGTCGGGTCGAGATGGTTTTCGAGACCCGACCCCGTCATTTATTTTGTTCGTCCCGGTCAAGCGCAGAAAGCGTCAACGTGCATCGCCGAGAAGCACATTGCATTTCGACCGAGTCAAGAGACATGTCAACCTGCAGGGGAAGACGCGAGGCTTGTGTTTGCTTGAGGCCATCTGCGATCGGTTCCACAGCGTCCAGACAGGGAGCTGTCATTGGCCGGGGCCTGGACCAACTTGCCAGGGCCAACAGGTCCCCCGGCACCATTTTGCAACTGCAACAACATCGACAGGCCCCCTCCCGCACAGGGCTTCGCGAACCGCCCCCCTCCCGCATCGCCGCCGCCATGTTCTAAGGCTCCTGCCATCACGGGAGCCGCTGTCAGTGAGCCCGGCTGTTATTAGACAGCCGCCACAGGGACACGCTCTGGGCAAGAGAGTCGCCGGACGCCACAACGGGCATACGCATGACTATCGACGACACGGTTGAGCAACGGGTTTGGACGCGACGATACGCAACGAAAGTCCGCACAGACGCCGGGTAGATGCGACAAACATCTACTACTTCAAGACACTTCGCGTATCTGAAAGAACTTCTTCGCAGGCTAGGTGGTCACGCCAAGAGGCCATACGTCCAAACCACGGTTCACCGAAGAACCTAATAACGCGAGACGCAATTTTGGGACACCGGTACGACCTAGACCGGATAACGACCCCGCACGAAATGTGCACACAGGTGGACAAGAGATGGGCCTGCGGGCATATCGGATACTTTGGTGTCGACTGGTGCGATCAGCTCTTCAAAGGCTGCAAAGGAACATCAGCCAAGCACAGGGTGATTGAGGAACCAGACGTGTGTGGCGACTGCCAACGGCGACAAACTCTCCCGAAGCCGTTCGTATCCAAGTAAACGGGCCACGGGAGGCGAATCTGCAACATCGCGACCCTTGCGCGGCGGACGATGACTTGCAACCGGCAGGCTGCGCGGACACGCCGGTCTCAGAACCAATGTTGCGCAACGCTCCCACCCGCACTCGCCACGAACTCCGCATCAACAGACTCCTGGGGCACTCCGCTCGGCAGGTGTCAAAGTCTGCAATGCATGCCAGTCTCGTCTTCGGAACCGAAGGGCAGCGTCCACGCGCTTGCCAGAGTGGGTGTGTTGCAGCCGGCATACGCATCTGTGATGTCAGCCCGGGGACGACGGATGCAGCGACGTGCTTGCCACGCGAGGGGACGGCATCGGGCCTGCAAACGCAGACCTCAATTCATGTGATGCCTGAGAGGGAAAGGTTTCGGCCATTGTCCAGCTCCCGCTTTTGGGCGACATCCGGCGTGGCTGATGGAGCCCAACGAGAGCCGTAGCTGGATCACGGGATCGTCACGGGGCCAAATCGAACCAGGCCTGGTGCCACGGTCCACCCGCGCGCCGGCGAAAACAGATGGTCGAGAACAATGGCGGCATTGCTTCCCCGAAGGGTCCTGGGGACTAGGAGGCGTGAGCATTGGCTTCGGCGTCGGCGATCCCGCTGTCAGTGCCGGGAGCTGTCCCTCGGCCGGCCGGACATGGCGCCGGATGCGGCAACCGGCCGTGGAAAGCTACGGGCTGAAGATACTTTGCGGGATTGGAATGGCTGTGAGTGCCGAGAATGAATAACTTTGTCAGACCGCATTCGGTAGTCTTGTTCGCCGAAAATGCTGTCGCCATTGTTGCGACGCCAAAGGTCAATAGGCATTGTACGGAAAGTTGGGTGAAGAATGAAGGCGCACGAGGTGGACATGCTAGCGCAATTCCAATACAGTGGATCTCCCGTGCCACGGACTTTCCAGGTGGTGTTGCTCCTCATGGAGGAAGGCGTCGAGATGTCGAAGTTCCGGAGTCATGCCGTTGTTGCGGGACGGAGCAGGCAATAGCACGGTCGTGCCGCTCTGTCGGAGACCCCCGCGAAGGGGCCGCTAGGGCCATGGCAGGAACCGCTGGAGGAACTGATGGGCTTGGCGGATGGCGACAACACTGTCGGCCTCTGGATGGGGATTTGCTTTCTGGAGTCGTCATCCCTGGTCGAGGCATGGGTGACGACGAAGCGGGTTTCCAGTCCTGAGAGCGGACGGACGCGGAATGCAGATGCCAAATGCCAATTCAAAGAGAAAAATAAAAACAAAGTTCGGTAGATCTAGATTGCGCACCTTGCCGAAACTCACAGGCCGATGTCACGGCGGGCGACGAGGTCGACGAGGCCGTCGTCGTTGTCGTGTCGTCGTCGTCGTCGCTTGCCGAACAATGGGCGAAGACGGTGGTGGGGCTCGGTCAACGGACGGGCTTTGATGGAATGCAGTAGCAAGGGCTGCGGCACCAAGAGGGCACAGCGTCGGTCAGCCAGCGAGCGGTGGATGGCCCAATCGGTCAACGGAGACAAGGCTGAAATTCCAGAGATTGCCGTAGGCGGCTAGCACGCCAAGGACCTGACAGGAGGGGGGCTTGGGCGGCGGCGCGGACCAATAGGGAGCGAGCGGAGGGGTCAGCCTCGCCCATCATACGACTTTGGGTGCGCGTGCATGGGGCTGCGTCGCCAATTTGCCGTCCCTGGCGCAAAGTCAGGCCATTCGGGCGACCGACGACAGGGAAGGGGCCGCCTTTCACCCACCGCCACGGCAGCGGGCGCCTGTGTGCTCGAGGGGGCCGGACGGAACGCAGACAGACAAGATGGACCGGCGCGGGCAGGATCCGCAGCGCAGCACCAGGTCGGCATGCGCGCGCTGCGAAAGACGTCGCGTGGCAATTTGCGTGTCGCTGTCGATGTCGAACAACGCAGTCGTCTTCCCACGCGGTCGCGTGCTTCGCCGTCAGGTAGGTCGTTCCGAGCGAGAGCCGGGCGCCGTTGACTCAGGCAGTGCCGGGACGGGGGGGCCGCCAATTGGCAGACTCGCACCCGGCTCGCGCCAGCCAGGACGCTCCAAGGGCTCCGTCGGTCGCGCGCTCCGAGGCGGGCGGCCAACCGCCCCCCCAACCTAAGGTCCCGTCCCGGATCCCCGGTCGGGCCCAGCCCAGGCCAGCCCGCCCAGCGTGCTCCAGGGCTGGCTCCAAGGCTCCAGGGCTCCAGCTGCCATGTGGACTCTGCGGCTGCGGCTGCCACAGCGTTCGGGTGGGTGTGGGCTGGCGCCGCCGATGGGCCGCAGCAGCACCAGCAGCACCAGCGGCGCCAGCACTCGCACCGCAAGCACCGCACACCCGCACCCGCACCTCTACAGCCAAGGGATACCTGTCTGTACCTCGACCGCCCAAATGACTGTTCAGTTTTCTGGTTTTTTTTTCTTCTCGAGGTGCCCACCCCCCGCGACCCCCGACCCGGCGCCGGCCCCAGTCGACGAATCCGGGCCCAGCCTTTTTGCCTGGCGGCCGTGATTCTGGCGTGACGTGACGAGAATGTCAAGGAAGACACGGCGAGCGGCGCCTGGGGCCCTGCAGACGCGGTTCCGGGACAACGGCAAACTTTCCTCGCCGGTGTAAAGTGTACTTGCTAGCAGGTACTCGAGCATGCTCGTACCTTTGTCCCCAAAGTTCCATCTGCTGCTTGGCCGTCCCTCCCTCCCCTCCGCCCCCCCCCAAAACTCTCGACTCTGTCAGTTACGTGTACTGTCCGTTACCGTATTGCGTCAAAGCCCTCCGTCCGTACTTGGCCGTCCCTTGATTTCCCGCACTCGGCCTCGGCGCCTCTCTACCTACCTTAACCTCTTCTCGGCGCCTCGTCTCGCTTCGACTTGTCAGGGAAGGCGGCGTCCGTCGTCCCAGTCAGTCAGTGGTGTGCTTGCCGTTGCAGTACGTTTCGTACATTTATCTCGATCCGGCCGGCGCCCTGCCCGCTCGCAAACTCACGCACGCAGTTCACATGATCCCCATTCTTGGCCGTCCCTTATTAGAGGTGCACGTCGTCTCCATGCCCACCCGGTAATGCCTTGGCTGCCCACCGTCCCGGCTTGCAGACCAGACAACAAAGTCTCCTCCTCCTACAGCCACTACTACATCTACATTATACCTCCTACCTTATTTCCTTAACTCAGCCTCTGCCCACACCACACCTCCAGGGGTTCGTCCATCTATTGTCCAGCAAATACCTGCCGGCCACCTACCACGGGAGTACTTGCCTCGTACCCTTTGCGAGATCCATACCTCCCCTCTCCTCCCTTGCAGGGCTACATCTACCAGTCCTGTCCAACATCGACCATTCACTCGCCCAGCTCACTCGCTCGCTCACTCACTCCCCCGGCCCTCCGTCTTGCGCCATCCGCCACCAGCCCGCCCCTCCACCTCCTCCTCACATCGCAGCAGTGCGTGCTGGCCGGCCCTGCACATTAACACCAGTGTTGCATAACGGACGAGGCGACTGCACCGAAACGTCAACGTCGGCCGACATCCCATTGGCCGTCCTCGTCGGATCGGTGATAATTGCTCCTCCTGCTGCGTGTGCGAGTGCGTGTGCGTTGCCGTCCCTGCTCGGCTCGCCAATCGCCCGCCGCCTTCCTCCGCCCAGACGACACCAAGCACGCTGCTTCTTACACGCAACGACCGCGGGTTCCGACGCGAGCCCCCCTCCCCGGCGGAGCTCTGCAGTTGCATCCAACTCGCTCCCGCCCCTCGCTGGCCGGCTGTCTTCCGCCCTCGCCCAGTCCTTGGCATCGACGCTGCGGCCTCGCCTTCGCAATACCGTCGCCGCCGGCTCCACGAGACAGCAGGTCCTGACGGCTCCCAACGACCACGGCGCCGGGTTTTGACCATGGAACCCGATGCCGCCAAACAGCACCACGAACAACAGCAGCAGCACCAGCAGCAGCCCACCAGTGCCGCCGAGCATACCCCCTCTGTCGTCTCCCCCGACTCCTCTCAGCCGCCGCAGCAGGCCTCCGCTTGGAACTCACCTACCCCAGGCTCCAGCTCAAGGATAAGCAGCACCTTTGAGTTCACGTCGGCGCCCTCAGACGTCTCGGTCCCGTCCTTTGATCCGGCCATTGCCGCCTTCGCCGACATGTCCTTCACTCAACCACACGTGCCCTCGCCCTACATGCAGGACAGGAAGCCTGTGCCCAGCGGGAGCAACCCGGCTCAACAGCCAGACTGCTTCCAGCGCCGCGACATGCACGACAAGAAGCGCTTCAAGGCCGACCCCGACACGCCCGCCCTGGACTCGATAGACTACTGGATCAACTTTGACGACGACTGGGACAAGATGGGCAGCGTCGAGATCGACTACTCCAAGCGCAACGACCCAATATACAACAACAGGCAAGTGTTGCCCCTCAATCCCCCCTCCTCCGACGTGATCGTATTGTTGACTTTGGACAAACAGGGCCGCCACGGTCACGAGCACAATGCCTGGCCTGGGCAGTGGCCTTTACTCCACCACAGTGGCGCCATTCCGAGAAGAGGACTTCATCGACGACGCGGCCTTTGATCAGACGCTTTCGGAGGACGAGGACGCGTTCGAGTCGACGCATGTCGGCGACCAGCTCTCCGATATGGGCGGCAGGGCTCCTCCACCTCAGGCCGGCCCAGCTCCCCAGGGAGACAAGAACCTCCAGTCGAGTCCTCAGGGATGGAACAGACCAGATGCCAGCGTGGACTCGGAGCCGATGATGGAGGACACGCCGCGGCAAATGCGGGGCGACATCTGGGATGCCCTCCCTCGTGGCGCGAACCAGACGCTCAGCCCTGACGAACAGCGGCGACTCCTCGAAATCGCCCTCAACACCGGCAGGATGCCCGGGAGCTTCATCCCCCCGAACGGATTCGGGATAGGATTCGGTGCCGGTCTCGGTGCTCGGCCTCCTGCCGAGTTCGAGAAGCGATCAAGCATATCCGCTGAGAGACCAAGCGCAACGCCCTCGTGGACATCCAAGGGCGACGAAGCGTCGGAGCGCGTGCAAAAGCAACAAGCAAAGAGGCCCTCCGTGGCGAAGGCCGGCTCGTCCAAGAAGCCCGGAGAGACGGGCAAGCCCAAGTCGGCCGATCGGATAGCTCACAACGACGTGGAGCGCAAGTATCGCACAAACCTGAAGGTCAAGATTGCCGAGCTCCGCGACGCCGTTCCCGCCCTGCAGTCGCCAAACGCGGATGGCGACTCGGAGGGCGGTAATGGAAACCAGGGGACACCGAAAGTCAGCAAGGTGAGTGGTTGACGTAAACAGATTGTCTCGGCTAGGCTCTTCTGACGGCGACGATAGGGCACTGTCTTGACCAAGGCGACGGAATACATCCAACAGCTCGAGCAGCGCAACAAGACCATCATGCAAGAGCATCAGCAGCTCGCGCGTCGGCTGCAGGCATTTGAGACGCTCTTCAACAGCGCGAACCGACCAGATATGATGATGCCGAACCACAGCATGACGCTTTTTGACCCGCGCGGCTTCTGCTAAGCGGTAACGCGCGCGCGAGTCATTTTCTCCGAGAGTACATACCTTAGTACCTGAACGTGTCCATGTATACACTGCCGGACGGCGTTGCGGACTTGGGCAACGCCGCGAAAGCAGCAGCATTTTCCACAGTATTGCGGGTTTCAGTTTTCATGTTATGACAGAGTGAGTTATGTATTATGTATATCGCAACGAGCATTTTCTGGAACGCGGGCGCATGGGCGTGACGGTGAGGGAGAGCCGTCCAAAAGGGGAACCAAGTCAGGAATCTCGCATCTCCGGCTAATAAAATACATGGTTTGCTGGGGGGCCCGGGCATAGGGCAACCCGCACTGCTACAACGCGCACATTCTACCTCGTGCTCTGCTCGTGGAGTGAAGGAAAGGCGAAGCGCGACAAGTGATCCACCGCCTGCCGCTCCCCGCCACATCAGGCGACGCAACGGACGTAGTTGGCTGATTTGTCCCAGATGCAGGCCGTCCCATCCTGGTAGCACTGCTCACGAAGCTTTGTTAGCGTCGCCTTTTTCATTCATTTATTGCCCGTGACACTCGATGAATTTCATCGCTCTGCTTTTTCCTTTTGTTGGCTTGGCGGGTTTCCCTCGTCGACTTGCCTTTGTGGGCGCGGAGCAGGCCATGGTCTGAAACACCTGTTTGTCCCGGTACACCCTGCCGGTCCAGCCTATGGGTGTCGTCGAGAGGAGGACGCGGCACTTTTTCTCGTGGCACGTCTAGAGCGTTTTGCAAAAAAGGGGGTATTGTCAGCAATTTTGGACAGCATAGGGGATGGACACGCTCGGGAAGAGCCACGGTGGTGAGTGTGTGCTTGGGTTCGTGTTGCTTGAGTTGGTGTTCCGCCTTGGGGGTGTTGGGGGCGGCATAGGGTAGGCTGATTAGAGAGGGCGGACTTACACCGAGGAAGGTCTCGCCGTATGCCGCGCCGGCGCAGAGGGTTACTAACACGGCGAGGCTGGACTTCATGGTGCTTGATTAAGACGAATGAATGTATGTATATTTCGAAACGAGGTAAGCCGGCCCGGGAAACTGCAGCGCGCAGGTTGGTGGTTGTTGTGTCGACCGAGAAGAACGCCTGGCAAAGACCACATGAGAGGCGGGCGGTTGTTATACCCCACGCTGGTCATCACCCATATTGCACGGTGATACATCGCCCAAACACCGTGCTTCATAGACACAGCAGACGGCTCCCCCGTCAACAGTCATAGGTTCTGGAGCGCGGGCCGCCTGGCGCCATGGTCGTCGCAGGTGGTCCGACGACATTATAGTCCACGAGGCCAAAGGAAAGCCCGCAATGACGCGACGTTGCGAGACGGGACGCGCGCTGCGCCGTGCAGGTGGCCCAGACGAAGAGCCACGACGCCTAGTATCGGGTAGATCCAACCTTTAGTGGCCCCGAAGATGGGCATAACACAGGGTCAGACGCTAGAGTTTTGGGCACAATGTGTCGCTCTGGCCGCCCGGGAGTTGGTTTCTCTATTTGACTCGGGGATCGGCTTCAGTTGTGGCCCAACATGTCTCAGCGGCCTCGGCTTGGTTACGTGCTGGCAGGAGGGCAAGATTTACGGCGAGAACCCACGAGCACCACGTCCATGGACGGGCTGCATGCTGGTATTTACACGTCACATCATCGGTAGGTACAGTATGGTACATGGTGGCATAGATTACATCGCGCTGACCTAGGAGCGCAGCGCCTCGATATCATCTACCTCCTTGACGGCCTCGGTGGTCAGAATGTATGGCGAGTCGTCGTCGACGCAGATGCTGTCTTCGATGCGCACACCCATGCCGCGAAAGTGTGCCGGCCAGCGCTCGTCGTCGGGGACGTAGACGCCAGGCTCGATGGTGACGCAGTGGCCGCGGCGCAGCACCTCTCGGCGGCTGAATCCGGGGCAGTCGTGGACGTCGAGCCCGACGTAGTGCCCGACGTGGTGCGGGAAGAGCCGATCGATCGACGACATGGACACGTCGAAGCCAATGGCGCGCAGCTGGTCGACGAGCCCGCGGGCCGTCACGCCATGAATATCCTCGAGCGACATGTGTGCCGACTCGCGGCAGAGCGAGACGCTTGACCGTTGCACCCGGAGCACCGCCTCGTACAGGTCGCGCTGGGCAGCCGAGAACTTGCCCGAGGCAGGCCAGGTGCGAGAGATGTCGGTGATGTATGTGCCGTACTCGCCGCCGGCGTCGACGAGGATGAACTCGTCGTCGCGAAGCGTGTTATTGTTGACGGTGTAGTGGATGCAGTTCGCGCGCTCGCCGCCTGCCACGACGGGGATGTACGCCGGGCCGTCGCACCCATTGATGGTAAACTGGTAGTCGAGGAAGGCGTGGAGATCCTTCTCTTTGGTCCATCGCTGCCGCATGGCTTCGGTTATGGCCCGTCCGGATATCTGACCGGCCTTGCGCATGTTGGCCACCTCAGCGGCGCTCTTCACGACCCGGAGCTTGTTCATGACGGGGTAGAGCGGTGTCTTTGATGGCCCAGCGTCTTTGCCGGCCAGAAACTTCCAGAGCGAGCTCGTGTGTGTACTTTGCGAGCCTTGCATGTCCGCGTAGACGAGCTTGGCCGCGCCGAGGATCTGCGGCAGGACCGTCTCCACGCTGTCCACTGACCGCGCCTCGTCGGCGTTGAATATGTCCTCAGCGGCCTCGATGCCGTTGCGGTATCCGGACCACTGCTCCTCGCGAGGGTCCTTGCGCTTGACAAACATGCGAAAGATGTAATCACCCCAATTGGGACCCGTCTTCTCGATCACAGCAACGGCGTCGGGCTCGTTCCAGCCTGTGAGCCAGAGGAAGTTGGACTCTTGCCGGTAGGGGTGAAAGACGGCACCGGATTTGTATTGTAGCGGCGCGGCGTAGAGAACGGCGACGCTGCCGTCGGTCATGGCATCGGCCAGGGCGGCCCGCCGGTCGGCATACTCCTGGGCCGTGATGCCGGGCGTTACTGAAGAAACTCGTCAGCCAAGGCATGGCTTATCGCGGGGGCACGCCCGGGTGGAGTGTGCTTACTCTCGCCTGGCTTCAGGATGTGAGGGTGCGTCTCATAGACGGGCTGGCCGAACTTGAGGTCTGCAGCGGAAACGGAGGCAAAGGCCCTCCGCGATGCAGGAGCTGTCGAATGGCAAGGTCTCGACGTTGCGGTGTGCGATGCGCTGGTGTGGAGTCGTGTCGATTTCGAGGATGCGGTTCGGAGGGAGGAGAAGAGACGTAGTGGGAACCTTGAGCCGCTCCGGAATGGTGGGCGTGAGAGACTCATTTCAGGGACGGCGTCTTAATTTCTTGGAGTTGGTGGTATGTGCATGTTTAAGGGCGGACGAGCGAGGAGGAAAGCGCGGCGCAGGCTGGGCAATAGTGACAAGCTCTCAGGCCTTCTGGAAATAACGTAGAAGGATAGAGAGGAAGAGGAAGAAAAGATCGACCAAAGAGAGGCGCTGTCCAGCAGGGCTGTGGCCGTCGTGATCGTGTGAGGACGTCGCTGCAGCTTGTGGGAGGTGACGATGGTTCAGTCTGGGGTTCCGCTGCATTTCTGGAAGGGGCAGGTATTGGCCCGGTGGGGCGCAATGCTGTGCAGCGGGCAGCTGTTATGCAGGCGCGCATCACAGGCTTGACAGGCTGGGGGGAGTTATGCAGGGCGGCTGGGTGCTTATTAACACAGCTGCAGCTGAGTGGTGAGGCTGATGAGGGAGGCCGGGGCTTTGAAGGGCGCCTGTGAGTCCTGAGCGGTGCCGTGTGGTTGCCCTGGGCCGCCGTGGATCGCCCTGTATTCTGCCCGTGTTTTGGTGCCAACCTTGGAAAGGCCCGAAGAGGGGGCCCGGCCCCCAGTAGCGGGCGTTGCTGGCGCTCGTCTCCCCGCCAGTTAGCCGGTTGCTGGTGAGGCGGCTTGGCCCGTGCGTGTTTTTGACAGTCGCGCCCAACCAGGAATAGCGCTGTTATGCCAAGCGCGAATTGGACGGGGCTCCGTCAACAGCGGCAAGCTCCTCCAAAACGGACGACGCCTCTTTTCTTCACACGCTCCTCTGTCCCTCAACCCGTCCTCTCTTGGTGGGATATCCTGGCTTGCAGTGCAGTGCGGAAGACGATAACGACGACCAGAAGCCCGACGAGGACCCATCTCATCCGCTCGTCCAGGTCGTCGCCCTACCATCGACAACCGCTCGCGTCCCGTCACGACGTGTCGAGTTCTCCGCGTCGCGTGCTGGTGGACTTGTCACGGTCTGCGTCCCCAGCCTCCAACCCTCCACCCCCACAACTACAACCACCACCACTCAGCAGCCACGCGACAGCGTCCACGCCTGGACTCGTGAAGCCGCGAGAAGAAGAACAGGACCGCCTTCGGAGGACCCTTTCTTCTCCTGTCGACTTTCGGCTCCAGAGCATGGTGCCAAAGTACGACTTACTTCATGGCCACCATCTCCCTCTCACCTTCGCCAGCTCCTCTAGTGGCCATGTCTTCCCGGCGAGCTCCTCTCACCAGCAACCCGAATGTCGCCAACTCACCTCTCAGAGCTCCCTCGACCCTTAACGGGTATCCCAAGCAGAAGCGGTCCTATGCCACCGTCCAGCGTGAGGAAGCCTACGGCCAGCCGCCTCCGGTGAAGAAGCAGGCCCTCGAGAATGGCTCTCGCGCCGTCCGATCTCCGTCCAAGACGGCGGCTACGGCCACGGCGTCCCGCACCCATGTCCTCGTACAGCGTGGCGGGGCCGCTCGTTCGACAACGTCTAGGGACCGTGTTTCGAGGGCCGCCCCCGCAGCCCAGTCTACGAGAACCGGCCAGGAGGCAGATACCCAAGTCTGGCGGAGCCACTACAAGGCCAAGTTCCCCAAGATGGTGTTTTACTTTGAAAGCATCCCTGATGATGTCCGGGCAAAGCTGGTCAAGCGAGTGACGTACTTTGGTGCTGTATGTGCCCCGGCCCTCATCTGCCTGTTCAGTAGGCCATCAACTGACCCTCACTCAGCGCCACGAACCCTTCTTCTCGATCGATGTGACGCACGTAATCACAACAAGGCAAATCCCCTCCGAGCGATCCCAGCCAGCTGGTGAAGGTGCTGCCGAGCCGGCCGTGTCGGACCACCAGCAGTCTCAGCAGCGTCAACAGCAGGACGAGCCTGAGGAACAACCGCAGACTATCAATCCGTCGTTGCTCGATAGGAATACCGCCGCGCGACGGAAGCTCCTCTTCGACTTTCGTCAGGCGTCCGTGTCGTCGCAGCAGTTGGATGACCCCGCCAAGCGGAACAGGGCGCGTAACAACGACGTTTTGCACAAGGCTCGGGACATGGGCAAGAAGATCTGGCCCTTGGAGAAGTTCCAAAATATGCTGTCGGTACTGCTGGAGGCCGAGCACCAAGGCGGCCAGCCCTCACGCAACTCGACTGTGCGGAACCACTACGGCGTGTCCAAGAGCTCGCACGAGCCGAACCTGCTCCAGCTCTTGCACAACGAGCGCATCAACGGCCCCTCGGACCGAGACCCCACTGCCGTCAACAGGGAGTTGGTCTACTTCAAGGGTCCCTTCATTCACGTCTGGGACATGGACGAGAAACAGAAGCCCATTATGGTGCGCGAGTATCCCAAGGTTGCAAGCAAGCAGGATGGCGAGTGGCCTCAGTTCCGAAGCGTCGGCAACGGCCGCTGCCCTTTCGTCGAGGAAATCGAGGTTCCTGACAAGGAGCAGCGACGGAACCGTGAGCGCGAAAAGGCACGCGCGGCGGCAGCTGCGGCGGCAGCCGCTGCGAAGAAGGAAGAGGCGGCACATATCCCCATTCTGAAGCCACCAGAGGTGCCCGTGGTCAAGCCGGTGACCGGGAAGCGGACGCTGGCGGAGATGGAAGACGGCCATAACAGGGGTCTCCGAGCTGCCACGCCGACAGACATGCACAATCCTACCAAAATCGCTGCCCCGAAGCTGATGGATTCGCGACCACAGAATGCCTTCATCAGCCGCGCAGAAGGTGGCCGACTCTTTGCCGGGGAGCCGGTCGCTTCTGGCATGCAGCCGTCGAATATCACGTCGGCTATTCGGTCGCAGATGATCTCTTCAACGTCCGGCATTAACGGGGTCAAAGCGGGTACGAGCAAAGAGGTTCATGGCCTTCAGCGCAAAGTGCTCCAGAAGGCCGCCCCTGCGTCCCAGGACCCCAGCTCCCGCCGTCTGGCAGAAGTCTCGATGGAAGTCGCATCTAGTCGATCGACCAACATGGGCCGCCAGACGTCCAGGACGGTGCAGACCCCGGACGAAGACTCTCAGCGCACAGATGGCAAGGACAAGCGCGCCCAGTCACAGACGCTGAAGAGCAAGAAAGATCTGAAGCCCGGCTACTGCGAGAACTGCCAGGACAAGTTCAGAGACTTTGACGAGGTAAGCCATTGTTGACGCCCAGCTCGGGAACTCTGCTAACGAGTGAGTAGCATATCCTGTCACGCAAGCATCGCAAATTTGCCGAGAACGACGAGAACTGGACTGAGCTGGACCAGCTGCTGGCTCAGCTCAAGCGCATGCCCAAGTATCCCGGCGCGGACTCCGATGACGAGTCCTGGTAGCGCTCGAACCGCTCCTGCATCCAACAGCCCAACGTCCCAGTCACACGCCAGACCTCAACTACGACCCCGACATGCCATCGATGGCCACGTCGACCACACTTGTACGCCTCCGTAGAGGCCCCCACACGACTCAGCTTTTCATTTCCGCATTGCAGTCAGATCCCGCAGCATCGAAGGCACCACCTCGCCGATTTGATACCACACACTTTGCTGGCACGACGGCCGCGAGCTACACAGCGGCGTCTCCGATGGAAGCAACATTGCTCGTTCCAATTTTATCTCTCACATTCACTACGGTTCCCCTCTGTCAAGGTTACGAACTGCATGCGAACCCCGGCGCAGCGGCATGGTTTGGCATTTCTTGGAACGTCACGTCATAGCATAAGGCGTTTTTCGTTCCTTTCTTGGTCCCATTTTTCTCTTCTTTTTTATGCCCTCGCTGATGAAGGGCGGTGGGGATAATGAGTCAGGTGGCAGCGGTTGTGGCATCGTTGTGATGCGGAGTTGCGCGTGTTGGAGGGTGCCATTGAGGGGGACGAAACGTTGGGCACCGGAACAACAGACTTAAGGGAGCGCCGTGTGGTAGCGGCGACTCTGGACATGTACTGGTTAAGCACATATGTGTAGCTTACATGTTACAATGATGAAGTTTAAGACAAGCGCCGTACAACCAGATCTTGTACTTTCACGGTGTTGCACGGGGAACAGCACTTTGGTGCGACGGTGGCTTGCGTCGAGGGTCCTTGTGCCACGACGATGCGGCACCGACTAATCCACACCCTCGAGCAGCTTTGGCAGGATGATGTCGTCGTACTGCCACAACGTCGTCTGGAAGTTGACGCTCCACGCGCCGCCGGTCCACCACGTCGATCTGCGCCCCTGCAGCTGATACAGCTCCTGGAAGAAGCCTCCTCGGAGATGCTCCACGGAGACGCGCGCGTGCATGGGGCCGTGTGTGGAGAAGTCGGCCCAATGCACGCGACGCGAGGGAGCAGTTCCTGGCGTGCTGCCGCCACCGGTGAGAACGCCTGCGTCGAGGAGCGTCTCAAAGTCACGCTGCACAAGCTCCTTGGCGGCGCGGGCGTCGCGTAGGGTCTCGTCGCCCACGACCGTGACGCGGAAGAAGCGTCCCGACCCGAGATAGTCGATGCGCGCGGTGAAGGGCGGCTCTGGATAGGAGAGGTAGTTGTTCGGTGCGGCGTTTGGAGGTAGGTTAAAGTAGGAAGCGTTGAGGGCAAGCGCGGCGTTGTCTATGATACCAGTGTATTCACGCGTGTAGACGAACTTGTCCAGAGTGCGCCGCTCATCCCTGTCGATGCCAAAGGGCGCTATATTCTCGGTCGTTGGCTCGATTGCGATGAGAAGGCGCTTGGCCAAGATGGTGGTGAGCTTGCCCGTGTGGGAGCTGCGAATGGTCACCCGGACTCCGGAACTGGTCCGTGAGGTGTCGACCACGGTGCTGGAATAGAAGACGTCCTTGCCGAGCAGCCGACCAACGGCGTCGTACAAGTCCTGGTTTCGCCCAGATGCCGGCACAAACGAGCCCTGGAGGCCGAGAATCGAGCGAGCCATGGATGCGCCGAACGCTTGCAGGGCGAAGAGGGTGAGCTCGCTGGTCATGTTGCCGACCCCAAGCCCGGTCGTCTGATACATGAGCGGAACAGCGTCTTCAAGGCCGTGCTTGGTGACAAAGTCACCAAACGGGATCAAGAGATCGCCCGGGATGTCCTGCGGGAGGGGAAACTCAAAGTACCCGGGCTGCAAGAGGTGCTCCCACGGCTCAACCACCTCGAGGAACTTGGCCAGCGCATCAAACTGTGCAGGGAACGGCGGAGGTGCAAAGCCGAGAAAGTTGCCTGTCTTGAAGTCGAGGTAGGTGGTGTTGACAAATGGATTGGTCCCGCTTCCTCGCTTCACGCCCAAACGGTCGAAGAACCCGGTTGCGTTACCTGCGTCGAGGAACAGTTTGACGCCATAGTCATACGACATACCCGTCTCCGGATCGGTGAAGGAGTCGACATGGCCGCCCTATGGCCGTAGCCCTGTGAGCATTCGCTTCCTGACCCTGCATTGAGGTGGGGTGCTCACGAGGATTGATTCCCTCTCAATGAGCGCAATGGACTTTCCGTAGTCTTCACGAAGGCGCACTGCGGCGTACGAGCCCGACGAACCTCCGCCGACAATTACAACATCTTTGACAAGTGACCTGTGGTCCTCGGCAGCCGCTGCCATACAAGGCAGGCTGAGCGCGGCGAGTAGCACAGCCTGCATCGTGACTTCGCCGTTGTCTCAACGAGGACGGCCAGATGCGCGGTGCAACGTGCAGTTCTGCGCGTGAGGGGCTTTCGAATGCATTGTCAGACCATCGTCGCTAGAAGACTCCTCCTCATCTGCAGCCCGCCGATCCTTCCGAGCTCGAGAGATATCCCGCCACTTCAGATCCACGCATGCAGGCTGACAGTATTTTACCCGGGCTTCATTATGCCGGGTAAACGTCCAGGCCCGTTTGTCACAACAGGGACGCTCCTTTCCGTCCAATTCCGACCGCCATGTATAAGCTCATCTGGGCTTTCGTCTGTGAACTGACCATGGACGAGATAAATTGGCGGAAAGGTTCCCCTCACCGACCCTTTCGCTTGCAAGGCGGGGCATGTGACGGTGGGATGCAGAGGAAAGGATGACCCCTTGCAGTGGTTGATCGAGCGAGCTAGTACTGCAACTTGTAGCATGCCACACTTCGTCTGGGGTTGTTGCCAAGGGTCTGGGCTTCACGACTTCGGAAGCTGGGGTCGCAAGCAAACATGGTAAACAGCGCAGAAGTCTTTCTCGAGTACACGGCACCTCTGGCGCCGGTGTTCCAGGCCCAGGCAAGCGGCTCGACCAAGGTCTTCGAAGAGTGTCGGCATGACGTTACTCGCCACGCCAGCCACGTGTCAGAGTATTGTGACTTGTCACGGTTGACGAGTTGGGCAAGATCTTGCATTCATTAACGGATCGCGGTCGTCGCATGGACGTCGCGTGCAGCAGAACCTTGGGAGTCGTGGGAGTCGCGCCATAGGCCGAGGAGCCACTAGGCAGGGAGGCTGCGGATCTGGCTTGTCATGTCGCGCAGGCGCACGCCATGCTTGTTCAGGGTCCGAGAGCCGGGAATATTGGGCCTTCGGGGCCGGGATTGGCACGGCGGCCGGGGCCCAGGCCATCCCACGTCCCGAAGCGATCTCGCGCATGGACGGGTTGGGCGTTTGTGCCGTCGCGGAAGCCTCGGCAGTGGCACAGACCGAGACGGCGCGGCCAGTTTGAGCCTGTTGCATTGCATCGAGGCTGCTGGGTCGACAGTGCTGAACCAAGCATGTTGTTTGTTTGGCTCGCTCGCCATGCCCGTCGATGTTATTCAATTGGCGGGACGCGCCGGTTCTGCAAGGCGCAAGACGCAAGCAGCAAACAGACGAAGGAGCAGATGGCGCGCTGGATCGTTCCGTGGCACCGACGCCTTGGCGCACGCAAGATCGGCCTGCGAACTCGTGGGGGGGCAGGGGATGCCGAGGAGCAGAGGGCAAACGGACGGAAGACGACGATCGTGACGTCGAGGTAGGCGCCTGGCGGTGCTCAGTGCTTCGGAGGGCAGGCGAGTCTGACGACGGCCATGACGGCCAGACGACCAATGCGTCGTCGAGGCCAGCAGTGGCGCGACCGTTAGTAAGAGCGCGTGGCCCGGCAATAATCAATAAATGCAGTCTCGCCGCAAACTCTGGCCGAATGGGCCACCTTGTTTGTCAAGCTGCGACAAGTCAATGAATAATGAATGAGTGCGGCAATGCGAGGGACGGAGCCAGTCACCGCCCACGCCTGGCGCCACCACCGCGTGCCAGATGGGCCTCCTGGGAGATCCCAGCACACCACTGCACCGGCCACCACTGCAGGAGCCGTCCGGTTGGCCCCGGCGCCTCAGGTTCCCACTCACCGATCTTTTTTGGCTGGCGGCGTGGTGTCCGAGATCCGAGAGGAAGAAGAATAGATGGTCGAGGGAGAATTGGAACCCTTCCAACCCTTCCGCGTCCAAAACAACGTGGCGGAGATACCGTACCTTGTCTTCCTGGCCTGTCCATGGCACGGAAGCCGTGACTGTTTGTCGCTGCTCCTTCCGTCTGGTTCCTTTCAAGTATATCTTTGCGCTCCTTCCCCCGTCCACGCTGCCCTGCACTCCTTCCTCGACAGCCTTCCGGGTCGCGAGTCACGAGTCACACCTGGAACCTGCCTCCGGACATTCAATCTACACGTCATCAAGGGAAGCTATCCCGAGCCGCACCTGCAGCGACGAGACACAGCGTCCGCGGCCGTGCTGGAGGTTCAATCTCCCTGCTCTTCTTGCATTCTCACCACCGCGTGTTCTTCTTGCACTTAGCACTTAGCCACCCATGGGCCGGACCGCGTTGCCAGACATGACGGGCCACAATGTACCAGCCCATGCCAGTGCCACGCTTCACATCTGGAGGCGCCTACGCGATCTCAAGGCCAAGAGCAGCCCCATCATCCTCGACGGAAACAGCCTCGACATTGCTGCCATTGTCGCCGTCGCCCGCCATGATGTCAAGCCAACTATCAGCACTGACCCTCGCCTCGCGCACCAGCTCGACCTCAGCGTCGATGCGTTGGCCGCGTACCTCTCCCACAAATGGGTCGTGTATGGCGTCAACACGGGCTTTGGCGGCAGCGCGGACACGCGGACCGACGATATGATCGACTTGCAGATTCACCTCTTGCAGCACACTCAGAGTGCAATCATCACCACCGCTGACAAAGACCCCGCTGCCAACTCGGAGCGTGAGCCCTCCCGGACCATGCCGCCCGCCTGGATCCGTGCTGCCATTGTCGCCCGCGCCAACCAGAACCTGAGGGGCCACAGTGCCGTACGCATAGATGTTCTCCGGAGCCTGCTTGACCTCCTGCATCACGACATCACGCCACTCGTACCGCTGAGGGGAACCATTTCCGCATCGGGAGATCTGATGCCCATGTCATACATTGCCGGAGCCGTCACCGGCAACCCGGATGTCTTTGTCCAGGTTGGCCGGGGTAAAAAGGCCCGTGTTATCCCGTCGTCTGAGGCATTGCGTGAGAGCGGCCTCTCGCCTTCCGGCCTTGGGCCCAAGGAGGCTCTGGGCTTGATCAATGGCACGGCCCCATCGGTGGCAGTGGCTAGTCTGGTCCTGTACGACGCCCAACAGCTCACCTTGTTGGCCCAAATGCTCACTGCCTTTGCCGCGGAGTGCCTGGGAGGCAACGTCGAGTGGGTTCAACCCTTCATCCATGCCATCCGGCCTCACCCTGGACAAATCGAGGCGGCAACCAATATCCGGCGCTTCCTTAAGGGGTCCGAGTTCGTGGTTGGACTGGAGTCGAGGAAGCGGACCGGCGACGGACTCTGGCAGGACCGCTACTCCACGAGGACGGCGCCGCAATGGATTGGCCCGTATCTCGAGGACCTGCTCCTCGCGCAGAAGCAGCTGGAGGTTGAACTGAACTCCACCTCCGATAACCCATTAGTAGACGCTGTTGAACGGAACGGCGTCGCGTCTGGGGAGGTCTACTCCGGAGGCAACTTCCAGGCCGTCGTCGTCACCTCCGCCATGGACAAGACCCGTCTTGCCCTTCAGATGATCGGACGTATGCTCTGGTCGCAGGTCACCGAGATCATCAACCCATCAACGAACAACGGTCTTGAGGCAAACCTCAACGCGAGCGCTCACGAGAATTTCACCATGAAGGGCATCGACGTCAACATGTCTGCTTACATGTCCGAGTTGGCCGCACTTGCCCATCCTGTCTCCTCTCACGTCATGTCAGCCGAGATGCACAATCAGGGCATTAACTCGCTAGCCCTCATATCGGCGCGGCGTACCATGGAAGCGGTGGACCTGCTGGCACATATGAGCGCCTGCCACCTCTACGTGTCATGCCAGGCTGTGGACATGCGGGCTAATCACGTTCGATTCTTGACTTCGCTCTGCGAGAGTGTGTTGCCCGATGACACTACGAACGGCGCGCTTTATGGTCTTGGGCTACAGAAAGGGCAGACTGAGGCACTGGCAACATCACTTCTTCCGGTCATCCAGTCAACATGGTACAACTGGAACTCCAATACGTGGAAGGACCGCATTCCCTACGTAGTGGAAGCCGTCGTCGGCCCCGTCACCGACTTCCTGGCGGCGAACGAAGTGGACTGTTCGGTATCAGCACTGGCAGGGTGGAAGAAGCATTTTGAGCGTACCATTTCCGCCTCGGCTGCGGCCAAGTTCTACCCAAGCCCGACGATCCCGACTGCGGAAGTGGCAGCGCAATTGGGTGAGGGAACCGCGCAACTGTACAATTGGGTGCGAACAAAGCTCAACGTACCCCTGCATTGCGGGATCGACGACGACCCCCTATACAATGCTCGCAAGGGCTTGCCCACAGAAGACAAGAAGACAATTGGGAGCTGGGTCACCATGGTGTATGAGAGTTTGCTTAGAGGCGGCATGATGGACATGGTTTTAGAGGGCCTCGAGAACCCACAGGGGCACACAAACGGCATCGCAAATGGGGCCAAGACTGACACTACAAATGGCAATGCGAACGGTGTTGCGAATGGTAGCACGGGCAACCTAGAACACCCGGAAAACCTGCACGAGAAGGCGGAAGAACCTTGACCGGGACGCATTCTAAGGCATTAGACAGACGCATCGCTTGAGCATCTTGGGCCTGGGAGTGAGGGATACATGCATTTGAAAACTCGCCACTACTAAAAACGTATGAATTGAATTATCCAGTTGATGAGGTACTTGATAACTTACTTCATATGCGCATCCTTTGCCTGGTTAGATGCCCAACCCCACGGACAAGTAGAGCCAGGACAGTGTGCATACTGTGATGCACTGTGACCCAGATGGCGTATTAGGTGCAGGACTTCATCTCACAGCTGCTGCCTGCCAGGTTGACACACGTTGCTGCTTGCTCAACAACACCAAATCCCCCACAAGGCCAGACACTTCAGACAGTTGGCGAATCTCAAGCGCCCGGGCTCGCGAGCAAGGCAGAAAGCTCATATATCTTCAAACATGGATTCCCCACACGACCGGGCCAGCCCCTCTCCGTCCCGCGCGCCGCTCGCCTCACCCTCGCCGGTGCCCGAGACGGACTCAGACTCAGGCGAAGCGCCCGAGCTGCCGCTGACCATGTCGGCATCGGTGGTGCTGGCGGACCTGCCGCGGGACGCGACGGCGGCGCTGGCGAGCGTGGGCGGGTTCGCGCAGGAGAAGGTGGTGGTGCGGTTCAAGCCCGTGGGCGCGGCGCCGGCGCTGCAGCAGGACCTGTGCAAGATCACGGCGACGCGGCGCTTCGAGGAGGTGGTGCGGTACCTGCGGCGGAAGCTGCGCTGCAAGGACACGGACAGCGTGTTCCTGTACGTCAACTCGGCGTTCGCGCCGTCGCTGGATGAGGTGGTCGGGAACTTGCACCAGGTTTGTTCGGACTCGTCACTGTCTCTGGCGTCGTGCCCGAGATTGTAGTGAGTGCATACTAAGTGGATGCAGTGCTTCAAGAATGCTTCGGATCAGCTTGTCGTTGCTTATTCTATGACTCCGGCGTTTGGTTGAGGAACCCGCCATCTGTCTATCCTCACGTTGCTACGAATGTTCGCCAACTCTAGTCTTCTACCGCCATCTGATCATGAAACGTTCAAAAACAATTGCCATGCGCTCGCTCAAAAGACAACCGCCGCCACCGCACGCCATGATGCTACCGAAACAAAAATCGCCTCTCTTCGCCACCACCCACTACATCTCCTTGACAGCTTTAGAAAACGCCTCCAGCTCTCCCTCGGGAATCGGATAGGTATGCTCGGGCGCCGGATACTGCCGGCTCTTGACTTCGTCGCGGTATGCTTCGATGGCCCTCTTTGACTCGCCCCAGACGTCGCCGTACTTCTTGACGAATTTGGGGAGGAACCTGCCAGGAGGGAAGTTGCCAGCCATGTCGGTCTGAACGAGTACCTGGCCGGAGCAGCCCGCGCCGGCACCGATGCCGATGGTCGGAATGGACAGCTTTTGCGTGATGAGCTCGGCGACCTCGGCAGGGACAGCCTCCAGCACTACGGCGAAGCAGCCAGCCTCCTGGACCGCAAGTGCATCTTCGAGAACACCGAGGGCGCCGTCTTTGGTCTTGCCCTGGACGCGGAACCCGCCGAGGGCATTTTGTCGCTGGGGCGTCAAGCCGACGTGGCCTAGCACTGGGATGCCGGCGGTGGTGATCTTCCGGATGGTTGGGGCCATTTCCTTGCCGCCTTCGAGCTTGACACTCTGGACGCGGCCATCCTTGATGAAGCGGATTGCCGTCGCGAGGGCCTGCTCTGGCGAGATCTCATACGACCCCATCGGCAGATCGCCAACCTACAAGGTATCCTGGTCAGCGGCCGTTGCGTAGCTAGGTGACGGGGTTCGATCGAGACGGGGATGATCGACTTACAGTGAAAGCGGTCGTTGTGGCTCTCGCAACGGAACGACAGTGCAGCAACATCTCTTCGACAAGGACCTCACTCGTGTCCTCCATCCCCAATGCCACCATGGCGAGGCTATCGCCAACCAGTATGACGTCCATGCCGGCGTGGTCGGCAACGTGGGCGCTGGGGAAGTCGTGGGCAGTGATCATGGTGATGGGGTCACCTTTCTTGTGCAGAGATCTCAGTGTGCCGATGGTGACCTTCTTGCGCGGGCTGGATGGGGGAGCTCCCATGGGTGAGTGGGAGCTGTGTCTAGTTTGGTATGCTATAGGTGCATAAAGAAGCGACTGAGAGGGACGGGCGTGAGAGAGGGCGAGAAAGTTGGGCCGCGCAGAGCGTGCCAGGGAGGCACACGACCGCCGGATAGACGAAGCCGCCAAGGACATGATGTGTATAGAGGATAATGAAGTATTGATAAGATATGGTATGGGTATGTGTAAGTGGTGAGAGGGAGGGTATGTGAATGGGTGACCACGTGACGCGACGGTACCTCTGATGCAGTGAGGTCGCAGGCGTCAGCGCAGGTACCTGGTCGATATGTAGGTCGTGTAGTCGCAACGGATGGCAGTCCGAGGCGTGGGCAATTCAGGGACTAAGAAAGTAAAAGAAAAGCCACACGGAATCAGGAACGGCCTCGCGCGTGGAGAAGGAGAAGGGAGGAAGAGGAGGCCGGGCCGGCGCGTTTGGGGCGGAGGAGGCGAGTTTTAACGGCCGGGGCGAGCATGATGGTTTTTACGATGTAGAATTGAGTATCTCTGGAAATTGGCCCTGGTGGTTTTTTGCCCTGCCCGAACGACGCGCCATTCTGGGGGCTACCGCGCAGATGCGAGCACCCGGGGAGGGCGCCCCACTGGGGGTTGAGGAACGGGCTTGCCTAGGTGGTGGTTTGGCATGGCCCGAGGAACCGCTGTGGCCGAGGGTTGTACAGCGCGGGGCAGGCGCTGAGGGAGGGGCACACCCAGCGGATGTGGTGGGCTGGCGGCCATGGCGCCCGGGCCTGTGTCCTGTAGGTGGTGTGCTGGGCTGGCACAGCGGCGACGGGCGCGCCGATGGGGGGCGGAGGGCTCGGGCGGCCGGGATGGAATGGGAGGCGACGATGGGCCGAGGCATTTCCTGGGGTTCGTCTCGGTGCCCGTTGACCACCGTTTCGGCGTTGCGACCACGATTACTACTGCCTTCACCGGATTGATGAGTCAGCGCGACAATGGGATCTGGTCTGGTCGCGTGAGGTCCCGTGAATCTGATGCTCGGATTCCGATGTGAGATTCTGCGTAGGGTTTCGCGGTGCGCATGTTCGGAGTCCTCAGGGTGCACGGTGTGGCGTATCCATGTGCGCCGGAGCGCGGGCGAGTGGAGGAAGCGCTGGCCCGAGCAGTGCTCGTGTCATACAAAGGACGTACAACCAGATGGTCGCAGCATTTCCGTATATCACGGTGTCTACCAAGCATCGTATTAATCAAGACGTCACGGCCCTTGCTGCCGCAACTGCCGCGAGATTGACAGGCCCAGGATCTGCGGCTGGGGCGGTCTGATCCGACGAGTGGCGCGTGAGTGAGGTGCGAGGGTGTCCCCCGCTGGGTCGCCTGCAGTGTGTCCTGCATAGGTGCCTCTGGCCTGCCGTCAGCCGTTGGGGAAGGGAGGGAGTGATGGGGAGTATCGGGACTGCACCGCGCGCTGGAGGGCGACAGCGACGGGAGCAGTTCCGTTTGAGTCGGGCGCAGACGGTCGATGCCGTGCCTCGACCTCTGCCGTGCTGTTGCCACCGCTCCATGCCAGCTGCTGTTGGCCCGATGGCGCGAGGCGGTCCCGTGCGATGGCGCAACGACAGGTGAGGTGATGGAGGTGGCTCCCGTCGCTCTCCGGTTGTGGAAGTACTGGACCCAACCCGGGGCGCGGTCAACCGCTAACGACACGATGCTCCAGGAGGGCAGGTGTTAGCTGGAGGCATGTTGCAGGTACAGTGCTGTCCTCCACCGTACACCCAACCTTGGAAAGTCTCCTTCCATGGGTTTAGCGCATTTCCCGCATCATCATCAGGCGCCGCCCGAGCCCCAGCGCAGGTCCCGCACCCCCCGTGACTGGCGTCGCCAGCCGCCGCCGCCCATCACTTGGTGACTCCCCTCGTCGTCCCACCCTGTCGTCCTCTTTCCTCCCGAACCATCCTCAGTCTCGTAACGATCTTGAATACCCCCCCATATACCTGTCTCTTATACACATCTAGATGTGTATAAGAGACAGGTCCCACCCTGTCGTCCTCTTTCCTCCCGAACCATCCTCAGTCTCGTAACGATCTTGAATACCCCCCCATATACCGCGTGCAGCGTCGACGCAAATCGTTCTGCTTCTTCTCCCAAGAGCATCATCGCACTGCCGCCGCCAGCTCTGACCACACGCAGCCACCCAGCCCGATCGCACCGCTTTCCACGAGCCCATAGCCCGCCCAGGTCGACGAGTGACGTCGTGCCCTTGTTGCTGTCCCCGGACACTGCGATAGCGCTCACCCCCACATCGCGGAGCCGACCCAAGCCGCAACCATGAGCAGCCCACGGCGCAGGATCGAGACAGATGTGAGTGCACGAGCTGTTGACGCCATGTGTGGTATTGCAAGGCGCTGTTGGGATCTTGTGCTGACGCTCGATGCCCTAGGTCATGAAGTAGGCGGCGCTTCGTTGGGCCGCAATCCGGACGCGATGCTAACACGTGCTGCAGAATGTATGCATCAGCGACGTCGCAGCGCGAACCCTCAACCGGACTGACACGCGCAGGCTCATGAGTGACTACGAGGTGACTCTAGTCAACGACAACAGTGCGCCGCCTTTACCCTGCTAGCACCGCCTTCCGAGCTGACCGTTCGCAGTGTAAGTCCCCGCGCCCGGCACCGACTCCACGTCCACCGACCCTCACACCGCGACAGGCAAGAGTTCTACGTTAGGTTCAAAGGGCCTGCAGAAAGTGCGTCCTCCGAGAAGCGATGACGCGCCGTCCGCTGACAGCAGCAGCACCATTCGAGGGCGGTCTGTGGAAGGTCCATGTCGAGTTACCAGATTCGTACCCGTATAAGAGCCCGAGCATAGGATTCGTGAACCGCATCTTCCACCCCAACATTGACGAGTTGTAGGCCCCACCGCCCAAGGGAGACCGACAAGTGCGTCCGCTAACGGTCTCTGCCAGGTCCGGCTCGGTGTGCCTCGACGTCATCAACCAGACGTGGTCCCCCATGTTCGATATGATCAACATCTTCGAGGTGTTCCTGCCACAGCTCCTGCGCTACCCGAACCCAACGGACCCCCTGAACGGCGAGGCGGCTGCTCTCTTGATTAGGGAGCCCAAGAGCTACGAAGCCAAGGTCAAGGGTGAGTCCCCCGCGCGTTGACCGGTGTACACGAGGGCGGGGCTGACGCGTCCACAGAGTACGTGCAAAAGTATGCGACAAAGGACGCCGCCGACGAGGCCGGTGCCGAGAGCGAAGATGACGACGACATGTCCTCGGTTGCCAGTTTCGACAACGACGAGGACGAAGAGCCTGCCGGCCAAATGGACGACGTATGAGAACGCGAAGACACCAGACAACTCTCCTCATTTGACGGCGTCGGATTGGCAGTAAACTTGTTGGCACAGCACGGAATGGCGTGCTTTATACAGCGGATGGAGTTGCATAAGCCAGAGCTGATTGTGTTTTTCCTTTGGCAGCTGCGTTGGTGCCGACCACGGCTCAAAGTTCGTGACTGGAGCGGGTGCCATGAAACGTGCCAAAATTGCAGGTCGTGATGGCCATGCGAGGGACTTTCTTCCACCCTCAGAGGTTCAGACAGGAATAGATTGAACGCTTAACCATTTACTCGTACAAGGGGGCCCCTGCGAGGGGCGGGTATCATCTAGTGTCTTAGTACAGACTCCTCTGTCACGCAAAAAGTGATCAAGGTTTCCAAACGCCATCCGATGCAGCCGTTCCACGGTTCCCAAAACGCCCAGTAAATGCAACCATTAGTCAGAATCGTAGTCCACGAGTCCGTTGGCGGTTTGTGCGGTTGACTGCCCAGCTTTGACTGGTGGTTCAGACGCCTCCGACTCGGACTCTGGACGCTTTCTTTTGACAGGTAGCCTCGGCGGCGGCAACTTGTAGTCCCGAGCCCTTTGGAGAAACGGATCCTTTGCAGCTCGGGTGTTGGTGACGAGGGTCGAGACGAGGGCATCCCTGTCCTTGGCCGCCTTCACGTCCGCCTTGAGGCGCTTCTTCGTCAGATGGGGCGCGGCAGGCGACGAGGACGAGGTCGCCATGGAGGATGACGAGGGTGAGTTCGTAAAGAGCGGTTTTGACAATGCCTTGCCGCCGGATTCGTCGCCGGAGTCGGGGCCAAAGTCGACGAGCGCGGCACGGCGGGCGTCGTCGTCGGTGCCCGGCAGAAGGTCGATGCCCAGGCTCATGCGCTCGCGCAGGGCGTCGTCGTCCGCCGCCACCTTCTCGCGCTGCTTCCTCCCCGCGCGAAACGCCCTCCGCAGCCTCTGGTTCTGCGCATAGGGGTCGTCCCAGCGCCGCGCCGAGTCCTCGAGCAGGCCGGCGATGCGCTCGCCCGCCTGGCGGAGCTGCTCGCGGTCCTCGATGGTGCGCTCGAGCTTGGAGAAGGCCGTGCGGCGGGCCTCTTGCTGGTCGCGCTCGTCGGCAGACGGGAGGACGAGGTCGCCGTCGCGGGGCTTGTCCTCGCCCGTGTCGCGGCGCGTGCCGCCCTCGACGACGACGTAGGCCGTGTTCTGGGGGTCGGTGCGGATCTCGATGGCGCCGCCGCAGTCGGCGTGGCGGAAGCGGAAGGACCAGATGGGCGTGGAGTGGTAGGCGCCGGAGCGGCGCTTCTGCGCGTTGAAGCGCACGCCCTGGCCGATGAGGGTGGGTTTCGGGCAGGACGCGCACCAGACGGCGAAGGGCATCTCGAAGCGGACGGTCGGGACGGAGGCGGGGCGCTTGCCGTGCAGGCGGTTGCCGGTGGTGGTGCCCTCCACGTCGGGGGGCACGTACCGGCCCATGTTGAAGCCCTGCATGGCGGCGGCGACGGTGCGGCGAAGCGTGTCGCTTCGCTGCAGCAGATGAGGGCGTGTGTGATGATGGAGGGTGGTGGGTTTGGCGGTCAGGTTGGTGGCGGGGTGAGGTCGGATTAGAGGTGCAGCACAGTGGAGGGCGGACCCTCCTCGCAGTGGGGGGGCAAAATCGTGGCGTGGACGGAGGGAGTGGCGGACGGCACTGGCTGCCGGGCCGGCAGACCCACCCCGGGCAGCCGGCGCCTGGGCCTGCCGTGGTCCCCGGGCGACACTCGGAACTATTTTCGCAGCGTTGCACTGGGCGGCTTCAATGATGTAAAAGGAGTCTTGCCTACTATTTGTAGTGATTCGATAAATGTGGACTCTGCCAGTGTTGAACAAGAGCATGCAGTAGCGGACGTCGCTGTTCTACGTTGTCCACCCCCCCCTTTCTGACTCTATGGGAGCTTCCCCGCTGATGATGGTATGTGCTATGGATATATTGGCAATATACGCCAGCTGTTACTGCGGCAGTGACCGGGGTTGATTTCGTTTTAACGAAATCGCCAACTGGGACGGGCCGTCGGTGCTCCCGGCGGCCATCATTGATACCTAGAGTAACGCCGGACCAGCATGAGTTGTATTTCTTACCGAAGCCCGACTGAACATTCTACGGTCATTGATCGAGGGAATTGTGCAGGCATGAGAGAGTCCATGTTCGTGGTCCATGGATTTCCAGTCCAACACCAGTAAGCATGTGTCTTAGCGTGCCAAGAGACAGAGGCATGGTGAAGAGAAAGCGAATAGATTGAAAATCAGGCAAGACGCGCGGCCGGACGGATATGGCCTCAGAAGCCAGATCACGGCTACCCGCGGCATTATCAGATAGCCCGGAACATATGATCTTCTACTGTACTGTGTCCATCCACGAGTCGTGAATGCATGACACCTTGGCTGCCCGTACCGGTTGCTGGCCCAGGTCGGGTTGGAGGCATTGACTTACGATAATGGACATGACTCGCACGCATAATACGCAATGCCTTGCGCAAGTAGATGCGAGAGTGTCGTAGAAAGCCCATCCGGCATTGTCCTGGCTACAGCCCAGGAAGGTACGCATGAGAAGAGTGCTCGCATCGACTGTACAATATCACTGATGCTGGGCGGCCCCTCTTCGCTCTCTTCGCTATGTAATGCCAGTGAGCTAGGGAAGCATGGAAATCTATATTGCGATCCAAAGTGCAGCCTTGCAATTGACTAATTATGCTGCTTGTCGGCCAAACTAAAGAAAGGAAATGCCTTGGAGGCCTGTTGCTTTTCTCTGAAAGGGCGAGCTGTCGTCTGTACTTTTTGATCGTTATTTCACCTCGTGCCACTTTCGTACAGAACACAACACTCCAAGTACCGTACTCATCCATCCAGGCCATCATGAAGGCTTCTACCATCGCGTTTGCTCTTATTCACGGGGCAACTTGGGCTGCCGCCCGCCCTGACGCAAAAGAGTGCGAAAAAGCAAAGACGGCGTACCTGCCAAGTGACAAGCCGGTAAAGAGCCTTTCTGCATCGAAAAATAAGAAGGTTATAGGTACGAGTTGACACGTTTTATAGCAACCATTGGAGAAAATTCGATTGTTTCATGACTGCGTCTCGCCTGGATCTGTTCCCGGAATCAAAACCGTGCGTGACCGGCTGCGTGCTATCATCTCGGAGAACCCACCGCCCCGCGTTCGCAGCACACTAATATGACGATGCTCAGGACGACGGGAAAACGCTTGTCATCGAGGCCACGTTGGTGTACTCCAACCCTTCTAAGTCGGTGAGTGAACAGTCGTGCGCCTCGGGCCCGGTCTCTCAACAGTATTACCTGCTCACAATCATATGCCAAAGCCCTCACCCCAGCGTCAGGTATGTAGCAACAAGTCCAGGCGAACCGTGCCTGCATACCGTCTGCTGACCCGATACGAATGGCACAGGCAGAATATGAACAGGTATTGAATCGCCATGCGAAGATTCGTTCAACAATGGATCATGGGTATTGACACCAGAATGACAGGCATGGAAGGAAATCGAGGCCAGATGCAATGGATCTGTATGTACACTGGCCATGGGACTGATCGCGCTGTGATGAACGTGCGCTAACATGCCCGCAGTGCAAGAAGTGTACAGATTCTGGGGAACAAAACAGAAACATCGCCGTGTGTCTCTCCCAGTCCCCGTATCGAGGCTATGATTAGATGCTTCTCCTGACACGAGACCTACGCTTAGCTTTCGATCAAGTGCGAACTCGAACAGCCGCAGCAGCAGCAGCAGCAGCAACAGGATGAAACGCATGTAAGCAGCGATTCACGCGCCATCAAGCCAAGGAAAGAGCCAGGGCGCACATGCTGACACAACGGACTTCTCAAGCCCCTGCAGTATTACGTCTCTCAGTACAACAGGGGAAAAACCAGGTGCAATGCACAGACGTGCGTGGCCGTTGTCCAAACCTCTCAGCCCAGGCGGGAAACTGACCTCCACGGTTTCAGGACACCGAAAAGCAGCAGATGACTTGCCAAGTCTACGAAACCGACAACGTGAGTTCGACCGGGCGCCACTGCCAAGTATCCCTTCGCTCCTCTCGCACCGGGTTCTGACAATGGCTGTACAGAAAGAGGCGTCGTTGGCGTCTTTCAAGGAAATGACGGACGGGTGCAACAAGCGCGTGAGTGGTCAACCCCGTGGCCCCAGGCTGAGATGTGCCAGGATACAGACTCCCATGCTGACGAGCCGCAGTGCAACAGTTGCCAGGCCACCGTCCTGAATCGCTTCGGCAGTCGCTCCGACAAGCGAGCCGGTTTTAACGCTGTAAGTCAACACTGCTCAATGGCGGGTCGAGAGTTTCACAGTGGCCTAACAAGACAAAACACGCATGCAGGGCGCCTTCACCTGCAAGAAGCACATGACTCACGAGGGGAGGCCCGTCTGGGGCCAGTAGCGGCCCAATCTCTAGACCCCGGGACCTGGGGGAGGCTTCGACGCGGCCTGACTTTTCTCCATGGCTAGAACAACCGCGCACAAACTCGCGGGGCCTTGTTGGGGTAAATCCTTAGGAACCCCGACTTAGACCTTGAGCAGCGGGTGAGGTTGGGTGTGGTCGATTTGATCTGACGGGCCGGGATGTGCGAGGGTAAGGAGTTGGCGACTGAGCGCCGTTCAGTCGTTACCGCAGAGAGAGTGGAAGATATAAAATACAAAAAAGCATGGGGGGCTCACACAGACTCCCGCGAACGCGAAATATATGACCAGTATGAGTGCGTCGTAAACGTAATTCAGATGAACGCTCGGCTAGCATCTGGCTTGGGCGAAGTATAACAAAGATTCCTTCCTTCCACCAAGCGTGAGGTGGCGCCGTCACTACGGTCCCGATCATCCTGTCCGTCAAGCATCACCACACGATCACACGCGAGCCACGCTCGACCCCGAATGAGGGCCCTCATCGTGATCCACACCAGCCGACACCTCCTGGTCAATGGCCGTGCGCACAGCAATGCCGTTGAGCTCCAGCTCGGACGAGTCGCTCGCCCGCTCCAGGTCGACATCACGCGCGTGGCCCTGCCGCGATACCTCGCCGCGCCGGCCATGTAGCCCCTTTACCGTCGTCTGGATGACGCTCTTCTTGCCGGCGCCGCCCGGTGTGCCGGACGAGTCGTACGTAGCCGAGTAGCCGTTGCCGCCGCTGGCCGGCGCGCCCGGAGGGGCAGGCCCGCTGCGAAGCACCCGGCGGAAAAGGGGCGCCATCTGCGGCATGCAGCCGAGGAGGATGGACAGCTCGTTCTCGAGTATTGTCCACAGGCTCTGGCCCGCGGTAGAAGCTGGACGAAATCAGCTGCGACTCAAGCTACATCTTACAAGGAACAACTTACTCGATAGATGATTCGTATTAAATGTGAAAAACTGGACGACGCGCAAGGCGCTGAATATGCAGACACTGGGGGCGTGTAAGTCGGGGCTCGCGGAGAAATGCGGACCGTCATCGCGGCGCGTTTGGCACTTACATGGCGCCGACGCACAAGACAATCTGCACGGCAATCTTTTGCTTGCGGCGGATGCGCAGCTTCCATATGGTGGGCGTCGGGATGATGAGGATGGTGATGTCGGCGACGGCGGCGACAATGGCGCTAAAGATGTTGAGGCTCTCGTACTGCTCGTTGGGGATGCACCACCCGCCGGGGATGGTGCGGTCCCAGTAGAAGGACACGGGGTGGCACATGAAGGTGGTGTAGAGCACCGCGAAGATGCCCCAGATGACGACGCTAACGAAGACGACCTTGAGCGCGAGGATGACGGGCCGCGTCAGGCCCAGCACGCGCCGGATGAAGAGGATGATGGACAGCTTGACGCACGCCTGCGAGGTGGCCCAGAACTTTGTCACGAGCCACGAACCCTGAGAAGTCGTTTAAGTATTTTTTTTTTTTAATAAATAATTGCGAGGACAACAAGTAGAGTGCAAACATACAATGTTGAATCGTATCTGCCGGTAGTGCGGCAAGTCCTGAGTGGCAACGCCCACACCGTTGAACGCCTCTGCGACACTCATCGTCAGTTCGACCGCAACAAAGCCATTATCCCCTCTCAGCAATCATACACGGTGGCTCAGTGAGGACGGTAAAGAAAAAGAAAAGAAAAGAAGACAACGGACTTAGCAACACGGCCGTCACGTCCCCCCACATGAGCAGCACAGCGCAGCCCATCAGCACGTCGTCGAGGCGCACCTTGGCCGACACCACCACCCGCGAGGCGATGACGCGCAGCAAGAACGCAATCGTCGCGATGGATCCAAACGCGATGCTCACGCCGGCGAGCAGCTCCCGCCAGGCGGCCGCCTCGGCAGACTCGGGGAAGTCCCTGGCCATGCTGACCGCGGTGACAGCAACCCCATGGACGGAGTCGCCCTAACTGTCTCTACTTTCCCCCTCTCTCTCGTTCAGGCGATGTTGGTCCGGAAAGAAACTCTAATACGAAGCACATGAACCACACGTACACACAGTGCCGCGGATTCGGAACACAAAGGGACACGCCGCTAATGAACAATAACAGAAAGTAATGGGTCTCGGGAAAGCGGATCTTCGGCGGGCTCCATGACCACCGCGGTCTTATACAACTCAGCGCGGCTGTAGCAACGACGAAACGCTCTCGCAGGAAGCTCCCAACGAGGGGGGGGGTTTTCCTGCTGTGATACACGGGCAAGGCTGCGGTGTTGCCTCTCGTCCTCTTACATACATGTCCATACATGGGCGCTGGACCTTGGGTGGGGGAGGGGAGGAGGGGGACCGACACGTCGCACAGATGGAGGAGAAGGCTGACAGTCCTTGTGCTCTCACGCGACGCACTTCCTGCTTCTTCATGCTGCTGCGTCCCCCGGAGAGAGAGAGAGGGGTGGTCTTCCAGCCACTCGCCACCGGTTCTCTCATGCTGTGCCACGATGCCCGGGCTGCGCGCCGTCGGCGGGAGTCTCAGGTCATATGCAATCACTCACTGGTAGCACGAGCAGCCGTGGTGGTACGAATGACGTGACGGGGCAACTTCTTGGCTGAGGGCTGAGGGGGCACACGGGCTCGGTTGGGGTTGGGCATGAGAGGCAGACATTGGGGAATATTGGATGAACAATGTTCACCACATACATTGACGCACCTACCTGGCCACCACCGGATGGCTTCATAGACGCCGGGCTCACACGAGACGACTCTGCCGGAGACGCAACGCTGCTCGCCCGGTCGGCCATCTTCGAGTGTCCAGTTGTTATGGTGGTGGCCGGCTCAGTCTTGAGGCCCGACACCCGCCCCTGAGCTGTTGTGACACCTCATGCCAGTGCGGCAAGCAGCAGCAGAACCGCAACACGCTCAGCCTGCCCAGCGGCACGTTGCGGAGAAGCATTCTAGAAGTCAATGCCGGCCGACTGCCGGGGTCACCAGAGTCGTAGGGGAGGCGCCGTATCTCGGCACTCGCAAAGATCGCCTCCTTGATATTACCACCCAGCCGAGTCCCATATAACTTACAGTCGAAGAGACAGGCCCGCAGCTTGCCTCGAGAAGCGCCAGTTGCCAGTTGCAAGTCAAGACCCTGCCTCGACAGTGCGAGCACCGCAAAAAGCATGCCCGTCTCGGCCCCCAACCCGCATCGAGGCAAAGATGATCCCCCCGCCACGATGCAACGCCCCGGCCCCCATCATCGCCCGCCCGGGCTGGTCAGGATAGGAAAATGCCGAAACGGGCCAGCCATGCAGGACGCAGGGCCGATCGACCACCACCCCCCAAAAAAGCCTCCTCCGGCCCCTCTGCCCGAAGCGCGACGTCCTCGCCCCGACGACTTGCTTGCCACTTGCTCCAACCGCATGGGGCAGTGAGCGGTGCCGTCGCACATACGTACTATGGGATTCGTGCTTCGCTGGAGGGGAAGAGGGGGGTGCCATGGGCAGAGGCTGAGGTCGCCGCCGGCAGCAGCTCCAGGGCGGACGACACCGTCACACAGACTTACAAAGCATATGCGAGGACGGGTCGAGCTGCCGGCCGGTCGACATGCCGCATGTCGAATGATACATTACAGACTCAGACCCCACGTCTGGTCCATGTCTCGCAAGGCCTGACGGGAGCAGGAGCAGGAGCAGTCGCCAATACCGTCAGCCAACATTGCCCAGCACGGTTGCAGTCGCCAGTGTGACCCTCCCACCCGCCGCGATGCTCAACACCAGCATGACGCTGCATCCGCTCCTCGCCGTGCTATTCGGCAGCCTGGCCATGCTCCCCGAGGCCGTGCGCGCCGTCAACGTCGATACCCAGGACTCTATTGGGCCGGCCACGGCCCTTGCGGCTCTCAACGCCAGCGTCGGGGGCCGGGTGAAGATCACGGAGCCCTTTGCGCTGCCGTGCTTCGCGACGTACGAGGGCCGGCCGAACCCGCGCCGCGACACCGCCGTCTGTGCCGAGCGCCAGGCCAACTACCGCTCTTCCGCGTACCGCAGCCGCTTCCCCGGCGGCTACATGTACGACCAGTCGTCCGTGTGCGCAACAGACCCGGCCTCGGCGGACCGCTGCCTGCTCGACCCCAAGGACCCCTCCAACCGCGGTGCCTTTGAGAGCGCCGACTGCAGGCAAGGCAACGTTCCGGCCCACTACCTGGAAGTGAAAGAGGCGAGAGACGTGGTCGAGGCGTTTCGACACGCGGAAGGCTCCGGCAGCGGGCTGAGGATTGTCGTCAAGAACAGTGGGCATTCGTTCGAGCTCGACAGCAGCGGCAAGAGGGCGCTGTCGCTGTGGACGCACAACCTCAAGAAGCTGACGCGCCACCGCGACTTCGTCCCCGACGGGTGCGGCTCCTCGTCACGGCACGTCGATGCCATCACCACGGGCGCGGGCGTCACCTGCAACGAGGCCTACTCCTACGCCGACGCCGAGGGAGTCCTCATCCTGTGCGGCTACTCGGCGACAGTTGGCCTCACGGGCGGCTGGGTGCAAAACGGGGGCCACTCGGTTCTAAGCAACATGTTTGGGCTCGGTGCCGACCGCGTGCTGCAATTCACCGTCGTGACGCCCGACGGGGTCACCCGCGTGGCGAACCGCTGCCAGAACGCGGACCTGTTCTGGGCGCTCCGCGGCGGCGGCGGCGGCACCTTTGGCGTCGTCCTGGACGCGACGCACAAGGTCGAGCCGGCGGCGCCCATCGCCGTGGCCAACATCAGCGTGCCCGCGCGGGGCGACGTGGACGTCGTGTACGGCTTCATGGAGACGTTGTTCGACTCGGCGGTCGCCATGGCCGAGGACGGCTGGGGCGGCCACATCTACGGCAACTCCATCGCCTACATGAGCCCGAAGCTGCAGTCGGAGGAGGAAGCCAAGAAGTCGATGGCGCCGCTCATCGCCTTTGCCGAGAAGCACTCTGGCAGCGTCAACGTGTCCATCTCGCCGCGCTGGTACCCCATCTTCGACGACTTTGTGCTCAAGGGGTCCTACCCCGTCGGAGACCTAAGCCTCATCAACACGCGCCTCGTGCCCGTCAAGGTACACACCGACAAGGCACTTCGCGCGCAGTTCAAGGCGTACATGCGCGAGTTCATCTCGACCATCGGCCCGCCGTACGTACCCGTCGACGCGCCGTACCTATACCGCCCTTCCTCGCCGTCGACGACGTCGGTGCACCCAGCGTGGTACTCGTCGCTCTGGGAATGGGGATACCCCAACAGCTGGGCGTGGAACGGCACGCTCGAGGACCGGGTGCGCGCCGTGCGCGGCATGCAGGCGCAGACGGCGCGCATGGAGGCCGTGACGCCCGGGGGCGGGACGTACAAGAACGAGGCGAACCCGTTCACGCCCGACTGGCAGCGCGTCTTCTTCGGCGGGCACTACGAGCGGCTGCTGGCCGTCAAGCGCAGGTATGATCCGCGCGGCCTGCTGCGCTGCTGGCGATGCGTGGGGTGGACGGACGAGGACGCGGAGGCATCGTGCTATCGCGCGTTTAACAATGTCGGCGCGTAGGTCGGCTGACATGCTGCAGCAGGTACTGCGCAGGCGTAGATAGCCAGAACCGATAGAGAATCGACGTATAAAGCGGTTCGCTGATGGATGGAAATAAAAGGATAGAACCGGGGGTAGAGTTGAAGCTAGACTGTGAGGGCGCCTTTGACAGGATGCCGTGCCGACTTCCGACTTGAGTCTTGACTCCGCACTTACATCCATCCATCCATCCATCCCACCACTTGCTTCACCCTCACCCACCACTCCCCACATCATCATATCCTCCTCAATACTATCCTCTTCATAAGCCTCCACATCGTCCGCTTCCTCCCAAGATGCCACCATGACCGGCCTCAAGCCATCCTCCTTCCCCCACGACACCACCTCCCCCCTGCATCCCACCACCCACCTCTCCATCTCCCACCCCCCATCCTCCCAGTCCACCCTCCGCATCGCCCCAATTCTCAGCACGCACCAGGCCACACCGTCGCCGACACTCCCCGTCCTCGCAGTGACCTCATCCTCATCGCTCTCCCGCACGCTCACCTGCCGTGCCGTCAGCGACGACGAAGGCCACGACGACACAGACGACGGCGGGCAACCTCCGCTAGCGACGCTGTCCAGCCCGCTCCTCGCCTTTGGGCGCTGGACCATCTCGTTCTCTGCGGCTGCGTCTCTAAGTGAAGCGGCCGGGAGCGGAGAAGGAGAAGCGAGACGAAGGGGAGATGCGGGAGAAGGAGAAGGAGGAACAGGATGCCCAGGATTGCGCATAGGTGACATTGAGCTCCACCCCGTCAGCTCCCGCAGCAGCGCCGACGTCTTCGTTCTCTCCGGCGTGCCCTTCTTCTGGGAGCGTGGTGACGGCGCCACGCGCACGCTACACAAGGTCGTCAACGGGCGCAAGGTAGACGTCGCGATATTCACAGGCAGACGCACGCGAGATGCCGAGGGCGTGATGGCTGTTGATGAGACACACGTCAATGCTTTGGTCGCGGCGGTCACTTGCGTCGCGGTGCTGAAGCGGACTGACTCCTTTCGAATGTGAGGGGGAGGAGCAGAGGCAGGAAGCCAATAAATAAATACCTTGTACTCATGTAATGTATGTATGCTATGACCAGTGGCATGCGCTCACGACACCCAGGACGGCGGCCGGTCACCGGGCTTGGTCCCCCAGTCCGACTCCTTCGTGCCCAGAGTGAGCTCTAGCGTCCACCCTTCGGTAAAGAACTCGTGCCCGATCCAGCTCTTGGTCCACGGCTTGCCGTTCACCGTTGCCTTCTGAACGTACACCTTCTTATACGACGGGTCAAAGCCAATGTTGCGCACAGTCGCCGTCTTGCCCGTCTGCGGCGAGCGAATGCTAATTTCCTCGAAAAAGGGTGGACTGATGAGGTACACGTTCTGCCCGGCCACTGGGAAGAGTCCCATCACGGAGAAGAACAGAAACGCGCCCATGGCACCCGAGTCGTCGTTGCCGGGCAAACCGCCGGGGCTCGAGTTGAACGACTTGGGGATGTACGTGTGAATGCGCTCCGTCGAGAGCGCGGGGCGTCCCGCGTAGTGGTAGAGATAAACTGTCAGGAACACCGGCTCGTTGGAGATGTCGGCAAGACCACTCGTGTGGAAAAAGTCGAGACGCTTAATGAAGGCGTCGTCGCCGCCGATGAGCGAGATGAGTGACGATGTGGCGTGTGGGACGAAGCTACGCGTGTCAGAATTGTCAAGCGATCAGGGCGAGGGCCGACTCACAAGAGATACTGCCAGATACTCGCCTCAAACGTCTCGCTCGGATTCGAAGTCAGCGAGCAAAAGTCAGCCAGCGCCGAACAGGCGATCGGGTCTTGATATCCCCAGGTGCCGTTCATGTACTTTGGCTGAAAGAACCCCTTGAACCCTGTGTCGCTGCCGTTAATCACCGATGTCTGATCCTCTTTCCAGACGTTCTGCCAGTTCATGCTGCGCTTCATGTACTTTTTGTGCGTGTCCGTCTTGCCAAGTCCCTCAGCAATTGTTGCCAGACAAAAGTCGTTGTACGAGTACTCGAGGGTGCGCGACACACTCCGAGAGTTGGTACCGAAGCCGAGCGGGTCAAAGTCCAGATACGGGATATAGTCTAACTTGCGCCAGCTCTGCAGGCCGCCGCGGCCATGATACGACCACTCCAGGGGCTCATTCTCAGCATCGTTGATGACGGCCTTCAAGGCTAGCTCCCAGTCGATGCTCGTGCTCAGGTTCTTGGCGTACGCATCGGCCAAGATTGTGTCGGCGTTGGAGCCGCCTTGTGTCCAGCCTTTACACATGGACATGTGGCAGTCAGGCAGCCATCCCTCATTTTTGTAAATGTCAAGAAGAGTCTGGACCATTTGAGTCTGGGCATGAGGGTCAAGAATTGTCAAGAGGGGATGCTGCGCTCGGAAACTGTCCCAGATGCTACGTCCTGTCAGCGGTCATGTCACCGCTAGGGATGGGCTTTGCATACCAGTAAAATGAATCGAAATATGGGTTACCCGTGTCCCAGTGCGGGTTCTCGCCGGTGTAGTTTTGCGGCGAAATCATGTTCCTGTACGCACCACTCCAGAAGCTCTTGACCAGGTCATCAGTCGCACCGCCCTGCTTGATGCGAATCGGGCTGAGTTTGTCCTTCCATGCGTCCTTGGCCGACCTGACGAGCCTGTTAAAGTCGTTTAGGGGGTTGGGAATTTCTCGCTCCGCGCTGCGGCACGCCTGCTCGGCGCTCTTGAAGCTCACGCCAACGCGCGCCGTCACCGTGCCGTCGCGGTGGGACTTGAAGCGCGCAAACGCGCCGCCCTCGAGATAGAACAGGTTGAAGCCGCGCGTGAGATAGATGCTCTTGGGCTCGGTGCCGGCGCGGTTGTTGACCCACACGCCGGTGTCGTGGACGTCTGCGCCGAAGAAGTCGACGCAAAAGTGCATGACATATGAGCCGGCGCCAAAGCTGGGCAAGAAGGTGCCATTGCCGACCATGCGGCCGGAGTGCTCGTCGACGCTAATGGACGCATTCTGCCTGCTCTGCCACAGGTCCGTCAGGTCGAGCAGAATGAGCGGGTGTTTGTTGGAGCCGGCATCCGCGAACTTGAAGTGGTAGAGCGCGGCGTGGTCCGAGACGGTCATTTCAGCACCGACGCCGTTCTCCAGCTCAATCGCAAAGCGGCCGGGCTCGGCCTTGACGGAGCCATTCTTGTACTTGACCTTGCGGTCGCCAATGCGGAAGCGGCAGGCGTTGAGGTCGTCGCCGTCGCAGACCTGGGGGAAGAGAGGAAAGTTGCCGAGGCTGGGGTTCCCGCCAGTGCCGCTGTCATGGACGCTCGAGAAGCCCGTCACGTTGCTGCCGTCCAGGCCGAAGCCGCCCGTGTTCTGGCCGTCGACGTCGGCGACAGCCTTGGCGAGGCCGTACGGTCGCGTCGCGCCGGGGAAGACGTTGCCACCATTGGTCGTGCCGATGAGGGGATCCACGTACGCGAGGGGATCGCCTTTCGCGCAGCTGACGGCCAGGGCCAGGGTCAGCGGCGCGACCAGGCGCGCGAGGTGGCCTTGACGCATCGTGGCTTGCGGGCTGTGGTGGATTCCCAGTTTGTCGCCCGCACCAAGCTAGAGAGGGCGTCTGGTCTCCGTGTAAGTGAGTTCAACGTTGCCAAAGGCAGGTGCAAGCATCGCTCGCAGTCTTGTCAATGAGACATTATGCCCCGGGGCGGCGCGACGCGAGGGATTGGCAGTCGCCCCCGTGTTTATCATTGCTGTTATTGCCCCCCCTCTCCCCTCCCAAAAGGTTGGTTTGTCTTGCCTCAACGCGGGGAAGGCAGTCGCTGCTCGGGTGAATTCCCGGCGCGACTGGCCGTTGGCGGCAGCGGTGAGGAGCAATAAGAAGGCGAGGACATGAGCTCCTTCCGTCTTGGTGCAACCCTGGAGCGTATCCCAATCTCGCGCCAGCACTTGGGGCCTGCAGACACTGCGGAGAACAGAGCTCAAGGGACGCCCATCGGCTGTGCTAAGAGCAGTGAGATAGTACCTACCCGACGTTAGTACACCTCTAGTACCTAGTGGCGAGCCCCGGTGCTCACTGCTGACACCTCACCGATGAAGTCGACGCACGGCACAGCACAATGCATAGCGCATGGGCCGCCCAGCATCCGTCGCGCCGGCAGAAAACACCACCCGTTCATGTATTCCCTCGCTGCCCTCCGTGCCTCCTCCAGGCGTCCCTCCCAACACCAACCCACGTTCGCTGGCTCACCCCCCGGACGAGTGACGTCGCCGGCAGCCCTGGAGCTTGTCCCGGCTGGGCATGGCCCCATCGAACCACAAGAGATCCAGTGCGATGCGAGGCGATCCCGCGCCCGTTCCCCCGCCCGCCATTGCCCTTCCTGGCCTGCGAGGTCGGCACACGGTGCGCCTCTTCTCCCGGACCCCGGACGGCGTCAGCGCCGCGACACTGCTGTGCCATTCGTGCGCTTGGCTTCCTCGTGAAGACAGAAGTTGGGATCGGCTCGCGGCGTGGCACAGCACGAGCAGTCCGTACACGATGGCGAGATGGGAGAGGTTCCCGCTCTCGAGGCGCACCGTCAACGACGACGACTGGAAGTGCCCTTGCCCCAGCGCCACTTATACGCGGAATCGAACGCCTCGGGCTCAGAACCAGAGAGCCATCGGGAGCCAGCCCGTCAATTTGTCGTGATTTCGGCCGTCATCACGACCTTTATTCGAGCAAGATGTAGTTCAAAGAACAAAGAGCAGTCATTATTCGTGACCCCCAAACCCGCAGCGCGCCCCGCCCAGCGCTGTCCGTCCCGGCATGAATCCCGCGACAGGCCACTCTATTTTATACCCATTTGACCCAGTGGCCAAGCCCGACGACCCCGTCCGTGCGGAGGTTCCCAAGAAGAAAACGCGTCGCTGCCCAAACCCCAGCTGCATTATAAAAAATCCTCACAGTGCCCGCGCTGCTTGCCGGCCCGTCACCCCTTTTTGAACTCGCCGTCTTCTCCCATCTTGCCAATGACCGGCTCCAGCAGCCGCGGTAGGCATACCGCCGCGTCCTGGCCGAATGCAAAGTCGCCGGGAGGAATCTTGAACAGGTCCGCCTCCTCCTCCGCCTCAGGGTTTACAGTCACGATTTTCGCTCCGTGCAATCGCGCCTTGGAGATGTAGCCCGCCGCAGGCCACACCTGGGCGGACGTGCCCACCACGAGCATGAGATCCTGGGTTTTGTCAACAAGGGCCCAAGCAACGGAAAACAGTGATTTCTTGGCAGACTTACCACCTTGCCCTGGCTCATCCAGGCCTCAATGTCCGTAAGCATAGTCGCGTCCAGCGACTCCCCAAACCACACGACGGCCGGGCGCTGCAGCCCGACCTGGCACTTGGGGCACTTGGGGAGCTCCTCCTCGGGAATGTGCCTGATGCGATGGTACGGGTCCAGCAGCGGCAGCGTCTCGCCCGGTGGCGGATCCTCCGAGGCGGGCGCCAGCGACGGGCAAAAGGGATCCTCAAAGTTGCCCCGCTGCACCCAGTCGCAGCCGTCGGCGCTGCACTTGATGTCGAAGAGCGAGCCGTGCAGGCTCTTGAGCTGCTCTGGCGGGTGCCCAGCGCGTTGTGACAAATCTGCCGAGAGGCGCCGTGTCCGTATTAGCACTCGACCTCGCACAACGCTGTTGCCACCGTCCCACGTATACTATACGTCACGTCGTACACCAGGTCGCCAACAGCCATCCGCTGCCAACACCGCAAACCGGTGAGGCGGGACGAGACACCGGGACAAGACAGCAAGTCAGCCTCGGCGCGCACAGCACTCACCGTCAACGTTCTGCGTAAGACACATGAAATCCCGGTTCCCCTTGGCCAGGGCGGCGAGGGCCCGGTGCGCCGGGTTTGGTGCGGCCCTCAGGCAGGCGTGGCGTCTGTAGCCGTAAAACAGCCACACCATGCCCGGGTCGGTGCGGAAGGCCTGCATCGTGGCCAGCTTGGTGGCATCGTGGCTCCGCCAGTAGCCGCCGGCGCCGCGGAAGGTCGGCAGCCCGGACGACGCAGACAGGCCGGCCCCACAGAGGGCGAGAACCCGGCGGCTTTTCCGGAGCACCTCGTGGAAGGCCTCGACGTCGTTGTGGGGCGCCATCCGTACGGGCGGCGAGAGACGCAGGGAGGGGGCGATGGAGGCGAGAGGCCCGCAGGCGGGGAGAGGGAGACCGTCTGGTGGTGGTTCGCGGGGCCCCTCTGAATGGTGGTGCGGCTCCCACGCACGCGGCTGCACTCGGTACGACGACGGGTGCTCAGCCGGCCCACGCAGAGGCTCGTTGAATGGATGGAGAGCGGGCAAATGCTCAGTCAGAACACCCAGTGGCACCGGCAGAAGCAGCAAGCAACGGCAGGCAGTTGCTGTTGTTGGGGGCCGGGGCGCGGCTGAGGGCGATGGTCTCTCGCACGGGCAGGGCTCGGGAGGCCGGACCGGACAACCTAGCGAAAGCGCACCCCAGGAGCTTCGTCTGTTCCTCAGCTCGCCGATGGCGGGCTTCGCGCGGCGGACGGGAGGGTCTCAGGGCGAACCGAGTCGACTGGACGGGTGGCGGAGCCGACAGCGCTGCACGACCCCGGATCGGCGGCAGCGGCTGGAGCGGAAGGGGAGTGAGAATTGAGCGGGAGGGAGAGAGGGAGACGAGAGGCAGCGAAAAGTGAGAGTTTACAGAAGAGGCTGAGGTGCAGCGCAACAATGCCGGACGGAGGAAGTACGTACGAGGTCCCGTACAGAGTGAGGTACCTGCTACTGTACATGTCACGGGCGGGATGCATGACCTGAGCGAGCGGCGCTGTTGGGCGCGAACGCCAGCCGAACGACGGGCACTGTATTCCACCCTGAGGTTGCCGCGCCGCGCCTCGGGGGAGGGGCCAGCCACTCGCACTCGCAGCAAGCCGCCCTGCACGAATTGACACCAGCAGTGCATCACCACCACCATCACCGGCACTACCACCGTCCATCCGTAATGGCCTTCTTGGCACCCGGCGCCGCGCCCCTTGGAAGCCCCAGGCGTTGGATGGGCAAGCTGGTGATGTGATCGCGCGGCGCTTTTTGCCTTGTGCCCCTCCATCGCTGCCAATTGAACTGCCCACCTCAAGAAGAAGGCTCTTCGGCAATGCCAAAACCCGTGCAAACCGCCGCCGCCGATCACGGCCCAGCGAAATACCGACATGGCACTGACAGCTCAGTTTGCCTGAAACCGACCTGCTCGAGCCCTCCAGGCACGCACTCCGCACCGCACCCTGGAACAGTACAGTACGAAGTTCTCGTACAGGGAGCCGGCTCTAGGGGTCTTGGGCCCCTCCTGCTCCTGTCACTCCACTGATGACGTCGAGTTGCTCGAGGCCATCGTCGTGCCCCCCACTGCGTTCTGGGTCAATACGAATGGATCGACGGGGGATTGTCCCGGCCGTCGTGACTGGTCCGCCGGTTGTGCCCGTTGGCTCGGCGGCCGGCATCCATCGTCTGCCGACTGTCCGCTTCCAATGGGTGGCCGACCCCAACCGCTCGTGTCTTCATCGCCGGGAGACACTGTATAATACGGCCCAGTCTGCTTCACAGAAGACAGGCATCGTGCAGCACAGTATGGACTGCCAGATGTCCGACCGCAGGACCGCGTTCGTGGCGCGCCGTCCGGTACAGTTTCGGCGACTGTCTGGTGCCTAAACCGCCCCAGCTACACGAGAAGGAGCCGGATTCCGTGGTGGTGCCATTGGACAAGCACGCCGCCAGGCCATAATGGATGGGGACATCAAGCCACCGGGGCACGGCCCTGCTCTGAACCCCCCGAAATAGAGCCATGGAAGTCTCGTTCGTCCCGGGATCGAAACGGGGGGCCAGGTTACTGTATGTTCCTCACTCTGATCATGAAAGACTTTCTTGTCGTGAACAGTATCAGACAGAGCCTTGAGGCCCATCCCCAATGCCCCGAGACCGTGGCGCCTTTGTTGCGGACCAGCAGTCGCCTCTCGTGCACGCAATTGACAGCCGGCGGTGATGGCGTATTCAACCTGTGGTCCGTGTCCGAATAGCCGTTGTGCAGCGGAGAAGGGCGCCAGCCCGGTGGTCAAAGCTGTCTCATGGTAGCCTCTCACATCGACTGAAGGAGCGTTGGCACAGGACCTGCCGTTGAGAGAGGCTCGGCGCCGTTGCAGCGTACTGCGCAGTGACCCCTCGAGATGAACGTGAAAGAGAGCGACTTGAAAGGGATCGACTTTTACATATTCCGCCAAGGCGGGTAGAACACCAGCGCGTGGTCGGCGTGACAATGGCATGGTGGCTGTTGTCGCAACAATCGCCTTGTTCCTTTGTCTGCTTCCGGAACTCAACGTGTGAGACCGTCGTGGGCGGACGCGTGGCCACGGCGACAGTTGCCGGCCGGATCAACGCTCTCTGGGGAGGCGTGCGCGTTCCTGAGCCTCCCGCCCTTTCACACCCACCACCACGAGTCGTGATCCGGGACTGCCACCATGAAAGCTTGATCGCGGCAGGCTTGCGCGGAGCGTATGCATGCGTAGGTCGGACGACCATGTGCCTCTATTACATATTTTGTCTCCGTAGTCAGCCTAGGATCGGGACTTGTAAGTCTGGTGCTCAGAGAGGGCTGGATCGGCCAACGGGGACACCAGCGCACGTGGAGAGTGAGAAAGCAAGAGGGTGGCGGGCTCCCAGCCCGATTGACAGCCCTCGAAATCTGATACTACATGGTACGTGTGGCATGAGGATGACTGGAATGTGTCGCGGGCCAGTGTCTCTCAGGAACTCGGCATGGCGGAGTCGTCAGCTGGGTGACCAATGCATGCGGCATGTGGGCTGCGCGGGCTGCCGGGTGAGGGGTCGAATTCCTCACAGCGGCCGAGTTGCCCCGGAGCAAGGCCACAGTCGTGCCATCCCGTCAAAGTGGAGAGGCGATAGTCGGAGAAGATCCTGTTTGCACCAAGTCAGGAGCATTCGTTTGGCTGCGGGCATCCTTCGATGCTGTTTCTTGGGCGCGCGGAATAAATCGCTCTCCTGCTTGGACAGCGGCAATATAAACTTGGAATGGTGAGACAGACGTGGCAGCCATCTGAGGATCCCTCTCGGCGCAGCGAGCCAGTCACCATTGCCAAGCACCAGTGGTGTGTTTCAACTCCCGACAGCCATGGGAAGCAAAATCCGGGACGAAAAGCTTGGTTGCTTGACCAAGAAGCCCATGGCCAATGACTGGCTCGCCCCTGACTACGCTGGGCGGAAGAAAGACGGGCGGCGTGTCGCGGATCAAGATCGCCTGCGTTGGCGGCTGCCCGAAGCGGCAACGAGGGGCCAAGGGACTCAGGGGAACGTTTCTCGCGGGACTGGACATTCGCCTCGAAATGCTCCCGACGGAGACCCGTTGTGGCTGGGATGGGCCGCCGAAATGGAGGTGCAACGGCCTGTGGCTGCTGGCAAGTGGCCGTGACGCCAGCCGCCGCGCGGTGTGTGTGGTAGGCGGTGGTGGGTGGTGGTGATGGAAGGCGGAAAGGTGGGAGGCGGCGGGTGGTGGGAGGTAACGTCTCCCGCCACCCACAGGCTGCTCTGGTCTCTCCTTGTGGCCATTGACTTCGGGGACCCTGAGGTGGCACCCACCACAACTGGTAAATTTAGAAGCAAAGCAACGGGAGTGACGCACCGAGAGGCAACCAGCAGGCGACGCTTGTGGACGCCGGCGGGCGCCAAGTCGCATTGAGGGATGGAGGGAGGGTGGCAGTGGTGGGCATGCCAGCGCCGAAAAGGTCAGCAGGTGCAAGCTCAAGCTTCGAAGAAGAGCCAAAAGGGCTCCACGGGCAGAGGCACACAAGACGCCACCCACCGGCAGACGTCACGATCCAACAGCACGCGCGCGCGCGCGCGCTCGGGCAGAGCGAGAATGACGCCCCGGCGACTGACTCATCAGAAATAGCAGCGTCCAAGGACAAATACGGTGCGGGAAAGCCCGCTCAATGGGCAGCCTGTGCGCCGAGGCCCCAGGCGGCCGGGCGATGGAAGACCAATACGGCAGGGGCCGGAGCCAGGGGGCCGCAGAAGCAAAAACAGATACAGCGACAAAAAAAAAAAAAAAAAAAGATTGCCAAAAACCAAAAACAGAGAGGGCGAGATGAGTCGGCTTGCGTCCATTGGAGGATTCACTCGCTCTCTCTGAAGCGAAGCAGAGGTGCCGCGTGCTGGGCAGCTGGCGCCGGAGCTATCGCCGCACAGCCCCACGGCGCGTCCTTTTGGCCCGCACGACAGGCGCCGGATACGAATGGCGCCAGCGCCCTCGCGGGCACTACAGGGCCGGCCGAGTGCCAAAAATGCCGTGTTGCCGCGCATCTCGGCACAGGCACAACACGGCGAAGTCTATCTATGGCGGCATTCTCGAGCGGCTTCCACCGTTCGACGCCATCGCCAAGACTCGTGATATGCGCAACAGGGACGTCACGCATGCCGGTGATTTCGTAAACCCGCAACGAAGCACGCACGCACGCATGAAGGCGCCCGGGGCCGCCGCGGGCCGCGACACCGACCTCTGCCCGCGAGCCCGCGTGATTGCGCGTCTGGGCCCCCGACGGGCCGGGTCGAGTCGTCCGCCTCCAGATTTGCCAAGATGCCCTGCTGTTTCACCGCGGCAGTGTCAAAGCAACTGGTGACAGGCGTTTTTGACAGGTTTGACAGGCGGCGCACAGGCGCGCGAGGGAGAAGCGCGCCACAAATGCCCTGCAGTCCGATACCCATGCGCGTTGCACCCCCCCCCGGAGGAGAGAGGACATGAGACTTGGAGTTGCTTCTGTCGGCTCGCACCAAGAGTGGCTTTTCCTTCTCGAAAGGAGGTTGGTCCCTTGTCGGGTGCGTTAGGGCTGGGCTCTGGGAAGGGGAAGGAAGGGGAAGGAAGGGGAAGGGGTCTGGAAGAGCTTTGTGGTGGTGGTGTGGCTCGAAGCCGAGTTTCCAGGGGTATCCAGGGGCTACCTATGGCTGCCGTGAGGTGAAGGTGGGAGTCGCCCTCTGCCCATGGCTATCGGGCAAAGATCGCGGTGCAGTAGGTGGGAGGCGGGGGGGAGACGACACCGTGCGCGCACCGTCTCTCGGCGAATCCTCGCTGCAGGGGCGCACGCTAAATAAGGTGCCGGACGTTTGCCGGCAACACCGTGTCGCAACGTCTCGCACCGTTTAGAAGCGCCCGTTGGTGGTGCCCGCGCAAGGCCAAACTCAACCCGACGCCGATGCCGACGTCCATCAACGACGATCCTCTCCTGCAAGAGAAAGGGAGCGAGTCCAAAGCAGCGGCCGCGGTAACGTGATGCCTCTTGTCCGCGATGCGACAGTAGAACCCTGTTGTTGCACACGTCCTCGTACGAGGACGCACACGTTTTTTTGTCTGTCCTGTACGAGGGGGGCCGCCGCCGCGGTGCGGTGCCATACGAACACGGGGTCACATGCAGCAGCGCCTGGGGGCACGGGCGGTTGCCACGGTCCCATGGCCGTCTACATGGCACTGTTACAGTGGAGTTGGGACCTCCACAACAGGGCTTGATCGATCGCTCTGCGTGGGACGCTCGCATCCTCGCTCGCCCGACTCAGACGGCGGTGGCAATGTCATGGCCCATGGCTGCCCCAGAAAACACGCGCGATCAGCGTCCGATCATCGAGCGGTACGTACTCGTAGATGCGACACGAGGGCCGCACAAGGTGTCTCGCCGAGGCGAGGCTCTCGTCAGCCTGCAGCCCTAGGCGGGAGGTCTCAGCACCGCAGCACCCTCCTCCCTCACCAGCAGCAGCGGCAGCAGCAGCACCAGCGGCTGCGCTGCACTGCGGTGCGTCGAGCTGTGCGACATGGGGCGCCACCAGCACCACCAGACCAGACGACGGCACTGCGGCACCAAGAAGTCTGGCACCACCCGTGAAGGCTGTCTCTTATACACATCTAGATGTGTATAAGAGACAGGTGCGACATGGGGCGCCACCAGCACCACCAGACCAGACGACGGCACTGCGGCACCAAGAAGTCTGGCACCACCCGTGAAGGAAGGCCGCTTGGCTGCGACGGGCCCTGCCCTGACATTGGCTCTCCCGGGCTGCATTGGGCCATGGGCTCGCCCAAAAGAGCCAAGGGTGGCTGGGTCAGTCCGTTAGCCGTATCAACTGTCTCAGCGCCTTGGCGCTCCGGCGCTCCAGAGAGCTCCAGCCCCCAGAGGAGCTGCCCGCCAAGGCCTGGACCCTCTGGGCCCTCCACTGGTTCGCTGACGGCCCCCGGCTTGGCGTGAACAGCTGCAGGGGTCCTCTCTCCCTGGAGGCGTCAACCGCACCCCCCCGCCCCTTGGGCCCAGCCACCCCCCGCGCGCCCCAGTTGCCCAGCACCACCCTCGCGCTTCCTCGTGCGGCGGCGCCACCCCTGGGCTCGACCGGGGGCTTGGCTGATGACGGTGTGGGTGCTCTCGTCAACGGAGCTCCTCGTGTCCGGCAACCCTTTGTCCGCCGTACCGACGGGACGTATCCACACGACCTCAGGGTGCTGCGATGCCCTGCGCCCCCTGGGAGCGGCTCTGCGGCTGGCTGGCTTCCATCGGATCCCCCTTCACCTCTGGGCTGGCTGGCAGCCAGGCCGCCGACCCGACCGCGTAATAAAACACCCCGTCTCGTCCATCGCTCACCTCTTTCGCTCTCCTCCCCCTCCACATCCCCGATTCTGTCGTTTCTTCTCACCGTCGGGTCTCCTCTCAAAAACGCCCTGTAACATCTCTTGTCTCTCGCTAAAACAGTTGCATCGTTCTTCTTCCGCCCGGGCCCCCGATTCCCGTCTTCGCCCTACTCTCGCTCAAAAAGGGCCTCGTCTTCAGCCTCTGAACCTATTCCGATAATCGTTCGATACCTGCGTCCCGCACCTCCCGCAAACATGATGTCCAAGGCCTTTTCCGTGGCCACGGTGGCCCTTGCCGCCTCTTCTCTTGTCTCCGCCCAGACTTTCACTGCCTGCAACCCCCTGAAGAAGAGTAAGCGGCCGCCGTCCCGAGACTGCTGCTGTCGAGGTGTATGAGTGCTGACACGGGCTTCCGCAGCCTGCCCTGCCGACCCTGCCTTCGGAGGCACGACGAGCTGTGACTTCACCAAGGGTGCTTGCAACACCTTCTCGCTGGCCGATGGCACCAGCCTGAAGTACAACGGCCAGGGTGCCGTCTTCAGCATCTCCAAGGACAGCGACGCCCCGACCATCCACACCGGCAAGTACATCTTCTTCGGCGAGGTCGAAGTCAAGGTTCAGGCCGCCCCCGGCAAGGGTATCGTCACCAGCGCTGTTCTCCAGTCTGATGATCTCGATGAGGTACGGAATTCCAGCTGAAAAGATGGGGAGAAACGCGGCTAACCCTATGTTTAGATCGACTGGGAGTGGGTTGGCGGCGACAACACCCAGGTTCAGACCAACTACTTCAGCAAGGGTGATACCAGCAGCTACGACCGTGGTGCCTTCCACGGCGTCGGCAACCCCACTGGCCAGGTTCACACTTACACCGTCAAGTGGACGTCTCAGGGCGTTTGGTGGTTCATCGACGGCCAGCAGGTTCGCGAGTTGACGGCCGCCAACGCCAAGGGTGGTGCCGCTGCCCTTCCCCAGACGCCCATGCAGATCAAGCTCGGAACCTGGGTCGCCGGCCGCAAGGATGCTCCTGAGGGCACTGTCCAGTGGGCCGGCGGCTACGCCGACTACTCCAAGGCTCCCTTCCTCGCCTACTACCAGAGCGTCAAGATCGTCGACTATGCCGGCAAGGACTCTCCCGCCAGCGGCGGTGTCAAGGAGTACGTCTACTCGGACAACACCGGCTCCTGGAAGAGCATCAAGGTTGTCGGCGGCAGCGGCAACGATGACACCAGCAGCACCACGAGCGTCGCCAGCACCACCAAGGCCACCAAGACCAGCTCCAAGACCACCGAGGCCTCGTCGACCGAGACGACGTCCAGCGCCGTCACCAAGACGTCCAGCGTCGAGTCCAAGACGACCCTGACCTCTGCCGTCTCCACTGCCTCCAAGACCGACTCTGGCTCGGGCAACGCCACTGCCTCCACCACCGGCGGCTCCAACACGTCGCCCGCCACTGGCTCCGCCACGCCCACGTCCGTCCCCAAGTCGGGCGCCGAGCGCGGCGTTGCCGCCGTCGGCAGCGTCCTGCTGGCCGGCGCCGGTGTCCTGGCCGCCCAGCTCCTGCTGTAAGGTGGACGTTGCAACGCGCGAGCGCGGAGCGGCGACAGCCTTGATCAGTCTTCGCTTCTGGATGTACCTTTTTTCTGGCATGGTCACGAACACAAGCATGTAGTATGAGAAGAGAGAAGCCTACGTGGAACGCTACTATACTGCACGCCAGCGAGCAGGACCATCCTATAATATTATACCACTTTCCGAGCCGATCCTTTGGTCTCTGCAGAGAACATACGCCGCCGCGCCGACGAGACATGCAAAGTGGCACCGAAGGACGCTCCTACACACAACACAAACACCCAACCAACCAACCGTGCGGACGGACATGCGCGCGGCGGCTCTACCCACCCGCCGGCCCCGCCTTGTCCGTCCCGGGTGTGGTTGCTTTTTAATGCGATGGATGACGGCAGATCTGGCTCTGGCGGGCGCCAAGATGAGGTGTTGCGGTGGATTTCTCATGGTCTTTGATGCGCTTTTCTTTTTATCCCCCGGACGATTATGCGAGGGGATCGGATACCTGAGTTGCGGGTCGCGTGTCGATGCATTTCCAAAGGCATTAGATCATCCCAGACAGATTTAGATGTGAATACAAGAGAATAATTCTGCTGCAAGTCCTGCTCTCTGTGTCTTCGTGTTGGCTACTCCTTGCCATTAGCGTGCGGGTCTGCTCGTAGAGCCGCAGTCCGCGGGCGAGGCATGGCCCTGGGGACTCTACTGTACGGGTGCCACTCCGTACTCCGTAGATAAGGCGACTCTTCGCGTGCTAGGCTTGACGAGCGTGCCATTTCCCTCACGGCCGACGAGACGCGGCTTGGCGTCTAGGAGCAGGTACGAAGTAACCCTGGGGGCCTGGTCTTCTTCACGCCCCCCGGGGGGCCGTGGCCCGTGACCCGTGACTGACAGACGGACAATCGCCGTTCAACAAGCGAGACCCCGTCGGTACGCCAGGCTAAAAGGGGGTCCCGCTCCGCGGCCAACAACGACGGGACGACCGAAACTCCCCCGTACGCATGACGTTTCGTGGGAAATTTGAACGACAGGGCCCGCCCGCCCGCCCGCTCGTCTGGCGTGCGTGCGTGCCCACTCGCCCGCGCCGCTCGGCCCATCTCCCGAATCGTCGTCGCCCCTCTGCTCCTCTTCCTCCTCCTCCTTGTCCCCCCTCGCCCGTCGTCGTCGTCGTCGTCATGCCGTGCCGCACCGACCACCACCGTGGTCACCCAACACGCCGGCAGGCAGGCTGGCAGGCAGCACGACGGGGAGGCGGGCAGGTGGAGATTTGCAAAGATCAGCCTCAGCGAAACGAACGACCAAAGACCAAAGGGGGCGTTTGCGGGCAGCAGCACAGACAGGCAGGACAAGCCAGTCGGGCGGGCAGCCCTCCAGCGAGCGGATCACCACCCAGGGTGCAAGGGGCGTGTGTATGGACTGGGTGTTGACGAGGAGGAGGTGACCTCAGTCGACAGGGACGGCCGGCCGGCCGCTGACAGACAGAGAAGAAGAAAAAAGACGTCCAAGCGCCCAGGCTCCTCCCCCGCGCTCTTTATTTTCCGGGTGGGCAAATCAACAAGCCCAGCTTTCTGCATCCTTCGTCAATGCCCATCTGCCCCACCTGCCTGCCCCCCGCTTTGCCCTTCCTGCCGTTGACGTCGTATGTAGCACCGCTCAGCTCTGCGGTGGTGGCGCCAGGCAGGGCCCCCCTCCCTCCCCGCCCAGCATGCGAGAGTCGGGGGAAATTACGAGTACACGATACGAATGGAAGGGAAAAAAAGGGTGGATGATGGTGACGCTGGTTGGGCCTCCGCCCACACAGGTTGCTGTCGCTTGCTTGCTTGCTTCTTGTTGTTGTTGTTCGTCACCGGTGCCGTTATCGTCGTCGTTTTCTTCGCCACATCTCGCCTCGCCCCGCGCCGAGCGTTCCTCTTTAATATCGAGTACGAGCAACCTACGGACCCGTTCACGCCTTGTATCACGCCCACCGTCGCCCGCGTTCTAAGAGCGGACACAAGGGGCCCTTCCGTATCGCTGACTCGTATCAGCCCCGGAGCAATGGACCAGGACGCCTCTTCTCTTCGTCCCGTGATGTCTTGTCGTTGGGCCAGTCCGCCGCTTTGATGTTGCCAAATTACCACTCCGTCCCTTACCCCCTTCGAAGGGCCATCGCCAACACGAGTCGCGTCGACAGGCCTTTCCGGTCGCGTCCTGCGTCGCCGGCCAACTTTGGTACCTGCATGCTTGGCGCCCGACGCCCCCATGGCGCCCCCTCCCGTCTGCCGGGAGCCAACCGCCCCCCTCCCACTTTGTCCGGACAGTGAGTGAGGGGCCCCAAGAAGGCAAACAGCTGGAAATTTGAGATGAGTGAGTGACGCCGCCCGCCGTGGCGCGCGGTTGGTCCTGCCATGTCCGCGCCGCCTGCGCGCGCGTGCAGTGCGTTATCAGGCGCAGTTCGTGATGCTACCGGCGATAGCCCAAAGGGGGGCAACCTGACAGGCACGGCCAGGCCAGGCCATGGACGACGACCGCGCATTGCCTTCACGCACACATGGCGAAACGCACCTGCAATCATGCGCCGACAGGCCAGCGAAACATCTCGACCATAGCTGGACCATCCGCGGTGCCAAAAAACGTCATGCTGCAGGGGTGCGGCGTGACAGAAAGTCATCAAGGGCATCCGCCGTGCGACACCACCGCCCGCCCTGTCGCGGGGCGTCGCATGGCCTTCGAGTCACGCATTGGTGCGACGTCGTGCAGGGGAACTTCCCGGGTAAACAAGGTGTGAATGTATGTGCACGGAGTCCCTCGCATCTCTGCCTGCCCAAAGTTCGCCCGCGGGACCCAAGACGCATCGACAGGCCGGAATGAGCACCCGCACGTCGCAGGTGTGAGCAACTTGTCTGGGCCAGATGCAAAAGGTTCAGGACTGGCGGGCCGAGAACAGGTATGCGGCTCGTGTACACGCGATCCCAACGCGACTGCGATCGCAGAGTACGTATGACACAACTCTGAGAAGGATTCCAGAATGTTGCGATCCCGAGACCAAGCTCTTTCAGCAGGACCGAGGCTCTGATAGGGCCCTCGTCAGTTTGCCTAGCTCCGGCCCTACGTCCAAGGTACCATACATTATACGTACAGGTTGTTACACGGGACCAGAAAGGTCTTCATGTTTCAAGGCTTTGCCCAGCGCCTCAGTCATGCCTATGACCGAAAATCCTCAAGCCCGCAATGCTGAACAAATCCTAGGTGCCCGCAATCAATACCAAAAAGTGGGAAGGACAGCAAAAAAAGAATTCGCTGAGCGAGTTTTCTCCGGTACAGGGAATCGAACCCTGGGCTGCTCGGTGAGAGCGAGCGATGTTAGCCACTACACCATACCGGATGTGTTGTTGAGGAGAGCTGCGCTATTTTGTTATATTCAGGCTAGCACACGTTGCCCTCCGCCGAATCTTGCAATTGTTGGATTGCTCCACTTACACGGCCCAGGCTCGATGCGTCCAGTACAAATTCAAGATCCATTTCACGGTGCAAAGTGTGCTTCGGCCCTGACAAAAATGGCTCCATGCTATAGGTCTATGGCTTCGATAAAGAGCAGTTATCAGGTCTTCTTGCGCGCTCCAACGTGAACAACTGCTGCCAAGTCGGCTCCAAAACTTAGACGATAATGCATCCACCTCGGGACGGGGGCTTCTAAGCGGTCCCAATCACACCAACTTCGGTCCACGCCTTGCGCACTGTCTCGGCCGCCTCGTCGTCAAAGTCATCTCTGGCCACGGAGATGGTCACGTTAGCAAACTGCTTGAAGTTGCACTTGAAAGGGACACGGCCGCGATTCATCGCCTTCCACCAAATCTGGCCTGCCTTCTCCCAAGAGTAGCCACCAAAGGCCACTGCCGCGAGGTAGAATGCCTTATTGGGTATGCCCGAGTAAACGTGCACTCCGCCATTGTCCTCGTACGACCTCTCATACTTGTTCATGTTGTCGACCTGAGGGTCCTTGCCCTGCGGATGGTCAGCTGAATCACGAGCATGCCAAGAAGAGTGAAGTACCAATCGTGGGTCGTCGTAGGCCTTGCCCGGGCTTTTCATGCTGCGCAGAGCTACGCCCTTGACGTCGGGCATGAGGCATCCCTCGCCAATCAGCCAGTTAGCTTCGTGGACATTGTCGTTCTCCAGCTTCTGCTTGATCATGATGCCAAAAACGTCGGAGATGTGCTCATTCAGGGCACCTGGCTGGTCCTCGTAGTTGAGGGGGCTGGTATGCTCTGTGACAGCGTGTGTTATCTCGTGTCCGATGACATCGATACAGCCAGTGAAGTTGCCCAAGTACTCGCCGCCATCTCCAAAGACCATCTGCAGCTTCTCAGGGTCCCAGACTAAGAATGTCAGCGTATAGGATAGGCAAGAAGAAGAGTGGAATCTCACAGGCATTCTGATAGCCTTGACCGAAATGAACGGAGCTGACGACGTCGGCGTCATTGTTGTCGATGGATTTCCAATGAAACTCGTCCTTATAGAAGTCGAGAACGTGGCCAACATTGTCGTAAGCCTCATTGACAGCCTTGTCCTTCCCCTTGCCTTCGCCCTCAGAACGAACAAGCTCACCAGGAAGGTCAGTCTCGGCCTCGACGTGCTTGGCATCAAAGATGGAGCGACGTGGCACTTTTCGGGTGTCTGCCTCGTCCTTTTTGTCGGGGTCGGGACCTGAAGCCACGTTAGTGTCAATGATCGTGCACTGTGAGAGGGGGCTTGCCGTCATCTGCCTTGGTCTTCTTGGACAACAGGCACGGGGAATCGGCCAAATCTCCTTCGACACCAGAACAAGTTCCTTCCTGTGCACGTTCGGTCAGAGACAGATGGGCCAGGATGGCCTCAGGGATGATCCGCGCGTGCCGAGGGTTGCCTGCTGCGGGTCTAGCTGCGAGGGCAGTGAGGCGCTCATGGTACGCCTTGACAACGCGTTCATAAGAGGCGAGGGATGCCTTGGCGCCATTACGCGTGGCCTCCGAATTATGTTCCGACTCGGCAATGCCGCGAAGCAGGTGAGGGGGAACGATGAAGCAGGGACCCGACATGGCTGATTGCTTGGAGCTGCGCAGTGCAAACTGCAAAGGCGGGAGTTGGAGGTGCTTGATGGTGATCAGTGTTTAGGTCTGGCAACAGAGGTGCAGAAGCTGAAGCAAAGGGGTAATGGGAGAGCAGTGTCTTGTGGAAGAAAAGATGCTCGCCGGCTTTCTCGTCAGGATGATGTGAGGTGGCTGCCGGGAACCCTCCTGCCGTGACTTCCAGTCAGGTAAGACAGGCGCTCCTGCCTCACCCAGGACGTGCCGTCCACGGTCGACAGCCACTGGGCATGGCATGTTCTGGAGAGTCGGGTGACTCCCAGGTTGGGCGAGTACCTGCGACAGCTAGGCGTCGTGCAATCGGCAAGTGACGCAGGCAAGTTGCAGAGCCTGGACAGATGGTCTTCTGCCGCGCACTTACATGTCCTGCCAACCCGGTGTGTCGCCTCGTGCACCAACACTGCGTTGCGCAGCCCCATAGGCGTCAGACTCATTTCGTACGCGAGAAGAGTCTCCGGCAGTGGTACGGGACGGAGTACGGCAGCCCGCCATCGTAAGGTACATGGCTCAATGAAAGCGACCGGCGACACTGGCAGGCGCGAATGCACCTGCTTTTTCCATGGCAAGAGTCATTAGATGATCATCGACAGAATGTTCGCCACTGCCCCTTGTTGGGAAATAGGACGAGGCAGGTGCGAACCAGGCGATCTAGTGACCAGGCGACTGGGCCGGGTGGACTAGGAAAGCGCAACCCCGAATACGATATGGCTTGCAAGACCACCAAAAGGAAACAGACCCCCGGATCCGCGCACGCTCCATCGCAGCGACTTTCGAAGGCATCGACAACGCTGCGTGTCCGGTACCTGCTCACCACTGCAAACCTAGAGCGACGACACGATGGAGACCGAGCCTCAGCAGCAAACGGCCGGCGCCCAGACATGCGCACGGGGCACGCCTTCCTCAGCTTCGTTGCAAAACACCGAGCTGCAGCAGATTCGGCTCCGATACAGGCTGGCGACGCCAACCTTCCAGACACTCTGCACCATCCCCAAGGCTCCCGACCGCAGACAAGTGCTGCACAAGGCTTGCCTGGCCGTCGAATTCCGTTCGTTTCCTCTTCGGCGAGCGGAAAAGGGCTTCTTTCGAGAGATCAACGACCATCTTCCCATCCCGTACCGAATCAAGGACTGCCCGTCAGAACCATGGCACAAGGTTTTCTTGTTGGTTCAAATCCAGCTCCAGCGCATTCCCTGGCCCAATAAACTACCCGCCCAGGCGAGGCACGAACTGTACGGTGAGAGAAAGCGCATGGACAAGATACTCGAAACTGCATTGCGCTGCGCGGTTGATATACTCGGTCACCGTAAGGATGGTCGAGGTGTCAGCGTCGCTCTCGATGTTCTCCGCAGCGTCAAGGCTGGCATCTGGGAGGGCAGCGACAATGAGCTTCTTCAGATCAAGGGCATCGGGCCACAAAAGAAGGAAAGGCTCATCAACGCGAAGATCAGAACCGTCAAAGAGCTGGCCAGGCTCGACTTTTGGCACATCGAGCGGCTCTTGAGTCGCAATCCCCCTTTCGGTCAGCAAATGCTGCATCAGCTCGCCAGCTTCCCTGTTTTGACGTTGCAATTTGACCTTGTGCAACCCAGCGGGCTCCAGGCTGGGGCTGGTCTTGATCATGGCTGTGGTCTCGGGCCTCCATCAACAGCGGCGTGCATCGCAAGGCTGATTGTGAATTACGGCAACAACGCACCGCCAATGTGGGCCGAGAGCACACCCTGGACGACTATCGTGATTGAAGGCGACGACGGGAGGCTCGTCTACTTCTGGCGAGGTAGCGTCAGGCGTTTAAGTGGTGGCAAGGAACTTGTCCTTCGCCTGGACCCGAAGGACGGAGAAAAGCTCAAGGTCACATTTGCATGCGAGGGTATCGTGGGCACAATGGTCCGAGTGACACACCAAGTCTGAACATGGAGCGGTTAGTCTGAGGCTGGGACAGGCGAATCATTTGCGGTCAATTGCTGATGCTTAACATTCGGAGTCCATGCTGTTGAGATCGACCTGCGAAGCTGCTGCGCCTCCGTGGAAGAGCCGCATCGGGGCAGTGTCCGTTGAAGCTTGCCTGTGCCGTTCCGATGTGGGGAGCCACGCTGCACCCCGGCCTTTGCCGTGCCACTTGATCGAGCCCAGTTTGACTGAATGCCAGGATCTCTGATGCGCATTCTGGTCAATATGCGCACTTCAGCCGAGTGGCTGTTGGCCAAAGAGAACAGTGTCAGTCGGGATGGATGTCTAGGAGCATCTGCCGGAGGAGGCGAGACACATGCGAGAGGCCGATAGTCCGCCGCGTGCCACTGGGAGTGCCTGCGAGAGGCACACCATGCGTCTGTCCTGCAGCCTACCTCAGACCCTGGCACTCCCGCGGCAGCCCGTTGACATGGGTGTCGGTCGACGCCGCCACGCCACCCCGACGAAGCGATTCCTCGGTCGCTTGTTTTGGGACCAGTCGACGCCAGTGCTCGGAAGCCGCGTGGGAAGGACAGTCCAATCTCCACTCTGGCCCAGTTCCACAACCGCCGGGATGAGGTTACGCCGGGCTGACAGGCGGCACTTTGAGCTGTTGGGTTCAACCTACAGAAACAACATTAATGGACGGACACGATAACCACGAGAACCAACACTGGATCTCGCGGCGGCGGGTAGTACTCGGGACTGAGGCTGGGGGCGTGTCTCTCCCCAGCCTGTGGCTCCCCTTTCCGATCACAGCTCTCGATGGGCACATCTGCGGCCGCAGGGCAGCCACAATATTGGGCGTCCAGGGCTGAAGGTTGCGGGACAGTCCATGTCTGCCTCGCGGGAGCTGCAACTGGCAGGGCCTGCCATGGCGAGTGGGCCAGGCACGCCCGCCCGATGCGCTGGAACCAGTCGCCGCGGGTCCTTTTCTGCGTGGCTGCGGAGTCGAGAGCGCTGCGATCGGCGCCCACGCGGGCAGGCCCCGTCCGTCTGCCCCATGAGGAAGTCATCTGTGGCTGCAGAGGACCCTGGCTAGGCTCTCGCGGCTGAGCTTTAACCTGGTCGCTTTGCGGCTAGCCCCAGGCGCGGGTTCACGTCGCTGTGTCGCCGCCGGCACGACTCGATGCCCAAGTGGCCAGGGATCCCGTGGTCGGCGACGGGCCAGACACGACGCGAGAACGTCCCTTTTTAATATTAGCCGCGGAGCCTCGCCAGGACCGATGGCGGGCTAGCCTCGCCCCGAAGGATGGCGGTTGTGAACTTGATCCCGTTCCTCCTTGCCGCCGTATAAGACGAAGAGGCCTGCTCTGTGGCGGTCGGCCGTCCACAGGAGCTTCCCCCCCCCCCTTCAGCCGCTGTCGAACAACAAAATCCTGCGCCCCTCATCGACCGCCTCAGCCTGTGAGAAAAGCTCTTCCATCATGGTCGCCTCTGGTCTCATCCTCGCCCTCGCGGGCATGGCCGCCGCGGCGGACCTGTCCGGCTTCAGCGTGATGCGCAACCCCGTCGCCGCCAACGGCCTGGGCGTCAACCTCGCCCTCAACGACGGCTGCGAGATCGGCGAGAAGTCGTGCGACTCCAACTACTGCATCCCGCTGACGGGCTCGTGCTGCTCCGTCGGCAACGGCGCCTACTGCAAGGTCGGCAAGTACTGCGTCACGGGCGGCTGCTGCCAGATCGGCAAGGTGTGCACCGGCGGCGGCAGCGGCTCCTGCGACACGGGCGAGAAGTCGTGCGGCCAGTTCTGCATCCCCTCGAGCGGGCAGTGCTGCCAGACGTCGACGGGCCGCTGGTGCGAGTCCGGCACGACGTGCGCCCAGGGCGGCACCAAGTGCGCCGTCGGCGGCGGCGGCGGCAACGGCTCCCCCTCGTCGAGCGACTCGGTCGGCGGACGCACCACGTCGGACATCCTCGGCGGCGGCGCTACCTCGTCGGACAGCACCGGCAACGATGCCACGACCAGCTACTCTCTCGGCCCGGCCACCACCTCCGACGCGGGCTCCACGCCGACGACCGACTCGTCCGGCGGGTCGTCCGCCACCGCCGGCAGCAACGACAGCAGCAGCAGCTCTTCCTCCTCTTCGTCTGCCACGTCCTCCGCCTCGCAGACGGCAGCCACTCGCCCTCCTCCCCCCAACGCCGGCCCGACCAACGCGCCTAACCTGTTGGTCGGCCTGCTCGCCGCCGCGCCCCTCGTCGTCCTGTAAGCCGGGACGTCTCTGTGCGCGTGGGGAAGCTCGGCACTTCTTTATTTCGGAGAGTCATGGTGTGGACTCCTTTCATGAGCGGACAAACGGCCGACGAGCTGCGTAATTATGGTTCAGGAAGACGGCAGGAGGGGCATGAATGACGAAACACGGCGGCATGTTGCGGATGTCGAGTCTCCATCTATACACATAATTCGGTACATAATCAAGCCTTGTAACTTTTCAATCCAAGCCCAATGCCGTGAACTTGGCCTTGTTTGGCTTGCTCGAGTATCGTCTGGCGTAGTTAAACCTCGACTACTCCGTACTCACAGCGGGACTCAGTCGGTGTGCTTGATGAGCGTATGGCACTCATTCTCCACGGCACTTCACTACCTCGACGAGCGCTACTGACGTATATATCAACACCCCTCGTTTCAAATTCAGACCACTTTGGTGGGAATATCTGATCCTATGCGGAGGCATAAAGTGTAATCGCCCGCGGTGCGAGGACCATCCCGTTACTAAGTCCTACGAAGTATCCATTCCGAACATGTCAACTGGGAGAACGCAAGCTCACCTCACAGCCAGCTTTGCAAAGTCTATATGCTGGTAGGATAGTGTGAAATATTCTTGTTCACTCCCCTTCCACATGTCAGAGTAGAGTACAAATGCATACATAGCGCACCGGCTGCGCTTGCGTTCCAACCCCTACGCCCTTCCTCCTCACCTCTCCCATCTTGCTCCTCCGCCGGCTCTTCTCTCGTAAAATATGCCATTGACCGTTTTGTTTTGTTTCCCCCCGCCAAGGTAAAATACACCGCCCCCTTGCGACAGAAGACATCACGTCGCCGAGGTGAACCGTATTAAGGCACTGCCCGTGGGGTCGAATAATGCCGCGTCGACGCGACTCCCAAGTGTACGTAGCCGTGCCCCTCGCGCGTGCGGCGAACAGTATGGAGAGTCTGGCGACTACTTCTTTGCTGCCGTCTGGTTGAACCCGTCGAGCATGCTCTCCTTCATCTCTCGTTTCCTGCTCTCCACTCTGTCCTCCTCGGACGCGGGCTGCTCGATGGCCTTGGCCTCGCCAGACTCGGCGACCATGGCCTTCTGAGCCATGGACTTGGCTTGCGCCTCGCCGACCTTGCCGTAGACGCTGAGCCCCGTGGCAATCATGCCACCGATGTCGCCGACATTACCCGGTACCACGACGGCGGTGCCCTCCTTGGCCAGCTTGCCAAAGGCGTCGACGTACTTCTCCGCGACCGTCAGGCTCACGGCGCCGCGGGCACCCTCCTCGCCGTTGAGGATACTCTGGGCGACGGCGTCGATGCCCTGCGCCGTGGCCCGCGCCTTGAGCAGGATGGCCTCGGCCTCACCGTCGGCCATGTTGATGCGCTCGGCGCGCATGGCCTCGGAGGCAAGGATAACGCTCTGCTTCTTACCCTCGGCGATGTTGATGGCGCTCTGGCGTTGACCCTCGGAGTCGAGAATTTCGGCGCGCTTGGAGCGCTCGGCCGTGACCTGGCGGTGCATGGCTTCGACGACGGCGGCAGGCGCGTGGATGTCGCGAATCTCGTAACGCAGGCACGTGACACCCCAGGCCTCGGCAGCGTCGTTAATGGCGGCGGTGATGTTGGTATTCAGGGCGGCGCGTTCCTTGAGGACGTGATCCAGTGTCAGTTGGCCGATCTCGGAGCGCATCGTCGTCTGAGCGAGCTGCGAGATGGCGTACTCGGCGTCTTCGACTCCGTAGCTACAAGCACGTCAGTCCTTTGCCTCTTTTGAAATGGGCCCTCGATCCCGGAACGCTCGCAGCAGCAAGACTCACCTCGCCTTGTACGCATCGAAAACGCGCGTGTAAAGCACGCCGTCGAGCTCGAGCGTGACGTTGTCGGCCGTAATGGCGCTCTGGCTAGGAATCTCAATGGCCACTTCCTTGAGACTCTTGACGTAGGCGATCCGGTCGATGAAGGGCATCAGTATCGCCAGGCCAGGCTCGAGTATGCGGTTGAACTTGCCCATGCGCTCGACGATCCAGGCCGTCTGCTGCGGGACGAAGCGCACGATGGTATTCGCCGGCAGCCTGGGCTTCTGGAAGTACGACGGCATGGGGCTCGCGAAACCCGAGGGCAGCAGCGCCGGGGACGAGGTCGTGAACAGGCGCGCGGCGACAGCGACACGTCCGAGACGGCCGGCCGACGAGGCCAAGGCGAGAGCGGATAGGGGAGCCGCCCGCCGGAAGGCGGCGGCCCGGGTGAGCGACGTGGCCATGGGGAGCGGCGAGTGCGTACGTCAGTGCCGCGGGTTGCGAGTGACGCCGCTCATCGGCCGAGGCGAGGTTGTTTCGGGGGGGGTGGCAGAAAAAACAACGGGCGAGAGACGTTGCAAGACGTTGAAGGTCGAGGTGAGCCCTACGTAATTGGAGGAGCCTCAGCAGGTGGTGCCGGGGGGAGCTAGCTTTGTAGCGGATGGCCAGCTGAAGCTCCGGTCAAGGGCCGACATTTACCCGCCTAGGCGATGGGCAGTGACCACATGTGCTCCTTCCGTAGAGGCAGGCGGCCTGACGTCGCCAGCGCCCTCCAGCGCCGCAGGGCTACCGCTAGCCAAGCCAGCACAGCACAAGCACAAACCTTAGGTGGGGCGGCGCCTTGGGTTCCTTGCGAATCTGCCCCGCGCCGTGCATCAGCGCCCGCCGCCCATGACCTTATCCTGACTCTTGGGGCCCGCCGTGACCTCAACCACTCTACCAATTCACCGACCTACCCACTCCCGCCACTCGCATCCCCCCCCCCCCATTCAGCGGTCTTCTTTCGCTTCACCGCGACCGCCATAGATCAGCTCTCTTTCCCCTCGGTCCCCCCCCGTATAGAAGCATCCCCCGTCGGCAGAAGAGCTAGACAAAGCAGCCCCCCTCATCCACCCACCATGAGCGCCAAGGTGCCGCGCAACTTCCGCCTCCTCGAGGAGCTCGAAAAGGGCGAAAAGGGCCTCGGCGCCGAGGCGTGCAGCTATGGCCTCGAGGACAGCGAGGACCTCTTGATGAGCAACTGGAACGGCACCATCCTGGGGCCCCCTCACGTGAGTGACCACACACACACGGCGCGGCATCGTCCTGCCATCGCTGGCACAGAGCGACGGAGAGACGTGGCGGCCCTCCTAGTCCGGGACACGACAACACAAAGGTCGCAAGGCGCTAACCCTCTGAAACCCGCAGTCCGTCCACGAGAACCGCATCTACAGCGTCAAGATGCACTGCGGCGCAAAGTACCCCGACGAGCCCCCCACGATCCAGTTCGTCAGCCAGGTCAACCTCCCCTGCGTCAATCCCCGCAACGGCGTCGTCGACCCCAAGCAGCTCCCCTGCCTGGCACAGTGGAAGCGTGAGAACACCATGGAGACTGTCCTCATCGAATTGCGGAGGTATGCGTCACTGCTTCTCACTCCACCTGGCCGCATCCAAGAGTTGGCCGCCCCAGACCAGTCGCTGACGCACCACTCAGATACATGGCAGCGCCTGCGAACAAGAAGATCCCCCAACCTCCCGAGGGCTCGACATACTCATGATTTTGCAACGGGACACGAGTCGACGACACATGCCGCTACGCCAGGGGCCGAGGCGACGTAGCTCATTCCATACCAAGATAGCCACCATCTATAGCCGAACACTGCAGCCTAAATGTTTCCTGATACACGCGCGGAGGCGCTAAATGGCACGGCCAAGACGAGATGTCGGGGTATTCCTGCTTCACTACTATTGACTATACAAAACAGTCACCGTCTCGCTACTACCTTCGCCTCCTTCTATGAGCCTCCATGTCTCTGGTATCATCCCATGATCCCCCAATACACCCACGAATCAACCCGCCTAGATGCGATGCGCTCCTCTAGCTTCACCCCGTTACACAGGAAATCTCCAAAAGCGAGCGCTGTGCTTGAGTACCAAAATGCACGAGCCTCATAGGGCTTTTTTGTACAACGTCAAAGACCAAGCCTGACCAGGATCCTGAAGACAAAAGGAAAAATGTATAATACATGGTTGCTCATTAAGTCGTGTGAATTAGTCTTCGTCTCCCCACCAGCCCAGCTCACTCATGTGAGCGAGCCCAACGCCGCCGAGCGCGCCTGACCCGACTGCGCTAAGGCGTACCATGTTGCTGCGAGTCATCCTCTTCTCCGGCACGGCGGGGAAGGAATCCGGCGAGATGGGGCTGTCTGGTCGGGGCAAGTCCTCATCGGCTTCGCTGTTTTCTTCCTCCACGCCCGCCAACGGCTCGCCACCCGGGCGTATGAGGCTGTCTCTGCGCGGCATGCAATGCAGGCCCGCCGACGGGCCATGGTTGCGATGCTTGCTCGCCGTCTCCTGGTGGTGCATGGGCCAAGGGATGTCAACGATAGGATCATCAGACCCTGCAGACAGGGCGTTGTCCCAGTCTTGAATGTCGCTCATATCTGGGCTCGGTTCCATGTCGTCGAAATAGGTCGACATCTCCTCCACTTGCCCAAACGAGCCTGCACTGCCCTTGCGGGGTATACCCCGAGGCCCGGGCGCCGGAGCGAAGGCCCCGACATCGTAGTTGTGTGCCTCCGGACTCGGAGTTACTGCCGAGCGGCGGCCGTTTGACTGGCGGCTTGATGAGCCACGGCTGGTAGACCTATGGCGATCTGATTTATTCTCGACCGGACCGCCCCGCGTATTCCGAAAGCCGGGGGGCGCGGGAAAGCCGAAGTCGAACGTGGGACCGGTGACTGTGCCTTGCGAGGTCTTGCTTCGATGCCCCTTTGACCGCCGATCCGAATGAGATCCTCTGCGTGGCCTTGGCAAGTCATGCTCGTCCTCCTCATGACTCTCTTGAAGTTGCGCGAGAACATTGCATCGAAACGAGTCCTGTCTTTGCCGCAATGCGGCCAATAATAGTTCCTCCTGGCGCGTGACGGCCATGATGCGACTGTGGCTGGCTGGTACGTCGTTGGAAGACTGGGCAGTTCGGCCGCGGTGGTCAACCGACGTAGGGCTCAAAGGAGGCGTCAGTTGATGAGCGGATCCGGACAAGGACTCGCGATGGAACACGTTGTGGTCGAACTGGGGCTCATCATGTTCCGAGTCGACGATCGACGGACGCCGGGCCCGGTGCATCGTTACTGCTCGTGCTTCCTTGACGTATCCCGACCGACTGTGCCAAGTCACTGCTGAGTTGCCCGAGTACGTTGAGGCGATGGACGCTCGTCGAGAGGAGAGGCTCGTGGCTTGTGAAGTATTCCCTTGCGGGGTGTTCGCGCGGGAACTTGTATGCAGTGACTTGGATCGTTCCTTGCCATCGTGGACCATGATGTATGTATTTGAGGGCGCAAAGCTGGTTCGCTTGCTTGACTTGCTGGAACGCTTCTCGCTGCCCCGACCTCTCTTGGAAGTCGGGTGGGAAGAGTCCAAGGACGAAAGGTCGTCTTCGACCGTCGAGGGTCGTCTGATCGAGACGGCGATTGGGCTCTTAGGAGCAGTTGTGGTCGTGGCGGCTGTCGTGGCGGTCGTCGTGGAAGAAGCAAGGTCCTCATTGTCATCTTCCGAGTCGGACGAGAGAACCAAAACGCTAGTCTGGTGGAGATCGGCGACGTTGAGACCCTGGTCCGCAGTCTTGGACATCTTGGACGCCCGCGTGTGTCTGCTGGATACGCTGGCAGCATAGTTGACTGGGGACGATGGCTCCAGAGGCTTAGTGAACATGGCAGTCCGTGGCGTCGCCGGACTAGGATCCTGATGGAGCCAGTCATATGTCTTGCTGCTTCTCTTGGATGAAGACTGCGCCTTGGCCCCCTGTTCAGTCGAGGTGGGCAGCGAAATTTCCGGTGTTGGCTCGTGCTTCATGATCTGCCTCAGCGACATTTGCTCGTAGTGGTCATACAAGCCGGGCAGTTCGCTGAGGGCGTTGTTGGGTGCCCACTGGTTGCTTCCCTCGGTGGCGGGTCTAGACCCTTCATTCACGCCGTTGGAGCGGAGGCTTTCCCTGGCCGGATGTCCCTGGAGACGCCGTGTTGTTGGTGTCGTGGGCGTCAACATGGCGGGGGATTTGGTCATGTACCCGGGCCCCAAGAGGGCCTCGTCGACTTGAGCGTGTGGAAGCGAGCCTCTCCTTGGGGGGAACCGTGGTCCCGGAACGAGGGTTGCAAGATCTAGCTTGCCCGGCTTCTTTTTGGGCCTGGAAGCGTGAGAGTCTCCGACATCCAAAAGTCTCTCGGCTTTGGTCGGCACGCCTTTGGCCATGGCCGAGGAGGACGTCTGTTGGGAAATCGCCAGCGGCATCTTGGACCTGTCGTACCACGACCTAATCGTCGACGATGAGCGGCTTGTCCGCATCATGCTGGAATCGGCGGATTTCCCCAAGTCATAGCCGTCCGCGTAATCACCGACACCACCCCGTAATGGGTGGGGGATGATGTCGGATTCGTCTCCCCAGCCATTGTCGGACCTTGCAGTCTCGAGAGCACGCGTGTCGTCGAATTCGCGGGTCCAGGATCCCGCAAAGCTCGAAGACCTGGGACCTGAATTTGCGTCGCTGAAGCCCGAGGACGAGTTATCGTCGCAATGAGGCGGTGTGTCGATGCTGAGCGGTGTGGCGCCGAGGACGCGGTGCGCCTTGCTCATGGGCTCGGTGAGTGTAAGCTGGGGGGCCGACTTCTTGCGGCCGGGCATGGAAAAAGGAAAGCGAGCCATGGTCCGCTCTGTCTCGGTGACGGGAAGGCCCGCGAAAGCCTCTCGGGCGCGGTTATCCTAGACAGAGGGCCCTGTGATTGCCGCGGAGAGGGACCATGTGCTGATGGGGGTTCGAGACAGGCTTCCTTCTGATTCAAGAAGAGTGCGGGGGGGGAAGTGTGAAGGAGGATGGGCGCGATGGTGCCGGAACGGACTGTCTTTTGTCTGGTCGCCAGGATCGGATCTGATGGGTAGCGGTAGCGAGTATTATGTTACGGCGAGGCGGACAGACCGGGCGGCTCCTATAGCGGGTCGCGAGGTTGTTCCGTCAGGTTATGTGTCGTCTTTTGTCGCCGGCCAGGCCCCTTGTCATTGCCGCCCAAGTGAGCCAAGGCGACGGTGAGGGTGAGGGAACCCTGTCGGGGCCTGTCGGGGACGGACACGCCTCTGGTTTGTTTGCCTGCGGCGCCGGTATTGACAGCAAACTAACGGGATCGCTCACTCAGCGAGAAGTGGACTGGGCACAGGGCACGAGGCGAGGTGCAAAAAGGAATTGCCGGTATAACTCGTGCAGCGAGCCAACGGCGGACCCGAAAATGGCCCTTTCGGGGACCTGCGTGTGGGAGATGGGCGCCGTGTCCCCACAGTCTAATTAGAAGCAATCTGCAGTGGCGGCCGGCGGCCTGCTCGATGAGCCAGGCGAGCCAGGCAAGCCAGGGAGACTGAGTCGGCCGCAGTGGCCGGGCGGAGGCACGTTCGCTCTGGCGGCGGCGGGCGGGAAACGCATGCGCAGTCGAGTGGCGGTGATGTGTGGATTGGATGCAGCATGCGGTTTCGAGATGAGGGGGAGAAGGAGTGAAGGAGAGGCGGAGGAGGAGGAGGAGGAGGAGGAGGAAGCGGAGGAGGGGATCAAAAGGTGGTTACCCCAAGCACCTACATACCGCGAGTACAGACTACGCGTGAGCTCGTGCGGGAAGGAGCGCCCCAGGAGCAAAGATCGCGACAGGGACACAAGCACACACAAAGCACATGGGACGGAAAGGCAGGAGCCACGGCGACGATGAATGCCCAAACAGGCGAAGGGCACATGGGCGTGCAAGCAGGTGAAAGCAGGTTCGTCGGGGCGAGCGCCAGCGCCAGCGCCAGCGCCAGGCCGTTGAGCAAAGACGCAACGCCATGACTAGCCTCTGCGCCGGCGCCGTGTGGGGGGGTGGGATGGGTCCGGTTCCTGGACCTGCGTCGTCGCTCAGCTTCGTTGCGCCGTCCTTCTTTGGTCAATTGCTCCTACGAGACGTCGGGCACGAATGCTCAGAATCCGTTCAGCACTGACGCACAAGCGCGCCAGCAGCAGCCGGCACGCGCGCTAGCCGTCCTGCCATGCGCATCCCGGATTCACGGCTCATCCGCAACAAATGTCGATGTCCAAAGTACTCTGTCGTTACGTCCCCGGTGGGTTGATGCTGTCTCTTATACACATCTAGATGTGTATAAGAGACAGAGGAGGCCCCATCCAGCCTGCCTGCACGCACCATGGTCCATGTACGTATTCCATCCCATCCCATCCCATCCCATCCCCCGTCTCATCCCTCCGTCGTATCCCATTCCCGTTCCGTCCCACAAACCGAACGCCCGTCTCAGCCCGCCGACGACGCCTCTCGGGCAGGCAAACAGCACGCACGAGAACCGACCGTTGGCGAGGGCCGAGGCAGGCACCTGCAGATGGGGACTCGATGAGACTGGGGACCGACGCCGCTTCCCGGGCGCTGGGCTGTCAATAATTCCCCGGGATCCAAGCCTGATGCGCGCCAGACGTGCGGGTCCGTGCCACAGCAGCTCTTTGACAGGCGCACCGCCCGTGCGCGAAGCCAAATTCACTGATGAGGTGCGATGCGGTGTCCCATGGCCCCGGCGACGTGCCGCGCTTGTTCTTGTTCCTTGTACGTACTGTGTTCGTGCTCGGCCCGGGAGTCGTGCTGCTGGAGAATTGTAACTGCATGGATGAATGGGTGGATGGCTTGACGGATGGATGCATGGATGATGGCTTGGCCGACCGAGCAAGCACCGCACCGCGCTGACGGACAGACAGGCCCTCCAGCGTCACGCGGCCGTTCACGACCCCCCGCCAAACCCCCCTCAACTGCAACTGGCAGGAGCAGACGCCCCCGGCACGGTGATCTGCAGCGCCCAATCTGACTCTTTGCGTGCATCCCCTGTGGCGCCCCGTCGGCCTGTCTCTGCCCGGCGACCTGAACCTCACCTCCCGAGGTCGGCTTGATTAACATGGCCTCTTGCTCTCTCCTCCCCTCTGTTGGCTGCGCTGCTGCGCCCAGGGCAGAGGCGCACGAGCACGGGACGCCGCGGCATTGACCTCGGCGCGCCCCAGTGACCCTCCCGCGCGACAAGGGCAGTTTCTTGGGAACCAACGCCTGATTCGAGCTGTCATTGCGCGTCGACGTCGACGGTAGATTGCTTGCAATCCAGCTGCTCGGGTCGCGATGGGGAATCTCGCCCGCCATCAGCTAGTCCGGGGTGGCGGAGATGCAGATGGCGCACACACCTCGCACGCGCACTCACACAATCTGGCCAGCCAGGCACCGCCGACGAAACAAGGCAGCTCTTTGATCAAGTCATGTCGCCCGACCCCTGCTTGGCCTCGCTCGAGCTGGGCTGGCAAGGGTTGGGCCGCCCAGGTTGGCGGATCGACAGCGTCACTCAGGTATAGCCCGGGATACCTGTTCTTCGTTGACTACGCAATCGTCGTCGCGCAGGGTTCATGGGCTATCCGAGCCGATGCTGTTCGGGCAACAGACCCTGGATGTGCCGATCTGTGCCAGCAACCACTCAGCCACGCATCTTGGTGTTGCTGTGGTTGGTATGGCATTGTCAACTATACGTACAGCATGCAGGTACAATGTCGCGTCGCCCGACATTGATGGTTGTGCCTGGACGCCCCAAAGCAGCTACGGCGCCATCCGACGACGTTCGTCCGATGTCTTCTCCGTGTCTCCGCATAGGTTTGTGTCATGTTTCATCAGCGGCCTCATCTCAGCGACGTGCACAACAACCACCCGATGCATCTTACCGACTGCCGGGACTCGGGGCCATAGCACCCGAATCGCGACCAAGCTCAGCTGCCATATGCCTGCGGGAGTGTCATACTCCAGGCAGGTGGGCTCTCAGCTCGTCCCTCGAACCAGGATGACCCCGAATGCCTTCGACACCGCCCCTTGGCTCCCGGGCATCGACCTGCGCACCAAACCCCATCAAACGTTTCTTTTTCGACCTCCATCGCAGGTAGCATTGGCCATGAGTCGCGACCATCCATCCGCCAGTCATTCCAGCTGCCTCTCTTCAGTGATATTTGTCCGTCCGTGACCGTCTGGTGCTTTCTTGGCTCTTCGCCGACCTGCATGACGGGCCGATCTCTACCAACCTGTCCAATTTCCTCCAACAGACCCGCGTCCGCGTCACCGGTACTCCCGTGCATTTCTTGCTTCTTCTCGCCTGAAGGGTGTGAGTGGGGAGTGCCTCTTCTGGACCTTTCTCACCAACCTCACCGTTCGCCGTCCGCCTCGCCATTGGGCCGCCGTCTTGGGCACTCATCTCTGGGAAGCGGCCTCGGGACCAACACTTTGTGGCGGACAAGCAAGGGCGGCTCGCGGCGTGGCCCCCTTGGCATGTCTCTTGCCTTCGTCCCGGAAACTTGGTACCGGGACTGAATCCCGGGAACAGAGAGAAGCCCCCCGGACCAACGACAGCAAATCAAGTCGCCGATGTGTTGGTTTCGTCGTTTTGAGCTCGTGCCATCTGCCCCCGCCTCAAAATGATACATATCAACTTTTTCTTCCGAGGCTTTGCTATCCATCATCCGCGTATCTTCCGCGACCCCTGTGAATCGCAATTTTGCGCAGCCGCCCATCCGAGAGTGAAAGGCACAGGTCGTCTTGCGTGCTTCCCCGGATATTGCAGGGACCGCTCCGCTGACCTCCATAAGCGACATGCCATGGGGAGGAGAGAGGCTCGGTTGAATGAAACAAACGCACCGAACGGCAGGACGAAGTAGTGCAGGACATTCATGGAAGCATCATCTCTCTGGTCTTTGGCAAACCTCGCAAAACAATCTTCCACATTGACACCTGCGACGGCAGCAGGCGTAGAGGCACGCATGTATTGAACAATGTCATCGGCATGACCCGTGTTTCTCGAAGAAATGAAAGAACAAAACTCCCGTGTCAGGTCACTTCGTATCCGTATTCTTGCGTACCGTCCCCCACGGGACCGCTCTTCATCTCCAACACCGGGCCCAGCTACATGAGGTACTCTATAAACTGGGCCACCCTGACAGGAGCCTGCGCCGTCAACTCGCGTCAGATCGCCGAGCGGGCCCCCTTTTCCTTGATTCTCAGATGCGGGTTGAGAAAGCAGATCGGAGCTCTACGGCGGCTTTAGTTAGTTTAACTGGAGGGGTGCCATCTTGCGAGGGACCGCGGCGCACCATTTTCAATCCCTCTGGCAGCGGCAGAGGTTGCACAACTGCCTATCTCTCGGCCTCACTTGGTACTCGGCCCCAAGGCAGTACGCGTCCGTGTAGCAAGGACCTCTGAGTGTCGCGCTGTTGAGGACGATGGCAGGGCAGTGGACTACATATCCCGCCCGGGCAAGGATATCGGCTTCCGCAGCCGCTCCCCCTGTCGGGGAGGCCACCACGACCGCGTAGCCCCCGAGGAGGGAGGCAATGAAGGGGTAGAACAAAGTGGACCGCATGGTTGAGAGAGAATGAGATGTCTGATGTGTCTTCGGAAGATGCCGTGGCGGCTGAACTGACTTGTAGCAACACGAGAGTGAGGCCGTAATGAGGGGGTGAGAAACAAATCTACGGAGGAGTACAGGAGGAGGAGGACGAGATTCCTCACAAAAACACATTCCCTTTATATCTTTTCGTCCTTTGTGTGTATCTACGTTTTTGCGTTGCGTGCTTGACTGACTCGGCGACATCATCGCGTCAGCGTCTCGTTACGGGATATCTTTGTGAATATGGAGCCGGGCACGCCCTGAAAACCACGTTTTGGGCACATGTGCGCCTCCTCGAGCCGCCTTCCACGAGGACATTGTTCCTTTTAATGCGTTGCGGTTATATAATGAAGACGTTATGAGGTGGAAAACAGGGTTTCGGGCGCGTGGCCGCAGGGCATGGCACCACCACCATGCTATATACAATACTTTCCGCGGCCAAGTGAGGTGGTGGTGGTAGCGCGGGTAGACACGTACACGTATCTACTAACTTATGTACTGTACGTGCACTTGCAGTCTTAGACGCCAGATGCCGGAGGTAGGTATTGGTTTGCCGCGTCAACCCGATGGACCACAGTGCGATGACGCCCTCCCCTCCCCCGGTGTGCGCCAGATGGGCGGTCCGGTCCCTCTTCTTGCCTCAGGACAAGTCAGCCGACCGCCGAGGGGGGACTAACACGCCGTCAGTGCGTGCGTGCGTGGGCGGTTGCGGTTGCGTATGACGCGCTCAAGCGTCTCCCAGCGCCACGGTCGCGGAACCGGGGCGCGCATGTGGCCGGTGCGGTGCGGTGCCTCAGATGGAAGGGCAGGGGGGGAAGGGGGAGAGGGGGCGAGAGAGGGATGGTGAGAGAGTGGGCTCGAGCGCGTGGGAGGGACCGGAGCAAGCAAGCAGATTTGATGATGTGCGTGCTTCGCATTGCGGTCCGCTTGCTCGGCGACCTGGTGATATTGCGCCCTCCCGATCCAATGGCACGGGGATCGATCAGATCCCGACGGCCATGCCTCCGTGCCGTTGCTTCGTGAGGCCCCGAGCAGAGCGCCCTGCTCCAAACCTCCCCGATGCTCGCCGTGATCTAATTCCCGTCCGCGAGGGCCCATGTGTCACAAACATGAAGCACGATGCGCGCCAGACAATCATAGGCTTGATGCTGTGCACAGCCAGCTGGGCTGCCAATCTGATCTGTCTACCAACGTTACTCCCCGTCCGTCCAGCTTGGACCAAGCAAACGAAAACTCCTCAACCATTGCGCCATGCAGATGACGAAAGCAGCAACCCGCGCCCCCGGAACGCCGTTTTCGTGAGGTAGGGCTCGCATTCCCATGTACTACACGCCCATGCCCCCCAGATCACAGGTATCGCGTCTGGAGCCATTCCTCGTTCCTCATGCGTAGGTCCAGGCCGTACTGTGCCCACCACTTGCGCGCCTTGCTCTGATCGCCGATGCTATCCTCGAGGGCCTCTTCGATATTGCAGGTCCGAAACTCGACCAGCTGCTTGCGCCCGTCCATGCCCTCGAGCTCCCCGTGCGCAAACTTGCGCCACCACTCGAGCACCTCAACGTGCTGATGGATTGTCGAGCTGATGAGGACCTCGGGGTCGAACACGAGCTTGTTGTCTCCCTTGAGCCGCCTCCACGTCTCAAGCACGTTGACCCGCCCCCAGCGGCTGGCCACCTTGGCGACGCTGTCGCCGTGGGCCACGGGGATGCCAGAGGCGTCCCACCAACGCAGCACGTCCGCCTGGCCGTGTTGGGTCGCCCACAGCAGAGACCGGCCCGGTCGAAGAACGATGCTCTCATCCTGAGCCGCGGCATCGCGCCACCACTCGAGGACCAACAGGTGCCCCCTCCCACTGGCCTGTTCCAGGGCCGTCTCCGTGTATCGCAGGGGCAGGCCGGACCGTCGCCACCACCAGTCCAAGATCCGCACGTGACCGTTCTTGGACGCCCCGTCCACGGCCTCCGCGTCGTAGATGTGCTTGTCCCGGAACCACCTGCTTTGCTTCCAGTAGTCGAGGACGTCCGTCCTCGGGTAGTACGCCGACGCATTTGAGGGCAGCGTCGTGCCGTCAAACGCCTTGAACAAGTCTGGCCGGTTGTTCTCCATATATTCTAACACCTCGATAAGCGCGAAGCGTATGACGAGCTTCACCACGAGGGCGGGGATGTCTTGAAAGTTGGGTGGCGACTGCGACAACTTCTTGCAGACGGCCGCCGAGCTGCAGGTGAGCACCGTCCACTCCAGCTCGTGTTCATACACCTTGAGCGGGTCGGTCGGGTCTTTGGGCTCCAGGCACCACGGCTGCGGCATGGGCAGGTTGGTGTACATGCCGAGGGCCTTGGCCAGCTCCCAGTCGCCCGCGTAGTCGAGCACAATGGTCCAGATCTCGGGCGGCAGCTTAACCTGGATCTTGACGTCGCTGTCTGATAGCAGGGGAGCGCTGGTGGCAATCTCCACGTCGCGTCCGAGCCCCAGGAGGTCCGCCTGGTTCTTGATGATGCCTAGGACTTCGTTGAAGCCGTTCCAATTGGGAACGCGCTTCGGGTTCGGTGCACCCTCGTAGTGCCACAGAATCGGCGTCATGACGCGGATCCAATTCCACTTGCGGTACAGTTTGCTCAGATGGCGCTTCGTCATCGGGTTCGACCACATGTGCGTGCTCATGCCGGGCACGAGCACCACGCTCTTCTGCGGGTTCCATCCCCGCAGCACCTCCCCTAGAAATGTGTCGGCGATGCCCGCAAGAAGCTTGGCGATGCCGTCGGCGTCGAGCGGCACGCACACCATCAGGTCTGCCCACTCGACCAGCTCATAGGCCTGTTGCCTGTAGAATTCGATGTCGTCGGCGCGGTCGCCTTGGCCAGGCGCCAGGGTGCGGTTCTCCATGACGATGATGGTCTGCGTCAGGCGCGGGACCACATCGTCGACAATGGCCCTCGTCTCGATCTGGGTATTCTTGGATAGGCGCACGACGAGAGCCTGCGCCCACGAAGTGTCGCGTGGGCCGGTGGCGGCGACGAGTAGGTGCAGCTTGCGGTGGCGAGTGTTCATATCGGTGAGCGAGGAGCACGAGGATACCGTCGACGTCAGCCGCGACGGAAAGGACGGGTAGTTCGCCATGACGGAGGAGAGGATGCCCGGTCGCGGGACATGGTTCGGACGTCGTAGGGTGGCGACGCGCGCAACCGGCCAGGTCGGGGCGTATCGACGGAAGGGGTCGTTGGGCACGACCGTCTCCCAGTGAGGCTCCAATCACGTGCAGGGCAGTTGCTTCCGTGAGGCCTGCGGCTCGTCGTCGTCGTCGCGGTCGGTCGGTGAGAGCTCGCAGACCGGTCTGCAGGGTCTGGTGGAAAGGGAGAAACGACGTCTCAGATGGCAAGTTTCTGACGACATTCGTGCGTGGTCGACGCATGGGGGGCTGCCGCCGGGGGCAGAGCCGGCAAGGTTTCAGCGGCGTCGTGGCACGCTAACGTCGGGCAACGAGCCGCGCTAGAGCCGGACTTGACAGCGCTTCAGGCATGAACCGCAGCAACCCGGGGGCCTTCCATCCAATGGGCACGGCGCTATTGGGATGGATTCCGCTGTCGTCGCTCGTCCAGGGGACCCCCGACTCACCGTTTGACGCCCGGGCAGCTGCACCATCGGGGAACGTTGCGGTGAGCTGCATCTCAGGCGGACTCGACCTCCAATTGCCGTGCTCACAGCGTCGTTGGCCAATGCGTAGTAAACTTTTCATGACGACGAATTAAGCTTCGCCAGGGTGTCGGGCTGCACAGGTTGCCATGGCATCTGCAGGGCGTCGGCGTCACGGTTTCGTCCAGAGAGAGGCTGAAGACATGTGCTACATTGCAGAGGTGGACTGCCCGTATCCATGGATGTCACTGGCGCCAGCACGCAGTCCCCGTGTCAAGAAGCCGGACGGAACCTTGGAAGCTTCGACAGCGCTGTAACTTAGTACACCACGAGCGGCAAAGCCAGCGGTCCCAATTAACACCGCCCGTCACATGACTCAGCCAGCCAGGCCCACGCCCACGCCCCCGGACCGGAACCGCCGCAAAAGGTTAACTAAGGCACTGGCGGTGGTGGGACTCGACTTGGAGATGGACGGACGGCTGCCGACGACGACGGCTTGAAACCGGGAACCAAAAACTTTTGCCTTGTGCGACGTTCTCACGATCCTCTGCTCGACGCTCACTCTCGCGGCCTCGACATCGCATCGCCAGCGTCGGCCAACACAGACTGAGACACCTGCCGCCTGCAGCTCGGGTTGCAACGCCGCCCGCCGCTAAAAATTTCTCTGCCCGAAAGGACTCGTGCCTCGCCTTCCCGCTTCAGCATCCTCGCCAGCATCCGCCGCGGCCATGTTGGACCAAATGGCAAACGAAATCAAGCTCATCTCGGGCAGCTCGCACCCCGACCTGAGTGCCCTGGTCGCCAGCCGGTACGTCTGATGGCTCCCTTGCGTCCGTCGGCAGGCCCATCCGCGGCGCGCCGACGCCGCTTCGGGCGAGACCGCCGTCACTGACACATGCGCGCAGGCTGGGCATCTCAGTCGCCAACACCATGAGCCTCAACTACTCTAACCAGGAGACGAGTGTCTCGATTGGCGAGTCTGTCCGTGATGAGGACGTCTTCATCCTCCAGTCGACCGCCCCCGGCGATGTCAACGACGGCCTCATGGAGCTGCTCATCATGATCCACGCCTGCAAGACGGCCTCGGCCAGGCGCATCACCGCCGTCATCCCCAACTTTCCCTACGCTCGCCAGGACAAGAAGGACAAGTCGCGCGCGCCCATCAGCGCCAAGCTCATTGCCAACATGCTGCAGGTCTCTGGCTGCGTACGTCTCTCCCCGCTCTCCGGCACTGACCCTCGCACTTGCCCTTTCATCCTAGTCTCTCTTACTTACATGTCCCAGAACCACGTCATCACCATGGACCTGCACGCCTCTCAGATCCAGGGCTTCTTCAACGTCCCCGTGGACAACCTGTACGCCGAGCCCTCGGTGCTTCGCTGGATCCGGGAGAACCTCGACGTCGACAACTGCGTCATTGTTTCTCCTGACGCCGGCGGTGCCAAGCGCGCGACGTCCATCGCCGACCGCCTCAACACGGCCTTTGCGCTCATCCACAAGGAGCGCCCGCGCCCCAATGTCGTCGGACGCATGGTGCTCGTCGGCGACGTTCAGGACAAGGTCGCCATTCTCGTAGACGACATGGCTGACACATGTGGCACGGTAAGCGGCACGACATGTCTCGCCCGAGCACTCTGCTAACAGCTGCATAGCTCGTCAAGGCGGCCGAGACGGTCAACCAGCACGGCGCTCGAAAGGTGTTTGCTATTGTCACGCACGGTATTCTGAGTGGCAAGGCTATCGATAACATTAACCAGTCATGCCTGTCTGGGCTGGTCGTGACCAACAGTGCGTCAACACTCTTTTTGCATCGAGTTCTTGAGCTGATTCGATGCCCAGCTGTGCCTCTTGGTGACAAGACCGAGCGGTGTCCGAAGCTCAAGGTCATTGACGTCTCTGGTACCCTAGCCGAGGTGAGTTAACCTGAGATTGACTCACGCTACTAGTACTGACGTGCGCAGGCCATCCGCCGAACTCATAATGGCGAGTCGGTGTCTTACCTCTTCACCAATGTTCCTGTTTGATGATTTTACGTCTTGCACGGGTATTAGATTTACCAACGGCGTCAGTATGTCGGGCCCGGATGTGCTTCGAGACGGACAATGCTAACCATGCCAGGGGTTCTAATTGAGGGGCACGGTTTTTGTTGCCAGTGGCAGCTTGCTGGTCGTCCTGCTGGGGTTGCTCTGAACCGCACAATATACCTCTAAAACAGAAAGTGAGGTGCAAAATTGGGGTACGGGCTTGCGACTTGATGCCATGCAGCCGTAGTCATCTTTTGAGACGGGACAGAGCGGAAGCGTATGCAGCAACTAGAGATTCTCATGAGTTTGTGTTTCTTTAAAGCGTGGCCACACAAGACTGTGGCAAACTAGAATCAGGGATGCTCCTTGCGACGCTCTGTGATCATGGCAACAATCAGCGCTGTCACCGGCGTATGAAGTCATTTGATAAGAATAGTATTGCTTCGTTAGAATGCACGCCCTCGTGCAAGTGGATCATCAGTCTGGGGCGTGAAATGCCAAAACTGAGCTGGAGTCCACGCCGCCACTATGTGCACCACCATGATCCGGGCGGGTTCTCCAATCCTCGGTAGACACGCGACAGGGCCATCATGGTCATTAGAGAAACAAAAAAAAAAACAAATGAACGCATCACTCGATGCGTCCGGGCGGCAAAAATGCCAAGACAGGGGTTCGAACCCTGGAATCTCTCGATAGTGGTGTCGAAGCAGGAAACAAAAGCTTAAAACCACCGCCTTAACCACTCGGCCATCTTGGCTATGTTTAGGAGCATACGATCAGAATGCTTATTGATGGCTATGCGCCTGTTTTCTGGTGCGGTGGGGACATGCATGAAGCCACGCTGGATTGGGTCATGCGCCGCCAGGTACCTGCCAGACCCCACGCTCATCCTGGTGGGCGGTGTGGGGATTCTGCCACGTTCCCCTTGTTGGCGACGACGCGGCAACCGTCGCCGATGACATCGCAACCGCGCCGCAGGCTTCCACGACGAGGTAAAGGACGGGCTGTGTTGGTGCTGAGCTGCATGGACAGTAGGCGGTTCCACATGCCCACCCACGAGCGCAGCGACGCGCCGGACTGCCCGACATGACGACGCATCTGCTGGCCTCGGAGCTGGCCAACCTCATCCAAGAGAGCAAGCGCAAGCACAATGACCTGCGACAGGTGAGTTGGTCAACGCCCTTGTTAGTGTGTGATCAACAAGACTGAGACCACGTGTAGGCTGCAGAAAAGTCCCTCGAAGAACTCAAGCAGCTGGGAAATGTGTCCGAGCAGGCGGCCCCGGAGCGTGAGTGCCGAGCAGCTCATCCCGAGACGGCCAGGTGTCACGACTGCTGACGCGCCAGGCAGTGCTCTCCCAGAAGCCAAGCTTCGTCAACCCCTTCATCATTGCGTGCGGCACCAAGAACGCCAAGTTTACCGGCATCGCCATCGTATGCCTGCAGCGCCTGATTGTCGCCCGCGCGCTGCCCCGCGCCAAGCTGAACCAGGTCCTCGAGGCCTTGATGCAGGCCTCGTCGGCAGGGCTCGACGTGCAGCTCAAGATCCTCCAGGCGCTGCCTTCGCTTCTGCAGAACTATGCCGACGACATTCGTGGCGAGTTGCTGGTCACGGCGCTCAACATTTGCTTCATCCTGCAGAGCAGCAAGAATGCCATTGTCAACAACACGTCCGCAGCAACCTTGCAGCAGCTGGTCGTGTCCGTCTTCGACAAGGTCGTCGCCGAGGACAGTGAGTATATTTCTAGATACGGTGAGGAGTACGTGGGTTGACTGGCTGCGCAGAAAATGGAGCCGACGTCCCGGTGGCGGGCGAAGCGTCCACCCCAGATGGCAGCGTCGAGCTGCGAGCTGCGGCTCTCGACGCCTACAGAGTGAGATCTCCCTAGCCTTTGCCAACCCGTTGACTAACACAGCCAGATCTTCCACGACTTGTGCCTCATGACCGAGAATCAGCGTCCCGAGTTCCTGCGCTTCTCGGGCCTGCCGCAAACGTTCGGCCTGGAGCTGATAGAATCCGTCATCACCAATCACGCGGCCGTGTTCACCACCCACCCTGAGCAGGCTCAGATCCTTCGAACTCGAGTCATGCCTCTCGTCGTGAGTGCTCTCAAGGGCAAGCCGTCGTTTGCCACGTCGGTGCGGCTTGTGCGCATTCTCTACACCATGTTGCGGCGCCACATCGGCATCCTGCCCTCCGAGTGCGGAGACGCCCTCGAGATCCTCACGCAGCTGCTCGACCACGACACCGCCCTTTGGAAACGAGCGCTCTGTATGGAGGTGTTTCGCGGTGTCTTTGCCGAGCATGCTCTCGTACGACGCATATTTGCCCTCTACGATGCCAAGGAGGGCGAGAGAGACATCCTCAAGACACTCACGGCGACCTTTGTGCGGCTGAGCACGGAAAAGCCTGCGGTGATTGGCCTCGGGCCCCAATCGACAATACCCGCAGCTGACATGTCCGACTCGTCCACCACGCCGTCGGACCAAGCCATGCTGGAGGCGAGCGGCGTGACGGGAATCATTGGCAGCACAGTCGGGTCAGAGAGGCCAAGTACTGGCATCAGCACTCAGTGGAGCTCGGTCCGTGTCCCGTGCATCGACCAGCTAGACAAGACGGACCCGCCGCCAATACCGGAATCCTACATCTATAGTCTCGTTTTGGCTTGCCTATCCTATCTTTCCGACGGCCTCGCCAAGTTCGTCCTGCCCCTTACCGTTCCTAGCGAAAGCAGAGGACGCCGGAAAGCCTCGAAACAGGACGCCGGCAGAGACTCGCCAGACCAGAGTGCAACAGACTCCTCACAACCCAGAACACGACCGGAAAGATCTGGCTCGTTCAAGCGCAACCCCGTGCCAGCCAACCCGCTCGACCTAGTTGATCACCCTATGTACCCGGAGATCAAGATTTGCGCCTCGATCGTCGACGAGTGCTGGCCAGCTATTTTGGCCACGTGCTCGACCTTCCTGTACGCAGCTCTGGACCAGGAATACTACCATGGACTCGTACGGGCGTTTCAGAGATTCGCTCACGTTGCGGGTCTGCTTCATCTGTCAACTCCAAGGGACGCGTTCCTGACCACGCTTGGGAAATCAGCAGTCCCTCCCAACGTGCTTACTGCGTGCCATAGCCAGGGCCAGGCGCGTGTCACCACACCGACTGCCGCTCCCGAGACGCCAAACACCCTGTTCAGCAACGCAAGAGGTCTCCTGAGTGTCGAGGCGCTTACACCTTTATCACCCTCAGCTGAGAAGCAGCGGCAAGCGTCTTTCGATGCGGCTACGGCAAGCCTAAACACGCGCAACCTCCTGTGCCTCCGAGCACTCCTGAACCTTGGCATTGCCCTTGGGCCGACGCTTGGCAACGCTTGGGGGATCATACTCGAGACACTTCAGCAGGCCGATTATGTTCTCTTTGTCACGGGCAAGGCCCCAGGGAGGACTCCGTCGCTCAGCCGTGGCCAAGACCAGCCCGAGGGTGACAACAGCTCGCTCATGTCAAATTTCAACCACGAGGTCCGCTCAGTTGAGACTGCCGCATCCCGGCTCATCGAGAGCAGCGTCGACTTTCCCAACCCATCATTCATGGAAGTAGTAGAGGCAATGTGTGGTCTTCTCGAGCAGGGTCCTGGAGATGCTCTGGCAGTGAACAACAAGGGCCAGTCACCCCCGGCTGCCGACAAGCCGCTCCGTCCGCCCCCTGGCCAGCACCGGCGAGTTCTAAGCTTCTCCAGCCCAGCCGCCGGGTCCTCGACGCAGGAATATCTCTTCGCATTGGCCAAGCTTGGTGAGATTGCAGCCATCAACATTGGGCGGCTCTTGACAACCGATCCGGCAGCCTCGGGCTGGGACAGGTTGACTGAAGAGCTCATCCATACGCTCGACTCGCCGGCCATGGCTCCGCCAGTGCGGGTCAAGGCCGCCGAGACCCTCGCACGGTTGATGCTGGAATCTGCCAACGCTGCCACATCCATGTCTGCGGAATCTCGGGGACCGATTCAGCTACGAGTGCTGGGCGCATTACGTGAGGCTTTGAAGCCACTACTGAAACATGCCAGAGGCGCATCCGTCGCCAACGTCGCTACAGACGTGGACGTCCACAGGATAATCCTCGAAGGCTTAAAAAGCATCGTGGAGGGTTGCGGGGAGAATCTCGTCAGCGGCTGGGATGTGACATTTGACATCATCGGCACTGTTTTCGACTCCATGCCGCCGGTCGCAGAAAGACGAGGCTCCGTCGCTAATCCTGGGCTGCTCACCACTCGGTCCTCGAAGCTCGTCCGGTCGGCCTTTAGCTCCTTGCAGCTCATCTGCTCCGATTTCCTGGCTTCCTTGCCAAACTCTTGTTTCCTTATCCTGGTGGACACTCTGTACAAGTTTTGCTCACAGGATGACGACCTCAACATAGCTCTTACGGTGAGTCGGGACCTTTATGCCACGATTCTCGTTCTAATAAGAAGCAGACCGTCACGTTCTTCTGGGTGCTCTCCGACTTTTTGTCCGCCAAAGGCGAAAGCCTGGGAATCACTGCCGAGCTGATGCAGGGCGCAAACGACTCGGGGCTGGAGAAGCTGGCCGCCGATCGCAGCCAACCCGGATCCGATGCAGCGCTGTGGATGCTGCTCCTTCTAAGACTAACGAAGGTCGCTTCAGACGAGAGGTTGGAGCTGCGCAACAGCGCCATTCAGACTCTGCTCCGCATTTTCGACGCGTACGGCGATCGCCTCAGTCCGGAGGCCTGGTCCATCTGCATCAAGTCTGTCATATTTCAGCTCATCTCGTCGCTCGAGGATGAGCTCAAGGGAGCCGAAGACGCAGAGTCGGAAGAAACAAATCGAGAAGAGTGGCACGGGACAGCCGTCGTCGTGCTCAACGGCATCTCGACCCTCTTGGCCAACTATATCGACAAACTGACGGCACATCCCTCCTTCAACCAACTGTGGCGCGAACTACTGGGCCATTTCGCGCAGCTCCTCGACTTCCACATTCTCGATATCAACACTGCTACGTTCAAGGCATTGAGCCATGTATTGTCACAAACCGGCAGCGACCAGAAATCCGTGTTCAACGATACTACGGTCGAATTCGCATGGGACCTGTGGTCGCGCGGTATACCAGTTTCCAGGAGCACCGCGGGCAAAGTCGAAGATAACCAGAACTGCCTGATCGCTTACGTCGCAGCTCTCCGTGAGGTGTACAAGCTGATTCAAGGCAAGCTGGACGTTGGGAGGGTGAAGCGTATCCTCACGTTGCTGCGCGAAACTGTCGAGGAGGCATCCGTCGGGGGCTACGTTATGGATATCGAGTCCGCCACGCCTTTACAGACACAGACCTTGGCCGCTGTCCAGATGATTCGGACGGACGTGGACGGGGTGCCGTCGGCGATGATCAACCAGGTCTCGGAGTTTGTCACCCTGGCGTACGAGCTGGGACAGACGAGTGACTCCGCTGGCCCGAGACGCACGTACATTGCCATGTCGAAGGCGAGCATGAAGATCCTGGAGGGTCTCGTTGTAACCCATGCGTCCGACAAGGATGTCTACACAAGCGGCGCGCTTGTCACAGCCCTGTCCGCGCTGTATAAGCCCATTGCGCTCAAATACCAGTTCCGCACTGTGACCAAGTCAACGCAGCCGTGGCGGCTGGCGACCTCGTCCGCCTTGGGGGTCCTGGAGGCGACGCTGAGCAGACTTGGGCCGCTGAGTGTCCCCCGCAAGACGGTCGAGACCATATGGGCAGTCGTCGCATCCGTGGCGGATGGCATTGTCAGCGCAGAGACAGAAACGGCACCGGTTGGGACCAACTTCGCCGACGACGAAGCCTTTGATATCGAGTCGTTTCACAAGCTCCGCGCATTGATCATTCCTGCGCTCGGCGGGGAAGCAGTGGCAGACAAGACAAGAAGAGCCTACGCCAGGAGTCTCTTCCGGACGTCGATCATCCACAGACTGACGTCAGATGAAGAGTCCCTGACAGAAAAGGGCGACGTCGCTGGCCTGTCGGCACTATACGCGCCGCGACCGGGGCGGACGGTCGCGGCTCCGCCGTCGACGCGCGCACAGATGGCATACGTCGTATTTGACGAGCTCTTTGCTCTCGTCGCTGCGCAGGACCCCACGTCGGCTGGCGAGACCAAGTCCGTATCCGCGGCTCGATCCCGAATCGCCCGGACGACCGCACCGTTCCTCATTCTCCGATGCGCGCTGACGTTGCGAGCATACGTCGCCGATCAGCCGCTGCGGGGGAAGATGCCGCAGCCGCTGAGCCAGCGCAAGGAGCTGACTTGGACGCTGAGAAAGCTGGTCGAGCTGGAGAGCGACAGCGCAGCCATTCCAGCGGTTAAGGGGGCAGAAGGCGAGGGCAGGAAGCATCTGCTGAGGCTGTACCCCTTGCTGGTCAAGTCGCTTGGTGTGGGAGGGGACGCCAAGGTCCTGGAATTGTTGAGGTCGGCTCTGGAAGTTGTAGGGGATGAGTTGGGGATTGTGTAAGTGATGCTACGTCCGAGGTAACTAGACTCGGCGGATTAATCAAAAAGCGGGCGTGTTTTGGTGTCGTTACCAAGATGATACAGCTATGAAGGCGCCAATTGATGAAAACCTCAATAAACATTGTAAAATCCAAGGTACCGTTTTCCAGGCTCCAGCAGCATCGATTCTTCTATATCAATTGCCATGGGAATGGATCAATTGCTTGAGTTGTTGTGCAACCACGTCTCGATCTAGGGTAGTGTCACCCCGCGGCGGGGCAGCACCGAAATTTTGAAGCTCCACGGTTTTTGCGTCGCCAGCCTGACGTCTACATCCAACGCCAATCTCAGCGGCAGATCAGTCACCAGCACCCAGGCACGACATAATCATGGGCAAGTCGTCCAAGGACAAGCGCGACGCCTACTACCGGCTCGCCAAGGAGCAGGGCTGGCGCGCGCGCAGCGCGTTCAAGCTCCTGCAACTCGACGAGGGTGCGTTGCGGAACGGGGGGAACGTATGAGTGCTAAAAAGGGAACGAAACGCTGACACCGGGCAGAATTCGACCTCTTCTCGGGCGTCACGCGCGTCGTGGACCTGTGCGCCGCGCCGGGCAGCTGGTCGCAGGTGCTGTCGCGCGTGCTCATCAAGGGGGAGCGGTTTGGGCGCGCGGCGTGGCGGGATCGCGACGCGGAGCTGCGAAGGCGGATGCTCGCCGTGTTTCCCGACGCCAAGGTCGACGCTGCGGCCGGTGATGATGCAGCAGACGCGGTAGCAGCTGCGACGACGACTGCGAAGCCCGACGGTCCAGCGCAGCCGCGCCCCGGCGTCAAGATCGTGGCCATCGACCTGCAGCCCATCTCGCCCCTCGCCGGCATCACGACCCTCCGCGCCGACATCACCCACCCGGCGACGGTGCCGCTGCTCCTGCGCGCCCTCGACCCGAGCCCCGAGCCCGACGGCCCGGACGGCAACAACAACAGCGGCAGCAACACCAACAACAATAGCGGTGACAATGGCGGCAAGGCGTCGCACCCCGTGGACCTGGTCATCAGCGACGGGGCGCCCGACGTGACGGGCCTGCACGACCTCGACATCTACGTGCAGTCGCAGCTGCTCTTCGCGGCGCTCAACCTCGCGCTGTGCGTGCTCAAGCCCGGGGGCAAGTTCGTCGCCAAGATCTTCCGCGGGCGCAACGTCGACGTGCTCTACGCCCAGCTCAAGGTCTTCTTCGACAGGGTCGTCGTCGCCAAGCCCCGCAGCAGCCGCGCCAGCAGCGTCGAGGCCTTCATCGTCTGCCTCAACTTTCGCCCGCCCGCCGGCTTCCGCGCCAGCCTCGAGGAGCCCCTCGGCGTGGGGCGCCGCCTCGACGCCATGGCCAGGGAGAGGGAGATGCAGCTCCCCGTCGTGGCGGCGGCCGTCATGCAGGACCCGGCGAGGGGGACGTGGGACGCCGCCCCGGTTGGGGATGCTGCGACGGTGGCCGCGGTGGCCGCGCAGAGTGCTACGGGCGCCGACGGCGTGGTTGAGATTGAAGCCTACGACGACATGGACGACAACGAGGCCCCAAGCGGCATCTCGCGGAGCACAAGATGGATTGCGCCGTTTATTGCTTGCGGCGATCTATCGGCGTTTGACTCGGACGCCTCGTACCAACTCCCAGAGGACTACGTCTCGTTGGACCCCGTCCAGCCTCCCATCGCCCCGCCGTACAAACGCGCCGTCGAAATGAGGGCGGCGCAATCCAAGGCGTCGAGGTGACAGGCCAATGCTCGCATCTAAATACAAAGAAGAGCATCGAGGGAGGAAAAAGCAAAATGCAGAAGATGCGCCGTTACGGAAATGCAGGGTGCGGCACGCCGACTCCGCGGCGGCCCCTGTGCTGGTCATGAAAAAAATGCTTCTCATCAATCGGGTCCGCGGCTTCAATGCTCGTCGGGCACGTCCTTCATCCCCTTGCCGCCCATCTCTAGCATGACCAGCCCCGCAGAGGGCCCCTTGTCGAAGTCGACGGCGCCCAGCTCGCGCTGGTACATGCGGGCGGCGGCCTTGTCGTGCGTCATGAGCATGAGGCCGCGCAGGTTGGGCCACTCATCAACCGTCTCCTTGAGGGCCCGCATCATCCACGAGGCGAGGCCACGGCGCTGAAAGTCCTCGAGGACGAAGACGTCGGTGAGGTAGGCAAAGGTGACGTAGTCAGTGACGACGCGGGCGAGACCACACAAGCGGAAGTTGGGCCCTTGCTGCGTCACGCGGGGGAGACCGCCGTTTTCTGGCTGCGAGTCAGTAACCAAGCGTTCGAGGAGGGACTGTGACTGGCGCCCAGCGCTGTCTCCGCGTCCTTCGAAGGGGCACTCTGTCGAGGAAGGGAGGCGGTGGGGTACGACGCACTTTGCATCTCGTCGGCCGTGTCGGGGACGGCAAAGATGGTGAGGGTCATGCAGTTTTCGAGCATCTTCTGCATCTGCTTGGGCTCGAGGGGGTCGTTCCACCACATGAGGTCCGACTCGAAGACGTCGTTGACGCTAGCGGGGTCGACAAAGGCCTTGTCGGTGGTGAGGAAGAAGCCGTCGCGGTGCCAGGAGCGCGGGTGGCCCTCGGGCTGGAGCTGGCGGATGACGCTGCCCTGGGAACCCATCTTGGTCTCGTTGATGACGATGCTGGCGTTTGGCCCGTGGCTTGCTGTTTCGCGTGGGCAGTGATGCCGTCTTCTTTCTTCCTTTTGCTACCCTCCTTGGTTCGTGTTTATAACGGAAGGTGGTGGGCGTAGCAGTCGAGTAGTGGAACGAGAGGCGGAGAGGGCGAGGTGGGTGCAGAGGGCATTCTCGTCCCGGGCCGGCTGGGAACTGTTGAGGTCACGTATGGTGAGGTGGGAGAGGATCTGGGTAGAGGGAGCGGGAGAGAGGGGAGGAGGAGGAGCAGGAGGGCAGGTGTTCACGATGCCGGTCATGGCCCCTTCTTCCTTACGTACAAGTACACGGACGAGTGGCCCATGGCTTCTCGCCTAGGTACCTACCCACGAACGAGCGGACATTCAAGACAGGGACCGGGACCCATAGTAAGGAAAGGGTACTACATGCCATACCATACCATACCATACAGTACCCAAAAAGGCCATTGATTGTTGCGCAACTCCCGCCCGCCGCCCAGCGAGCCGGTTGGCGCGGCGGGCCGGGGCAAGGTCACTCACCTACCTACCTTACCTACCTCACCAGCCCGGCTCGCGCCCCGGGCACACGCAGCCGATCCCGGGCCCCATACTTTCTCATGCACGCGCCTCATGCTATTGCCCCGATCCAAAAGGATACAGTACAAGTCGGCGCTGCTGTCGCATTTGGCAGCTTTGTGCGTGGGCGGAACGAGACGACGTACCCGGCTAGCTCCGGAGCTCTACTCATCTTTGCTTTCGCAGTACAGCACTACATACCCCGAAGATTGCTTTCCACTACGTCAGTCAGGCAGGCAGACCACAACTGTGCGCGCGCGTCTGTGTCTCCGTGGCCGCCGCGACCCTGTGATTCGAGTCAGCTGCGCCTCGCCCACGCCGAACCCTCCATCTCGGTAGGTGACCCGGATCGATCAAGGGGCCTCTGTAGAGTAGCAGCACTTGGGGAAACAGGGCATTCCCATCAAGGTCCTCCTCTCCCGTACAGTAAATCAGGAAAACAACAATACTGTACTGCGTCGTTCAACAAAACCTGAACCTCAACACGAGGGGGGGGGGCTGTCTCTTATACACATCTAGATGTGTATAAGAGACCTTCTGGGGGGAGGGCGGCGGGCGGGACTCATCAGTCACTCTCTCAAGGTTTGAGCAGTCGGTTCGGGTGCAACGAAAACTTGGGGGTGGGCGCGCTTCGTTCTGTTTGTTTCGCCGCTCGCCGTGACATACAAGTTCGTCGTCGGTCGTGTGTTTGAATTATTGTTCGTTTCGGGAAGTTGGGGGGAGAAAAAGGCGCCGGGGCCCGCGTTGCTCGTTACGGACAATGGGGAGAGCGCGCTGGCGAATAGGGGGCGATGCGTTCCAAGGTTGCGGGGAGGGGGCCGCCTGGCACTGGTTACAGGTTCCATCCCACTGTGGAGGCGGGCTTGGAGAGGCTTGGGGAGGGGCACCTTGCACCTAGGGTCCAGCACAAGTAGGGCACAGTGCCGCCTGTGGCCGCTGCAGCTGCCTCGCCAGTGCCGCGGGGGGGCGTCGCCCAGCTTGGTGATGGTGACGCCATGGGGCTGAGGGCTTGACTGGAGGCTCTTGCGAGTTGCGGCTTCAACGCTGCCCTCTTTCCCCAGGTTCCGTCTCGCACTGGCAGGTCGGCGTTTGACCTCTATGAGCTGGACGGACAGTCCAATAGTCGATGCTCTTTGTTGCCATCCGTCCAACTCTGTCTGGCCCCTCAGGTCGAGATCGGAGCGACGTCCGGCTCGAGGGGTGAGCCATGTCGATACCAACCTCTGGCATTCCCTCCCTCTCGAACGCCGACCCAGATCCTGCTGCAGCGCGCCCCCCCCCCTCTTTCTCCCGGCTCGGCCTGCCGACCCTATCACGTTGCGTTCCAGCAGGCGGTCTTCGATCGATTGCGTTCGCCGTCGTCCCTGGGAAAAGCTGCCCAGAGCCTCCTGCCAGAGGACGAACGACAGTTCAGCTGCCCCTCTCTCGGTGCGCAGCCGCAGAGAGCGACGACACAGATCGTTAGAGTCGACGAGCCTGACTTCCTCTCATCAGTGACTGCGTGAGAGTTGCCGGTGCCTGCGAGCGTGCACTACGCAGGACCGTAAGGTATTCTTATCTTCGCCTTTCCGTCACGTCGCGGCCACGTCCACGCTTTCATCCCCTTCTGTGACCGCTCCCGAGCGCCGCCCGCATCTCACATCTACTTCCCAAAATAGCAGGCTCCCGCTGGCTGAGACGCACGCACCGCACCTAGGCGGGGCCCGCGTTCGGCCGTTGGGACGTGGGAGCTCCGTGGTGAGCGCGTGGCACTGCTACGACACCGCCCAGGGCACAGCAGGACAGCGCCCGCCCACTGCTTCCAGGTGGCCGCCCCTGGCCCCGCATCGGCAGCCCGGACCGCCGGACGGGGCCGGCTTTTACTGGCCGCGGCGGCGGTGGAGGGCCGGCCGCAACCTGTTCGTCAACCGCGCACTGCTGGAGCACCCGTTGTGTGATGCACATGCACATATCATCTGACAACTGAAATCCAAGCATCAGCGACGCAGAAGCGATCCGGATTCTTCCACAACTGCGTGCTGAATGGTCACGCCAGCCAGCGTTATCGCTGATATCGTGCCTACGAGTACACGGCACCACACCACAACCCACAACGGAAAGCCGGGCAGTCATCCCACAAATCCACAACAGCAGCCCACCGTGCCAAAGCTGGACCGCAATTCCGACGGTAAAGATGCGGCGCTGAACCATGGCATGTTGCTGCTGTTGCAGAAAAGCCCCACCTGGCCAGGCTGGATTATCCTGGATGCCGAGAGGAGACTCTTGTTGGTGAGGCCCCCGACATCTGTGCAATTTGCCTGACCTTTACCGTGCTCCTGGATGGTCCGTCTAAGTCTCGAGGGAGTCAATGCTTGGCTCCACCATCGGCACTGCCTTGCCTCTACTGGCACCAGCGCCTCTACTTCATAGGTGTATAAGTCGGAGGGCAAGGGCAGTGACGACTCCAGCAAAGCAGAGTGAGCTTGGAGCTTTCTCTACGCGGAACTGCCTGGCTACTACTATTGTTTGCTCACTTACTCACTTGCAAGACAGGATTGTCCATCTCAAGGGAAGAGGCACGCGCACCATCACTTGCGCATCATGCTCCAGCAAATGTTTCCCGCGACAACTTATTGCTTAGACGATGTTGCGACTATGGTTGGCTCGTAATACTTCAGAGCACATCTGGATTCTCAGTCGCTCTCGCTTCACTCCTCATCCTGCCGCGAGAGCCCTTCTCTACTCCCTTGTGGACATCCGTAACCACCTTTGCCCACTGGCTGGCCTGGAACCAAATGGGCGCCTCTTCGACGCAAGGGCTAGAACCCTCGGGCATGGCTAACGTGAGGCATCGGCGGGAGGCGGCTTGTGGTGGTCGAGACAGTCCCGGTTGCTCTTATACAGATCGCTCTTACGCAGCGAGAAGAGACGGCAATAACGTGCGGTGCCGCACTTATCCTGGTCCAAGCCAAAATTGTTGCACTCAAAGGCCAGTTCACTACCAGTCGTGGTTCCCACTTTGTAGTCCTTCAGCTCCTTGGGCTTCTCCTCCTGGCGAGGCTCGAAGGCGGCGTAGCAGTCGTCCTCGTTGTCGAACCTTTGCCCGGGCCTTCCCACCATGGCCTCGCAGGCCAAGTCTGTACCGCATCGGTTGGCTGTGTCGGGAAACCGCACGTCCGTGGCCAAAAGGCGCGAGCATCCCTCGGGTGACTTTGCTGGGGCCTTCACAAACGGCCACAGCCGCTTTGGCCCGTGGGCGGCGAGGCAGTCTGCTTCGCTTCGATACATGTCGTCGTGCTCCATGAGATTATTGTACAAGGAGCACGTTTTCGCGGTGCCGCACTTGTCCTCCGACGATGAGTAGTCCACACAGTCTTGCGTCTGGTGGGCCCCATTGGGATTAAAGGTGCCGATCTTGTAAGGCAGTATGCTCTTGGGGCGCGTGGGAGGATCCACGAACTTGTCGAAGCACTCCCGAGATGCCTGCGAGTTTCCATCGAACCCCCCAATGTTCCGGCAGATATTCCCGGTGCCGCATCTGGCAGCCTGCTCGGCGAGGCTCAGAGGCTCCAGCTCTTTTCTCGTGCATCCATCCAGCTCGTAGAAGGGCTTCTTCGACGGGGGCGCCGCCCAGCCGAGCAGTTCCTTGCTGGAACTTGGTTTCGCGGGGCGCTCTTCAGTGGGCTTCGCGTTCTGCTTGGGTGGGTTAGCTGTCGTGGGCGGATCGTCGTGCGCCTCGAAGCAGTCGTATGCGTTGCGATACTTGTTATCCGGCACGGGCTTCCTGTTATACGACAAACAGTACGCTTCGGTGCCGCATGCGCCCTCGTCCACATGGTTCACACTGCACTCTTCGACCGGCTGACGCCCCTCTTGCCAGGCCGGCAGACTCCCCTTTTGCCAGGCCAGCAGCGGGCCCCGCGCGAGCTTCTTCTTCTTGTGCTCGGCCTCCGTCTCGTGGTCTCGGAGGCAAGCGGCCTCGTCGGGGTACTTTCGCTCCCAAAACAGATCCGAATCCTTCTTCACCTCCCAGTAGTGGCAGTAGAGGGCCGTCCCGCAGTCTTCGTTGGTTGGCCTGGCCCTGCGGTCTTTGGGAAAGCATATTGGGAGAATGACCCTCATCTTGGGCACAAAGGGCTTCAATGTGCTGCGCCTTTCGTTCTCCGAGGCCGGCTGCACCCCGCGCCCGGCGGTCGACGGACCGGGGAGCGCGAGGGCGACAGAGCCTGTGACGCAGATGAGGGCGGCGGCCTTCATGTTTTGAGCGCTGCCTTCTTCGGCTTGTTGTGGTAGAGAAGGGTGAGGCGCCAATGAGGGATGTGAATGAGCGACTGACTAGAGACTGAGATGATTCAAGATGGGAATACAGCCCTGTATTTGAAAGGATTTCGAGGCTATTTGAGTCCCAGCTAGATCGGCTGAGGCGCAGACGGATGATACTGTGGTCTTCTGCGCATTATTCGGTTGCAATGAGGGCAAGGTCACATTGGACTTTGAACAAGGCAATGAAAGAGAAATGCCGTTGCCCTCGTACGAGCAATACTCTCTGAATACCCTCTTGGCGTTGTGCACGACTTCTTGGCACTTTGCGAGGCATAAATCTGCTCGTAGCCCGGCTCATGCATCGAGAGCTTGGACGCGACAGGCTCGGATGTGCCTTCTGCCTCTGGAGAAGGAGTAGATGGGACGCACGAGTGCCATACCGTGAACACTCCCGATCGCCCAGAGTGTACCAGCAACCTGGTCCTTGGGCGGTGTTAGTCACGGTCAATGCATTCGCAGATCTTGCGACTCTGGCCCGAGGCCAGCAAGGTCCCCCACGGCAATGCAACCAGTAGCATAGAGAATTTAATGAGTCGCCATGTAAGCGAGGCGAGGCGGACCCAGCAACCAAATAGACACTATATGTGCATTGATATCAGCAGCGACTTGTGGTCGTGGAAACCACAGCTTGCGTAGCTTTGCAACGTGCATCGATCTTCGCCGGCCCTGTCATCTCACCGGTGCGCGCAGCAACAGCTGACTCGATCATTGCTACGTGAAGGACAGCGCATGGGCTTTGGGAACAAGAATGGACATGGCTTCTATGCGCCTTGTTTCTCGGCTGAGAAGAGCGGCTCGCGCTTTGAAAAGGCGGGACCCCCAGCCAAGAGCCTGCCGGTGTGCCTAATACTGCATAATATAGCGTAACTTCTTCGGCAAGTCATCCCATGTACGCAGTCCATGTTTCGCAAATCGACATTCGGGTATGGTTGACTATGTGTCTGTGGCCGAAGCCACTCTACATGTGCGCATGTACCCGCGACGCTGCCTCGCCTGTTAATCCTGCCAGCCAGGCCAGTGACTAGCGGCCGCTGCTACACAATGAGAGGTCGTATCATGGTCGGCGGCACATGCAGTTGGCATAACATGTCTACCGCTCTTTCGCTGCTATGAGGCACATCTTGCTTTGCGCTATTTGAAGACACGTGCTTTTGGCCCAAGAGCTTCATCTGTCTGTCTGCCTTTGCCGGCATGCCGTTGTCATTAATCATTATGGTGGTGTTGTAAGTAGTCTAAGTTTCGCAAATCCGCACATCATGTTATAATTCCCATCCACACGCGCTCTTCCCTCGGCGGCTGAACGATCAGGGCCGAGCTCGGGGAGCATCACTTCCATCACTTGCTCGGCCGCGCCGTCGCCCTCTCCCACGACGCGCGGATCGTGGCCCAGTACTGCTCCGGGTGCTTGCGCATGTGGCCGACGTGCCCGCTGCCCTCAAACAGCTCCGTGTCGGCCTCCCAGCCGCGCTCCCGCGTCTCGGCGACGTGCGCCTCGATGTCCTCCCACGAGATGAGGTCGTCCTCCTTGCTGTACATGTAGAGCTTGCGCGCGGCATGTGCCTCGTACGCCTCGTCGTTGACGGCGCGGCGGCTCCAGGCGCCGGCGCTCTCGCGGCCGATGAGGAAGGCGTACATGGCGTTGAGGCACAGCACCGTCGCCCAGATGGCCTGCGTCACGGCCGACGGCCAGGGGAACCACGCCGCCGTGCCGATGGCCATGGCGCGCGACCACCGCGCCACGTTGGAGGTGCTCATGTCGGTGCTGCCGGGCGTCGAGTCCATGATGAGCAGCTGGTGGGGCATGGTGGGCGATGGCGATGACGCGGTCGTCGCCTTGCCGTTGACGTTGGCGGTGGCGCCGCCGTGCGCTTCGCGGTAGGCGTGCAGCGTCGCGGCGTAGTTGACGGCCCCCGTGTTGGACATTGTGTGGATGAGCACCTCCTCGCTCTCGGCCTTGCTGCCGCCTCGTCGCCCTCTCGCCGCCTCGTCGCCGCCGAAGACGGCCCTGACGACGGGCTCCATGTGCTCGGAGCGCTGCCGCAGGTCCGAGAACATGGCCCGCGAGATGGGCGACAGCACCACCACCTGCCTCGCCGCGGGGAACAGCTCGCGGTAGCCGTCGGCGTACTTGGCGACGTGCTTGGGCAGCCCGTCGCCCCAGCCGTAGATGATGACGGTCGTCGGGTCGTTGCCCTTGCGCGGGACCGCGTCGCTGCTGGCGTCGCGCACAAAGACTTGGTCCGAGAGGGCCGTGAAGCCGGCGATGGCCGGGCCCTTGCGCGTTGCTGTTGCCGCTGCTGCTGCTGCTGCCATGTCGAAGTCGAAGTCGCAGTCGGTTTGGGTTCGGTTCGGTTTCGAAATGGACAGGGACGGGTGTGTGAGGGTCGTCGTTCTCAGCGTCCTCGCAGATGCCTCATGACGACCGGGCAGGGTGGTGGTGGCCCGGCCCGGTATTCATACCAGCTCGTCATCGCCACGACCAGCTGAATTAGCCTCGAGCTTGATGAGAAAAATACCAGACCCCCTTCCGATTGTTGGGGAACGTCATGGTCCATGGATGGCCCATGGGCGAGCGTATCTGGCCCGCGAGTATAAGAGAGTGGGTGCGCCGGCGATTCATGTCGACCCGCGCCGGGCCGGGGTTTTGGGCAAAGGAAAAAGATTGTCATCATGCCGGCCGGGAAGGGTTCCGTGGACAATTTTTTAGATCCAGGAACGCCTAGTTTTAGGTGCAAGTGGCTTGTCCGTCTCTGAAACCCGGCCCCGACCACAAAGTATTGCTAGCGAAGGAGCCAGACGACGGCGGTCAAAAGACACGCGCTCCAACACATTATCAACTTACGCCATCAGTCGTATCCCCTACTTTGCATATCGTCCGTATGCTGTGCCTGTTCTGCTGCAACAAATGTACATGATCTCTGCAAAGGAAGCGCAACGGACGCCGCACAGAAGAAAGCGGAGCCGCATCCCGCCAACCGAGGCAGCCAACCGCAAGACCCCCCCGCCGTTCGGGGGCCGGACTTTTCAACCTCGCCGGCGCCGGCAACCAACCCCCCCGGTGCGCGCGTCCCCAACAGTTTGACACCGGCTCTCGACCACAACCCAGGTTAGGCCAGGCCGGGCTCGTTTCCCCTTCCGTCCTCGTGCGGCCAACAATGCCGATGACAAGAGAGAAAAGAGGCACAGCTTCAGCTCTCTGCCAATAGCGCGGTCCGTCATCGTCGTCGTCGTCGTCGTCGTCGTCGAACAGCCTTCTCTGCCAAGGCGCGGAGACCACGCGTCTACACGCCAAACAGCTCTCTGGTGACGTGACGACGCCCGTTCTCGCGCGCTGCATTCCGGATCGAGAGTTTAATGGGCCAAGCTTTCGGCGGCGGAGGTCCGGGTTACCAGTTCGGCAGGACGCCAGCGTCGCCGTCGACATCAGACACGAGGCATCAGGAGGCATCACGCATGAGGTGCGTGTTACGCGGCTTGTACTGCCTACGCCGCGTCCTGGTGTGAGTGGCCGTGCTTGCGCTCGTAGCTTTCACCTATTCTATTATGTACAGGCTGGAGGGAGGAAGGCGGCGTCCTTCCGGCGATGATGCACAACGGAACCTTCCATATGCCCAGCAAACCTCCCTGCCAAGCATACCACGCTCGTACAGCTTGTGTGGGCCAATATTGCGCAGTCCCACGGTGAGTTGCCGGGGTCTGGTACGCAACCCAAGGAGGATCCACGTGGGGGACGATAAGCAGAGTATCACCATGTGGCAAGCAACATCAAGTGGATCAGGTGAGCAGCATCCGCTCGGAGAGACGTCCGAGAGAACGCAGTAAGTACTACTGCATGCTTGCAGCAGAGAATCACTATTCGTGAAGCTCAGCATTCAAAAGAGACAGGTTCGAGATGGAGAGGCTAGCTCGTTCCATCAACACTATAGTACAGCCACAGATGCACGGCGCAGTCACATGGCAACGGTCAGATGAATGGCGCAAAAGAATAGATTTCTCAATTATGAACCCGACTAACAAAACAAGACGTTGAAAGCTCCCTCACGGTCCCAAGCATCAACTGGCGAAAAGGAAAGAACAAAACTTTTGATTACTGCGCGCCAGATTGCGAGAGAGCAATCTTCTTCCAGTGGTCACGCTCGGCCTCGAGCTTCGCGATGCGCGCCTCGAGGTCCTCAAATCGCTGAGCCTTGCGCTCACGCGACTTTCGGGCGGCGAGGGTGTTGCGCGCTCGCTTCATGGCCACGGTGTCGTGGGGGTCCTCGACAATGATGGGCGGCAGGGGCTTGTCTCGCTTGCGCGAGTTGACGCCAGCGACCGAAGAGTGGCGGCCCGTGGGGGAGCCTGAGCCCTTCTTCCTGCCGCTGCCGGCAGAGCCCTGCCCGACGGAGTCGATGTCGTCCGACTGCTGGGCGGGCGAGTTGTCCAGGCTCCGCGTCTGCTCAGGGCCGCTGACGGACTCCTGAGGGAAGAGCGGATACCAGGGGTCGCCCGAACCATCGAGGTCGGTGCTTCCAAAGTTGGGTGAGACGTCGAAGCCATCAAAGTCCGGAGACTCGTTGTAGATGGACGGCGACGTCAGTGCCGTCAGGGCGCTCGAGTTGGGGGCCGACATGAACGGCTCCTGCACGAGGAGGTCCTGGGGTGACACGGTGCCCAAGTTGGAGGTGGAGCTCGACATGCTGCCACCAAAGTCAACGGCGGAGGGGACCGCCGGGGACGAAAAGGCCGTGTAAGCACCGCCTTCGAAGGCGGTGAACTCGTCCAAGTCGACGTCTGTGGGATAGTGTGAGCGAGATGCAACCTGACCCGGTTGGCTTGGTGATGACAAACCTGCAGCGTTCATCATCTTGGCGGATTGATGGACGTTACCCGCGCTTTGACTGAACAACGGAACAGGAGGTCTAGCGACTCTAGATTTCTGCTGATTCTGATTCAAGGAGACTGTCGACGATGGAGCCGATGAAGCGTAAAACTGATTGGCGAAACGGTTGGGGTTGACGGAAGACAGAGACTGGTGTCCGATACCGCGGAGGAGCTGGGCCACGCGCTGATTCTGGACCGCGTTTGGCGAGACTAGCTTGCTGCTGTTGTCGCGGCGGTTGTGATACGAATGACGACGCTGGCTGTTGTTGGACAGCGGAACAGAGGACCGATTAAGGGACTGTCGCGGAGGCGGATTGTCGAACAGAACAAAGTCCTGCTGAGGGCTCTCGGGCGGGTTCTGGAGCTGGTGCGCGGATGGTGCCGGCAAGGCGGAGGCGGAGTTGGGAAGCCATGTTGATGGTTGGGAATCCGTGGTGAAGACTGAAAAGTCTTGGGCCGAAATGTTGGCGGTTGAGGACGGAGAACTCGAGCTGATGCTATTCAAAGCGGTGCTGAAGTCCAGGTCTACCAAAAGGTGACTTGAACTGGGGGGGGATTGAGTGGGGTGTATGTTGTTTATGTCTAAAGACGGAATCTTGACGGATTGAGGGGGGACAACGCTCGAGGCGGGTTGTTTACAGCATCTTGACGGCGGCCTGAGGCGCTCGTGATATCTTGTTCTGGTTGTGGTGAAAATGTTTTGGGGGTGGAAGGGAAAGAGAGGGAAGAGGCAGAGCCGACGGCGTGGAAACCTGGGGCCATTTGTAATAATTCTCAGGCAACAACGCGCGGAATGTGTGCGACAAGGGTAAGGGTACCGCGGGGCGGTCCAGCGGATGCTGCAGTAACAGTGCGCCGCGCGAGTTGCACGTGGCGGCGATGCTGCAGTATGCCGGTCCTAGGTACCTCTCCGCCAAGTGGGTCGGCCCGGTGGTGAGTCACAGCTTTTTCGCGCTAGCGCCGAAAGGGGCCACAGCGCCTCGTCCTCCTGCAGGCCATCGCCCAAGCCACTCTGGCCGGCGCACCAAAAGCACCCCCAGGCCTGCGAATGCCTGCCAGGAGGACCCCCGAGACCCCCGCCAAATGCGCCCTGGAACCGTGTCCTGAAGCAACCGTCCAGCCCCGGAGGGCCCCTCGCCGCCGGCATCAAGCAGCGGACGTAGCCGTTGGTCTGCGTGCCATCTTTGCATCGCAGGACGACGAGCAAAACCCTCCCGTCGACGCAGCGAATTCCTCCGCACCCACAATCCGCCGAGCGCACGCGCCGTCGGACGCAGAGCATCTCGGGAGCAGCTCCCGACTGCCTGCCTGCGTCGTCAGCACGTTGCGCAACGTTGGATGCGTCTCACGCGGCAGGCCGTCGTCGCCCGCCGACGGAACCAGCAGGGACCACCAAAGACACCAGCGAAAAAGAGCCTCACGGCAGCGCATGTGAGCCCGCTAGGCGCAACAACTTCCGGATACAGCGGCCGTGGGGAAATTGGGACACGCACGCCAGCCGTCGTGGAGAGCAGCCGGCGAGGCCATTGGCCCACCGGAAAGCCATCTCGCACACGCCCCATCAGCGCTTCGGCGACAGACCTGCAAGGGAAACGAGTCCTGCCACGAGAACCGCCGGGTCCAAGGACACATGTCCAGAGGCCGTGGCTGAGGCTAAACGGTTGTCGCGGTCCTTCTCGCACGCTAAACAGCATCAAGTCGAATGAAACGCTGGACAGCTGCGCCGTCTCGTGGGCACTGCCTGCATGCTCAGGTCGCATCGTATTCCGTCGTGTTGGCATGTTGCTTCGCCTTGCTCCGTCCCCCACGCGACCAATCCCGTCCCGTCCACGCCGTCAGCCGTCCGTCAGCCCGTCGAGGAAACTGTCCGCCTGGCGTTTCGCCCGTCTGGCCCCCATGTCTCGCCGCCGCTGCTCAATCTCCCGTCGGCGCGCCTCCTTCTGGTCTTCGCGCGCCTTGCGTTCCTGCTCCGTCCGCTTCCTCTCCTCTTCGAGCGACGCAAACTCCCGCTTCCGACCCTCCTCGTCCTTGCTGAACTTGTAAAACCCGACGCCCTTGGTCCGGATCTCTCTGTCCGCGTCGTAGTGCTTCATCTCGGGCGGCGTGGCGCTCCGGTCGCGCTTCTGTGCCAGTTCCTCCATTTTGTCTGGGTCGTCGGGGTTGAATGCCATGGACTGGATCGCGTCGCCGTAGATGAGCTGGCTCGGCGCCGCTGGCCGTGCTGACATGCGCTCCAGCTCCTCGGCCCCGAGCAGGCCTCGCCGTGCCCTCCGCTCCATCTTCTCCTTCTCGGCTCTCGTGCCGCGCCGGCGCCTCCCAAACTCGTCGTCCCATTCGATGATCTCGTCGGCCGTTTCGTCTTCGTCGCTGTCGGAGCTGGTCGTCGACGCATACCCGTCTTTGTCCTCTCTGCCTTCCGTCCACTTCCGATCAAAGTCCACTAGCGGTTCTGCTTCATTCTCGCCGGGAACGTAGTCCCCGCGCTTCATTGCCGCGTACCGCCTCGCCTTGTCCTCCAGCTTGCGCTTTGCGCGTGCGAGTTGCTCCGCTTCCTCTTCCGTGCCTGCTACCTCCTTGAGCACCAGCTTGTTCGTGTCACCTTTCTCAGCTTGCTTAGGCTTATGACGAAAGATGTCGTCCTTGGGCGCCTTGGATGGCCTAGCCCGTCCGGATGTCGTACCGGAAGAGCTTGCGTTGGACACGAGTGATGAGAGCTGGGCCTTGAAGTCTAGAGACGTTGAAAGGGCCGTACCCCGCTTCTGCTTCTTGGCTGGCCGCTGCGAGTACAAGTTTGGATCTTGAGGCATCGTGATCTTTTGCGGTTGGACGGCCGGACCCCGTGCCGTGTCTGAGTCGGTGTTTGCGTATGCTCAAGAGTAAAGCTCTGCGCGATAGCTGGCGCTGAGCAACATTCAGATGGGACCTTAACTACTGGCCGCAGCATCCCCTATGCTCATGCAGCTCAGTAGAGGGTCTTGGGTGCAGTTGGTCGTGCAAGGTTGTACTGTCCGGCGGTGCTGTCCACGAGGTTGTTGAGATCAAGGTGTCGCGGCGTCTTGGTCGCCTTAGAGTAGCAGACGCCACAGCAGCCACACCTCCGTCAGCCACAGAACCCCTCCACCTGCGATGCCGGTGCCGTCACCCTCTGGTGCAATAGTTCCCCGCTATCGGCAGCTCCCAAATTTGACTCCTGCAACACACGCACATCATACAAGCGAACATGCCTGCTACTAACCAATTGTTTATTGCCGTCATCGGTACGTGTAAGCTGGCAAGGCGATTGACCAGCTGGTAGCTAACTGTGTGAACAGGCGCCGGCGGCGTGGGCAAGTGCTTCCTGTCCCAGCTCCAAAGTCTCGCAACCCGCCGGCCGTCACCCAAGCTCAGCCTCTGCTACATCTCGACCAGCCGCAAGGCCCTCTACAACGATGACTACTCCGAGCTCAGCATCGACGGTGCCATCGAGGCCCTTTCCAGCTCTTCCAAGGCCCCGCCGGCCCTGCCCAAGGTGATTGACTACCTGGCGGCGGCCCCCGCCAAGGCCATCTTGGTCGACAACACAAGCTCTCAGGACGTCGCCGACCTGTACCCGCTCGCGCTGAGCCGCGGCGTCAGCATCGTCACCCCCAACAAGAAGGCCTTCTCCGGCTCCTACCAGCTGTGGCAAGACATTTTCACCGCGGCCGCCACCTCTGGCGCCAAGGTCTACCACGAGTCGTCGGTCGGCGCCGGTCTGCCGGTCATCTCCACCCTCAAGGATCTCGTCGATACCGGCGACAAGGTCACCAAGATCGAGGGTGTCTTCAGCGGCACCATGTCCTTCCTCTTCAACTCGTTTGCGCCGACCGAGGGACAAGGCGGCAAGTGGTCCGACGAGGTCAAGAAGGCCAAGTCGCTCGGGTACACGGAGCCGGACCCCCGTGACGACCTCAACGGCCTCGACGTTGCGCGGAAGCTCACCATCCTTGCGCGTCTTGCCGGCCTCCCGGTGGAGTCTCCGACGGCGTTCCCCGTTCAGAGCCTCATCCCCAAGGAGCTCGAATCGTGCAGCAGCGGCGATGAGTTCCTCGAGAAGCTTCCCGCTTTCGACCAGCAGATGGAGGAGACCAAGGCGGCGGCCGAGAAGGCGGGCAAGGTCGTCCGGTTCGTCGGCAGCATCGACGTCGCCGCCAACAAGGTCAAGGTCGGGCTGGAAATGTTTGACCGATCGCACCCCATCGCCGCCCTCAAGGGCAGTGACAACATCATCAGCTTCTACACCGAGCGATACGGCGGCAACCCTCTGATCGTGCAGGGCGCCGGCGCCGGCGGCGACGTGACCGCCATGGGCGTGACGGCAGACCTCATCAAGGTCATCTCCCAAATTTCATAGAATAGTCCAAGCTCGTGAATGCTAAAAGTATGTGCGCGTGATTCTACGCCCTGTTTGTGCGGTTATCGTCTCCGTGCCTTGTTCGGTTCCGGGGCCGTCGGATCAAAGGCACTCGTGCCAGCCGCGGGCGCGGGCTCGGCGGGGTTCGCCGTAGTGCCATCGGCATCGCGGTGGGAAAAGCGGCTCCGGTAATGTCTCCATATCCACAGCGAGAAATCGTAGCCGACAAGGAAGAGGAGCGGCAGAAGGAAGATGGTGCCCAAGAGGAGCTGCGCCTGTGTCAGCCATGCCGCGGGACGACCAAGGGCGACATACGCTGATGAATGATATGGCACGGACCAGCAGCGATGACTGCGGCAGCAAGTAGTCGGTAAAGACCCAAGACGACTGCTGTGTAGACTCTGCCATGGCGAAGGCGGCGTGTGTGCGACGGTGATGGTCGATGCTGGAAGCTCGCTGGGAGCTGGAGCGGAGCTGTCAGCGCCTCGTCACGACCTGGGTGGAGGCGGCCAAATGGCTTGCAGCCCCTGGGGAAGCCGCGGATCAGCTGGGTCCCAGTGGCGGCCCGTGACAAGGCGGCAGTTTGCGTTCACCGCCTTCCTCTTTCGAGGGCGTTTGGAAACTTTCTGACTTCAACACCACGGGACAGAAGCCGTGAACTCACTCACCTCTCATTCTCACGACACATTTTTGAACGGACTTGTCGCAATGCCGGGCACTGCGAATAAGCGTGCGAACCGCCAGCGGTTCCAGGAGACCAAGGGTCAAGATGGCCTCGCCAGGTTGCCCCGCAAGCGCTTCTATCGCCAGCGAGCCCACGCGAACCCTTTCTCAGATCACACGCTGGAATAGTGAGCCTCCTCCTGCGGCCTTTGTCATGTTCCAATTGTTGACTGTTTTCTCAGCCCAGTATCACCAGCGGCCATGGACTGGTCCAGCTACTACCCGGCATTCGTCAGTGAAGACCAACCCGACGACTCATCGCAACCGCGGCGGATGAAGCAGGATGTCGAGATTGTCGACATTGGTTGCGGCTTCGGCGGCTTGCTCGTCGCTCTTGCTCCTCTCATGCCGGAGAAGCTGATGCTCGGTACGGCCCATTGCTCATTCACCCTTAGCGAAGCTGACTTCCCAGGCCTCGAAATCCGGACAAGCGTCACTAGTTTCGTCCAGGATCGGATATGGGCGCTCCGAGAGCAAAACGCCGCCGCGCGGCTATACCAAAATGCGGCGTGTCTGCGCGCCAACTCGATGAAGTTTCTGCCCAACTTCTTCAAAAAGGGGCAACTGTCCAAGATCTTCATCTGCTTCCCGGACCCGCACTTCAAGGCGCGCAAACACAAGGCGCGAATCGTCTCGACGACGCTCAACTCGGAGTACGCCTTTGCGCTGCGGCCCGGCGGCATCGTGTACACCATCACCGACGTGGAGGCGCTGCACGAGTGGATGGTGCGTCACTTTGACGCGCATCCGTCGTTTGAGCGCGTGCCCGAGGAGGAGGAGCGGGAGGACGAGTGCGTGCGAGTAATGATGAGCGAGACGGAGGAGGGGAAGAAGGTGGAGAGGAACAAGGGGCAGAAGTTCGTGGCTCTGTTTCGGCGATTGGAGGATCCGCCGTGGTAGCAGTTGCGATGGCGAAATTGACATGAATGCAATGACAGAAGTAATGGCAGTCGTAGGCTTCGACTGGTGACAGCATCACGGCAGTGCGAGAAGCCCACGAGCGTTGCAGAGCCGACGAAGTCGAGACACAAGGGTATCCCGGCAGGTGCTACACACGATGCGGAGTCGTCCTGTTGAGACATACAGGGATCTTGGGTCACGCCGTAGCAACGTTGTCGTGAGCGCGGCTTGTTCAGGCTTGTAGATAACGATGCCAATCACCTCAAGGGCTATGGCCAGTCACTATGCTCTATTATTCTCTAGTGTGTGAGAGCAACGAGAGCAATATCATAATAGCAAATTACTAGCAATCGGCAGAGCGCCGCTATCGTCCTATGCCTATATACTAAAAGTCGCTGGCGTAGCATGGGGCTAGGCGCGGCTAAGAAGCACGTAGGACGGCTCTACAGCTAGCAAAAGTTGGCTCTACGAATAGCACTACTCCTTTATTGAACATAGGTCACTGTGGCATATGACCGAGCATCTAGTGTCGACGGCTTGGTGGACTAGACAAAATGGGGGGTCACTGTTACAAGCCATCTTAGTTCAACACTGCAAGAGAGGCCAGCAATAGATTAAGTCGAAAGTGTCAAATTAAAGGTCATTGAGAACAATTGGTCTAATCGAAACTGTAACCCAAGATCTTCATTCTAGGCTCCCGTCTATCCGCCCTCTATCACAAGCAACTCCAGCCGCGAGTATCCGGAAAATTCCTTGCCTTTACTTGGGGCACTGCTCCTGGCTGTCGGCGCATGTATAAAGAGTGCAGCAGACCTGGCCGGGCTTGCAGAAGAACGAATCGCCGCACTTGGGCCCAAAGGTGGGAGTAGTCACGGGAGTCGTAGTGGTGGGGGTGCTGGCGGGAGTCGTGGTAGTCGTGGTAGTGGTGGGATACTGGATAGGGGGGCAGGTCGTGCCAGACATGCATTCGAGGCCGACGCCGCCATTGTAGTAGACGCCGCAGCAGAGCGGCTTGTCGGTCGGGCAGACCATGTCGCCGCACTTGTTGGGATAGGGCGGGGGAGCAGCGCTGACGGTGGCAGCGAGGGCGAAGGCGATGGCGGTGGACTTGATGACTGAGCCGTACATTTTGGGTGATTGAGTGTTGATCTCGAAAGAGTTCTTGTAAGAGATTGTTTGAGTTGGTGGTAAAGATGGACTGGTGGTGTTTGCTCTGATGCTTGTGTGCTTGGGTTGGATAAACAGATTCATCGGAAGGGAGAATGGGACTTATTTATACATGAATTCACAACAGTCATGTTGTGCCAGGGCCGTATAGCCAGTGCCCGTAGAACATCGTGAATGAAGTTGGGTTGATAGAGGCCCTCCCGCATCGTCGGTCAGCCCCGGAAGTTTACAGGTCGCCAGGCCCCCCTCTTCGGCACTGCGGCCGCCGAGTGCGTCTTCAGCACCACGGCGCGCAATCGCCCGACACGACCGAGCACTCTGAGGTCGCGGGGTGTCCGGTTGTGGCTGCAGCCGAAAGTCAAAGAGCTGTGGCGTAGGGCTGGAATGCCCAATTATAGTCGCGTCGACTGGCACCGTTGCTGTTCTCGAACGCCGCCCACGATGCTTTTTTGCCTTTGGGGCGCTGGGAGCCTGGGACGCAGCTCGCCCCGAGGTTGCACCGTCCAACCGAACGCCTCCCGGACCTGCATGACTGTACTGGAAGCCGGCTAGAAGGGCTGCCGAAGGAAGCTACAGTCAGGGGTTGATGAGAGCTTCTCCGAGGAAGCTGACTATTGGGCGACACCGGCTTCACTTTTGGTGCCAGATAGCATTGCAAGGTGTCTTGATGGCTTTCCGTACTGTGAAGACGAGACTGTCATGCTACGCGTTGTGCCGACTACGGCACGCCGATCCAGGGTCTGATGAAGATGTACGCAACGAGGAATAGTGCTGCTTCTTCCGTCAGCCAACATCTACTAGAAGAAACACCAGCTTTATCGCACAGAGATATCGCACGAAGGAAAGAATACAGGCTCACCCGTGATTGGCCAGGTCGGTCAACTCAGACAAGCAGCCATACACACAGTGTCGGGCCGCTCTCGGCGCCAGCCCGGTCAGCCTCAGCTGTCCGGTACGGCCTGATGCGGCTGAGAGCAGCAACCCTCGTCGTGATATCTGAACTCTAAAACATTCCTTTTCTAGGCATGTCCAGGGACAAGACAAGACTCACCTCCGGCGGTGCGAGCAACGTTCTTTTCGTTCGGTATATCGCTGCCGGGCTTAGTCGTGCCCTTAGCCTTCCATCGGCAGTATCGGCAGCGTCGGCAGCGCCAAGACATCTTTCGCTCTCGTAACACCCAGGGTACTTTTGCTCTCGGTGTCTTTGGACCTATATCTACATATCTAGAATGTTGCCTGACCTTGACTGTAGGTCATGGACTATGTGATATGGTCATTATTTAGAGAGTAGGTTTGGAAGCTTCCGAAGCTTCTGAAGCGTCCTTTCCTTCCTTTCCTTCCTTTCCTTCCTTTCCTTCCTTTCCTTCCTTTCCTTCCTTTCCTTCCTTTCCTTCCTTTCCTTCCTTTCCTTCCTT